CAGGGCCCCCTGCTTGTCAGCAGGGAGGAAAAGAGAAAATGTGAAGCATCATTTAGATGCTGGTTTCACTGCAGCGTTCACACAGTACAGATCTCAAGTGGAGTGAGAAAATTATTTTAAGGCTATTGTGTGTAGACAGCGTTATGGACCATGTGGCAAAATAATGTGTTTATACTTTAGCCTGAATCATTTCATCTTTTTGGTGGTTACATTTATCACTGAGTCTTTTTTATTCGTGTGGTTTAAAATATCTCACAGGCACATCACGGGACAGGCTTTGCAAATTAGCTTAGGCTTTGGTGTGTAGCATCAGTTTCTATGCAAATATACAGAAAACACTTCATTCATTGTATACAGTGAAACTATGTGATGGGCAAATGCAAACTAATGCAGTTTTGTATAGTCACATTATTTTTCTTGGTGTGTTTTTGCTGTTGAACTTCAAAAGAAATCACCAGTATTACACACCAGTTTTGCTGTGAAACCTTCTGTTTAATCTCTGCCTGATGGGTTTGTTGAGTCTAAGCAGACTTTGATACATATAATAATATTATTGCCTGCTTTAATATTGAAAAAAATAGGGGAAATCATGCCCATATAGTTTGGAATTTGAACCAAGCCTTTGTTCAGACTAAATCGCTAAATATCTCTACCAAAGCATTTGAGAGCATCATAAAATGCTCCCAGAAAGTTGTGTGCCAAAACGATTATGCTTTTGTCACCTGAAGAACAGTCCAGGGATTATCAAAGTCCCAAGTCCTTTTGTAGACATAAATGCTTGTCCAACATTTTCAGGCAATCATGAGATGTCAAGTGACCGATTGCTCACAATACAGAAAATGACTGAATTCTGGTCCCAGAGTAATGCGGCTCACAGAGCAGAAAGCTGCTCATACATCAGGGGTGGGGAAGTTTGAGGCCACGCTGCACTCATGCAGATGTAGATCTGGCATCCTGTGTAATGTGTGAGTGGATTCTAAAGACGCACCAACTGAATAGGGTCAGAGGTTAGGACCATCTGCAGCCCGGAGTCTCAAAGGAACCATCACCGATTGGCTCTTAACATTCAGATTACCATGGAGACGAGCAACACGTCCTATATGCAGGGTCCCGGTACCACAGCAGGTTGTTATAGCAACAGAGGAGCCTTGACACTGTTGCATAATATGCTGTTTTTAACTCTTCCTTATGTTGACCTAAGTTTAGGACCATCTATTCGAGCTTCTAGCACCGTTGGTGTCAGGCCTCCAAAGAATGAGACCAAACATTCAGCTCGAAAAGTCAATGGATGCAAACAGGAAATCATTACCTTTACTATTCATAAGAGCATGATAAAATTAAGACAACCAAAAAACCAAAAAAACTCGAACAAACTCAAAAGTGGACATTATGTCTTCTGTTCTATGGTAGCAACATGAAATGTTAAGATTGAACAAAATACATGTTTTTCTTTAGGTGAGAAACAAAAAACCTAGAAATACAGTATAATTTATAATTATATGATTACATCCAATTTCTTTTTATTGTGTCTTTGTGAAATTTTAAAAACTAAACAATCGCATTGATTGTGCAATGAATAGTATCCTCATGCTACTTGTTTGCAAGGCCAGAGTGTCCAAGTTACTACATAATTTGCCACCCCAGTCCAATCAAACGGGCCCCTGCTGGTGCTCTTCATGCATTGTGTGCATAAATGTAACGGATAATAACTCTGCTAAAGCAATTTTCCCTCCTCCCTGCGGTTTTAGTTTCCTAAATACTGCCAGTGAGGGTTAAGTCAGATTTTCTACATCAAAACATCTTTACTCCCGTTTCTGTGTATTAATGAGACACTCATGTTCATGTAGTTTTGGGAGCTGGATGGGGGACATGGGATTTATTAAATGTATATTGTTCTTGAACTTTCTTTGCTGTTATTCTATGTGAACCACTTTGTGCTGCAATTTATTTTTATAAAAACTGCTTTATGAATAAATAAATATGAATTGATTGATTGATAAAGAACTGAAGAGACTGGAAAAAGAAAAGAGGCAAAGGTACTGGATCCAGGCAAAGAAAAAATGGCACCCCAAAGTTGATATGTTTACTGGCTCATAGGCTCGTGTATGCGAGGAATGGTGCAGTCATTTGAATGAAATGTGATAAAGCTTTGAATTATTCAAAGCTTTCAAGATTTGCTTTATGATGCAGAGGATTTTATTATGTAGCTGCAAGTTTAAACACTCCATTATTCCTTTCACTGTTCCCACAAAAAACATGAAATATCATCAGGAAAGTGTCCATGTAAATGACGGTATCATGAAGTGTTGAAATGGCTTAATAATTTTTCCATATAAAGCCATTTTTAACTGACATGGATATGTTGCAAAAGACGCAGAATAGCAGTGATGTGAAATATACAGCAAAGAATAACATGCTGACGTTTACATTGATGAGCATTTTAAACTGAGTCAATCTGTGGTCTTTGTCGTAATTTGTATCTCAGCTAGAAGTTGAACCATTTGGATTTGAATGCATACTATGGTGCAATGGTGTGAATTTTTGAGCGTGGTTTGATTCATAAAAACGTGCTAAAATTTTTCTCTCATGCATTTTTCTTCCCCTTGAAAGTGCAGCTTCTCTGAATCATCTGTTATGGAAATCCAGTGCAGACTCATCAAAAGCAAAAAAGACCACTTTTAGATGTTTAAGATTTCTTTAGATAGAGAGTTATTTCATTTGCATGAGTACTGGAGTCAGTTTCTTCTATCATAACAGAGTTCTTTTACATTCTGCCAGAAGCTCTCCATTGATCTCTACACTAAAGAGGCCTTTTAGGTAAAAAGTTATCCTTGTTTTAAAGCTTGACATAACAAGGGTTTGGGAGTTTGTGAAAAGGAACATTAAAATCTAAAAAAAAAAACCTGGTGCAAAGTGTTACATCAATAGCACTCCTGCGACCTGAAAAGGTAATCGTAGTATCATTCTGTGATTGCCTTCTCTGGAAAAGGTTGAAAGAGATGTCAGACAGTGTAAAAGGAAAGATGGATACGAAAACTAATAAGCAATCTACCATTTCGAAAGTGCTAAAAAATCACAGGGTTTGCTGAAGTTTTGGATTTGAACAAGAGAAAAACCATTATACAAGGCCCTGAAAAAACACAGTTACCTCAAGAAAGGTGAATGGGACCCAGACAGTCTGAACCTCAACTAGAAAAAGAGCTTACTGACATTCTCCATCCAGCCTCTAATTCCACCAACAGGAATGGGATAATTTATCTTATGTAAATGTGATAATTCAGTAATTTGAAAAGTTACTAAAACACTTCACATCACTGAGGAGAAATGTGTGAAAACTACACAACACAGTATTATTATTTCCTTCAGTTGCTTTGGGGCTCATGGCCTGGGCATGTCAGCATCAGCTCATACCAAGCCGGATATTCATTTGAAGATAATATGAATGGTTAAGGAAAGCAGCAGGGATCTTCGGGAAAGTGATTGCACTATTTTAAACCAAAAGACACATATCTCACTCTATAGAAGCAACCACCAAACTCACAAACAAACTCACCCTCAAAATATAGGGTATAGCCTTTTTGATATGATAAAGAATAGCAGAACATCTCCCTATAGTGGCAAATCTTTACCCCATCTATGCATCAGTGAAACCCATCAACAGGAACATATCTGCAGGGAATATCTGACCACTGTCACATGCCATCCATTTCAGATATTGAGTGACCTCTATATAGGTCAGATTGCCCTCCAAACTAAACACACAAACACACACACACACACACACACACACAGACTAAACTAATGTTAAAAACGTGAGAACCAAGGGTTAAGAGTTATAAGATTATAATCTATATCTTATAAGTTATAAGATATAGATTAATCACATTTAATATGAGATTCAAACATAAAAAATACAGACAATTTGAGAAGGACTGAAAGCTCTTCAACATTGCTCAAAGTGATGAAATGATTTTGCCCTCAGCTGTCTTCAAAACAGATCATTTATAATACAGCCAAAGTTGGCTTCCGGCTGCATAGTTTAGGGCAAATCTGGTGCTCTCCTCAGTCTCTTTGCATTCACATACACACTATGCACCCTTGGAAAGCTGACATTCTTTAGGTTCAATTGATGCACACCTGCTGATAGGTGAAAAATACCTCCTTATTCAATAGCCAAAGCCATTTTGAAAACAACCTCTGGAAAATTGAATTTCAATTCAAGTGGGATGAGGTCAAACTTCAGGCTGTAGCCACAATTATGTTTTCAGTCTGCAGCTCAATGCTAAAGTCACTTTAAAGGCACCTTTGGTGAAAAAAAAAAAGAAAAAAGATTTAAGTGGACATAATAATCCATATTTTTAAATGAAAAGCTGATATTACTCATGTTTATGTGTTGTAGGCAACATGTAAAAACAGGACAAACATTGAAAATTCTACAGGAATTTCAAGAAGTTAAATGCTAATAGACAAACATTTAAAGTTGCTGTCATGCCCATAATTATCAAACAGAGGACACAGAATGTAAATATTTGCAGGTGTCTATTTCACTCCATGTGTAAACCGTACCCTCGCAGCACAAACACAAGGCTTAATGTGTGCCTTGTACTTGTGCTACGAATTTCCCACGATATGCAAATGAATGCAAATGAATTCAGTTGATCTTTCCATGGCAACTATTATGTGAGAGCTGAAAATCTTCTGCAACTGGTCGAATACTTCCAAACTGTTGGCAACTATTTGTTAGGACCCCCTTACTGTCCAACATAGTGAAATACAGCATTTGGGATGTATTTAGGTTGCATTTAATCCGCGGCAAGAGGTGGCTCTGCTCAAGTATTTCTTCCTGTTTAAAATCATGAATGGTGAAAGTTGTACTGTTAGCACTCACAGCTGAGTTCAATAATCAATAATCTTTCTTATTTCTGTCATTCCTCCTTATTCCTGCCCCCTCTCTATCACCCTTTTCTCTTTCCCTCCTGTTTGTAGACAGACGTGTCTCCATGGGTGAGGCTCACTGATCCAGGAATCCCTGACCACCCCCTCCAGCCCTTACCCCCGACCCACTACTCTCCCTCTGATCCCTGCCCCCCTCCACTTCAGTCACCATGACTTCCACCAGCCAGCTGCTGGGTCTGCCTGAGGTGGAGCTGAGGTGCGACCACGAGATTGAGAGGAGATATGAGATTGTGCCCTCAGTGGTTTGCTCCATGTGCTGCCTCTTTGGAATCATCTACTGCTTCTTTGGTAAGTTATTCAAAAACGAAAGTAAGAATCTGTATTTGAATACATCATAAGAAGCAATTAAGGACATCACAGTTAAGTAAAGTTGAGTTTCACGAGACGCTGGAGGCAACTTTTGATCGTTTCACAGAATATTGCTGTCCTGAACCCATAATGCAGAAACTACCCACCATGTTTATGTGGCTGTTTTTTACACACACAATCCACCCCCCCCCCCAAACGAAAATTCAGTTTTGGAAAGACAGTCGTTCATGCTGGTTTTGAATATTAATGAGTGATATGTTGGAGCTCTGAGCAGGCGTGGTGCATGCAAATTGACGCAGAATCAGCGAAGCGTGCACCCAGCATGAACATTCAATAAGTCCAGGTAAAGCATGGCTGTCAGCTTCTGCATTCTAAACAGGAAGCACAAAAACTTACAAAGTTGATAGCATAAATTAATAACACAGAGACATGAGGCCCTGAAATGAAATCACTGTCTATACACATTGCTATTCATAGATGTTGACTACCAGAGGGACAGAAAATGTCACATTTTGCTCTCATAACGCTCTTCTGCTACCATAAAGCACATATATAAAATAGTGCATCTTATGCTATGTTAATCGACTCATACTAATGAAAAAAGAAGTTGAGTTGGACAACAAGAGAACAGAACTTTAAAATGACATAGATTTAATTTAACTTACCTCTTTTTGTCATTTAGTTTAACCTCAAACACAATGTTATCGGAAGAACAAGAATGGTTAGGTGTAAAACAATGAAGTGTGGCGGGGGAGACATGAACTGATTAAACCAGACGTAACTGGTTGGATTGATAATTGAAGGAAAAGTAAAGAAAGCTATGAGACATAAAAAGTGGTGCAGGAAGGATAAGCAGGACAGTGGATGCAGAGCAAAGCATAGAAAAATGGCCCAGAAATGAAGAGCAACATAGGAGAGGCTTGCTAATTTTCAAATCACTGATTGATTTATGGCCACCATCAAATCTGAAGACACAACTTTTAAGATATGAAACAGCTGCTGGTCATATAAATGCATCTACTGCTCAGGATGGCAGTCGATGCTTTGGAAATGCTCCAGATACAGCATGTCAGGCCCGTTTTCCCCCAGGCATCCTGTCACGGAAGTGCAAATAGCTGTAAAGAATACAGAGGTCTTCACCAGAAATACAGGGTACAAGATATCAAGAACATACAGAACTGGGTGGAAAGAGTAAAGAAAGATACAAGAGGCATGTCAATTAAAGGAGTTATGGTCATGAGGGAGGAGCGTGGACGTTGGCCTGAATGAAAGCGAGCGCATTGTGTGTCTCAGCTGTGCAATGCCTGATTACACACAGATAACAATCTGATGTCGGGTTCCCTGGAGACACAGTCCAGCCAGAAAGAAAAAGACAGTAGAGAAAAAAAGATGCAGATGAAAAATTAATAAACATAGAACCAAAGTCCAATGAAATCGGCATCGTTGATAAGCTCTGTTATCAATGCTTTGTAGCCTTTCGTCCAGTTTTTTTTATCACAGTCACAACATTAAACTGAGTTAAAGGACAGCAGAGAATAAATTGGAAGGAGAGCAGCTGTTCTTTTCATCAAGCTTCTTGGCTAATGAATGTGGATGACCTTTTGTAATGTGGCTTGTCATATTTTAAAGCTGTTTCGTGGAGATTTAAAGACATGTGCATTTGCTGCCATCAAACAATGAGGAAACCCGTCTCTTACTCTTTATATATTTCTTCTTTTGGAGTAAGATGACATTTAACTATATTTCTGAATGCATGTACTTGCAGAATGACAAATAGTTCAAACAGAGAACAAATTCTACATTTAGTTTCTTTTTAATGAGACTTTAGTATGAGGAGGTTTTCAGGGGAGTCGTGACTGTCGTTCAAACGATTCATCCTGTCTTAACCCTCTCGAGTTAGTGATTAATAAATAAATTGATTTTTGTCTTTATGCCCTGCAGACAAATGTGGAGACATTCAATATGTACTGGAAGGTTAGAGAGACAAAAAAAGGCATTTGGAATTCATATCCTTTTTCCCCAACATTTTGTCATGGATCCAGTCCATTAACAGTAACAATAAAAATCATTATTTTATTTAATTATTTTTGCTGTTAGATGTGGCTCTGTATTAGATGATGTCTAACCCAAACACAGATACTACAATTTGAATATTTTTGGCCTATGATAGCTTCACAGTGTTCTGTTTTCCTCTATCTCTTTCAGGCTATCGATGCTTCAAGGCTGTGCTGTTTCTCACAGGCCTGATGTTTGGCTCCGTGGTCATCTTCATGCTGTGCTACAAAGAGAGGGTGATGGACACCCAGCTGAGTGTAGAGGCCTCTGTGGGCATTGGCCTCGGCATTGGAACTCTGTGTGGCCTTGTGACCATGTTGGTCCGCAGTGTGGGACTGTTTATGGTGGGCCTGCTGCTGGGCTTGCTGGTCGGAGTAGCATCACTAGTGGTAATTTGTTCTCCTTTTATAAATGCTTTTAATGATAACGCTTTATAAGATGCTGCTTAGATAACCAATGTGTTATTCTTTAGTAATGGTCAGTTTGATCTTTCGTGTTTAAAAGCTCCAAAACTCACTGTATTTTACTTTGTATTCAGCTGATTTGTGAGGTTGAGAACATTCTCCAAAGTATTTCCAACAGACTTAATTTAATGACATTTTTGACCCACAGCAATCCTACACAAAGCACATTTACTGCAACACTATGCATGAACTTCAGCTTACTGGTGAAATATGAGTCTTCAAGCTCAGAAAAACATTAACTTTATTACAGAGGATGGCACATAAAGCTATAATTCTCATGATTTTATGGTCATGCATGAGAGCATTGGTCTAGCTTTCGACTGAATGTTTCATATAAGAAGAATTACAGCAGCAAAAAGCGGATTTGACAATATATCTTTTGTTATTGTTTTGATCTTTCAGTTCCTGGGCGCTCCCAAACGTACAGTCGGCTTTGTGCACAGCTCATTATATAGAGACTGAGCAAACTATCTTGCTCATAACATTAGCTCTTAAAGTGGAATCATGGCTCATGAGTAATGACAGTAAAAAGCAAGCCTTCAGGTTTAGATTAATTACCGCATTGTGTCTGTGATCAAACAAAACGACGGAAAACTGAACGTAACCTTTTTTCTTTCTTGCCATTGTCAGGTCATGGAGGAATTTTATCACCCCAAAACAGTGTGGGTACCCCTGGGTATTCTTCTGGGCTCTGGAACCCTATTCGCTGTCCTGACTCTTCAGTGGCAGCGCTGCTTCGTCACGTTCTCCACGGCCACGTTTGGCTCCGCCATCATCACTGTCACAGTGGATTATTTTATAGAGCTGTTTGCCTTGGTGCACTACATCTACGAGAGACTCAAGGTGAGACATAAACATGATTCAAAGAGAAACATAAGAAACATAAGTATGTTAATTCTATGTCAGATTTCCAGGGTAAATGTCCTATAGTTACCTCTTCACACTTACATACATTTTATATTACATACCAACCCTGAAACCTAATATATATTATACATGAAATTTTAAGTGGACCTTTAGTAAATGTTACACCTACAATCATTGCAGGTGGCACCAAAGAAGCCGGTGTGCTGGTTTACGTGGGTCATTTTGGGGGTCTGGCCTGTACTGACCCTTCTTGGTGTGCTGATTCAATGGAAAGTCACTGCAGAAGGATTTTCTCACACAGAAGGTGAGTTTGTGTACTAAAGACAACTTATGAATGGTAGATGTTGCCACTGAATGTGACTAAGGCTTGCCGTAAAAAAACTAAAAAACATCTGGATCCAGCAATGTCTGTTGGACTTTTAGACAAATATATTATGTCCACAAATAATTCCAGTAATGACAAATTGTTAAATCTCAGTTATGTGTCCAATAACATTTGATCTGCACTTTCTCCTGCAAATATTGTCTTTGAAATATTGACAAATTACAAACTCAAATCTTGAGAGTTGTGTTGAATAACATACAGAAGAAGAATATAACCATTTACTTTTGTATATAGGATTAAATGCCATTTATTAAACAATCTTGACAATATGTAATCAGTGGTATTCTCAATGCACGTGTCCTTCTAGGGATTTAATAATAACTTGCTCTATAGGTGTTTAGAAATTATGTGTGTTTTTTCCAATAAATACACAGTTTTTGGGGGGTTTTTGTTCATTTTTTGCTACTGATTGGAAGCCTCAGAAAGTCAATTAAACTACTTAATGTGTGACATGGTTAATTTAGTATCTGTCACAGATACATAAATATTTCTAGTTCAGCCGAGATCAAAATTAGTCTTTTTTCAGTATTTTAGAGAGGGCAGGAACAAACATTTATCAAGATATGGACAGAAAAAATGATGGTAGGGTTTCCTTCATTTTTTAAAATCAATTAATTTTTCTGTCTGAGAAATTATACACATCTGTTTTTTTCAGTGTATTGCTTAGCCATTGCTCTAAGAAATTATAAATAAAAGGGCCATAGTACCATGTGTGCGTGTGTGTGTAGGTTGGCAATGGTGTGAGTCGGTGTGAGGGAGAATTTGAATCCACCAGCGTGAGTGTTTTCACCAGAATCTGTTACTGACTTGATACTGCCTTAATCTCCTCTAAAAGCAACCACAACACAGATGGGAGGCTCTCACACACACATACAAACACATGCACCCAAGAAGACCATAAAATGGCACAAATAGCGTGCACAAAAATGCCGCATACAGTTCGAAAAGCACAGGGACAGACATATATCAAGGTCTTCAGAAGCACTCACGTGTTTTCTGTCTATACACAAACTCTACCGCACGTTCACACAGTGTCATAGAAGAAGTCGCACATGGCCAACAAATAATGGGATTAAACAGTATGCTGCCATGACTACCAGAGAGAGGACGTGGGCAAAGAGAAATAGGAAGCGTTTTAGTGCTGTTGCAAAAAAATGTGCCGTTCTATGTCGTGGAATTTAAGGAGAAAGAAAAATAGAAAGAAAACTACATTTAAGTTTTGGCTATAAACATGAGAGGGAATTTACCCTTTTTAATTAAAGATTTTTTTCATGTTGTAACTGAGAGACCAATTTGAAGAAGGAAATTAAAGAAAGAGACGGAAATTAGAACAGAGCATCATAATTACATTTTTACAAATTATACTAATCACTGTTTCTTGTATGATGGGAAGATGAATGAGAAGAAAGATTAGTAGTCACACGATTTCAGCTGGCCGTTGAGAGGAGGCAACTCGTCAATTATATCATTTTAATTCATCTTTACTAAGTTTTGATTTTAGCTATCAATTGCAAAAGGGGAATTTTTGTGCGAGAAGCAGTGTGTATATATAAAGAAGGAGAAATGGGTTGTGGAGCTAAAGGTTGGGGCAAAGAGTGAGCAGGTGTACCGGGGGAGGGTATGGGTGAGGGTAATAAACTGAGGCACAATGGGGAAGCCGGGCAGTCAAGTGGAGCAGTGAGGAAAATCATCTGTCACCTGAATCAGCAACACACAGGATATTGATGTGGATGAATGCTTTTTTCCCCCCCAAAAAAAAATGTCTGTGTGTGTAGACAATGATGGGACATATGCTGAAACTGTGTTCTTCTGTACCTGTGAGGACTCTTACTGTATAATGCCATAAATGTTGTTCATGCTCTCCAAGAGCACTTTCAAAAAGTGTGGACTGCAAACAATGTCCTTACTTTGAGAGATTCAAGCTCATGTTGGTCCTCACAAAGAATGATGTGTTTGATAAAAAAAACCCACACACACCCTCTCTCTCTCTCTCTCACACACACGCACACACACACACATACACAGACAGGCGTGTGGCCAGAGGGGCCCGAGGTGGGATGAGCTTAGGAAAAGAAAAGAAGGGGGGTATTATTACTCCGGTTCCCTGGCAGATGGTGCCCTGTATTCACCCATATATAAAAATAAAAAATGAATTAAATAAAAATTGAAAAAGACCTGCGAACACATTCTCACACACAGATTTATCAGGCAGTTGTATAGAAATAGTTTGCAATGTGAAGACATTTTTACCTCACAAAATGAAAAGGAAAAGATCCCCTATGCTGAACTTCCCTCTGCATAACAAGCCTGAAAGGGGCTTCAAACGCCTAAAAAAATAATCATTTGATTTTGGATATATTTTGCTTGGGAGGGTGTAAGATTAATAAAACACACTCACCCACTCACAATATGTCAGGAGACAGCACAGCTCAAGAACAGGCAGTTAGGATAGTTCATCACTTCCAATGAACTAAAAAAATATAGTAAGAAATCAGGAAATGGACCTTTTTTTCTTCATTTTCATTTTCTTACTTAGTAATTCACAAACCATTCAAAGCTGTTGCCAGTTTGTAATTTTTTTCCTTTCCTTAACATTTGGTGTTTTTTTGGTGCTGTTCTTTCTCTTGATTATATACTTTCTCCTCCTCAAGTTGTTCTGAGCCGACAGCAGCGGAGGGTCCAGCTCATGCGGATCAAACAAAGGGAAGAGAGGCTGAAAAAGGAGAAAGAGACCAAAAAGAAGAAAAAGCGACAGAACCAGAAGACTGTCCTGAAGCAAAAGGCTCCCTCTCATCACCACCACCACCAGCAGTACCACCATCCAGCAGCATCCCACCCCCATCACCAAACTCAAAGCTCTCAGCCACCTAAACTCCCCCCTACTCAGACGGACCCGGGCTACCACCGCAAACCCAATCCAAAAAGACGCTACGATGGAGATGTGCTGTCTCCGGTAAGAAAACAAATCCACTCCATTGTGCGACGAAACGTAATTACGATTCAGGATATGATTGCTTCAAACAAAAATTATAAAAATTTATTGCAGATATTATGTCCTTTTCATCACAAAGCTAACACGATTTTGTGAAATCTTAATAAACTCTGTGACATGCTTTGGTCACGATAACCAAGAGAGACATTACAGCAGCTTGTTTTTCATCCATCAAATTGTACCTCTATTCAAGGAAGTCAAGTGTTCAAAACTCCACTTAACTCTTCCTCTCCTTAGTGTTTACCTCCCTCTTTCAAGATCTGTATTATTAAATAACCCTTGAAGGAACTTATTATAGTATGAGAAATAATACAATAAATAGCCTCTGGGCTCAGCTGAGACCATAAGCCAGGCAGTAGTTTTATTCTCCGGTATTCACAATTTTCTCATCTGCATTTTAACTTTAGTCCAAATTGAAACACCTACCTCAGAATTAAATGGCCAATGGTTAAACATCCCACTGAGAACCAAAGTAATATTTCCTCTGTTGGGCCCTTACACACTGGACTCCCCTTCACTTCTTTAAATAGGCTTCCCATTTCAGGTTTCAGCATACAAAATGTTGCTTAAAGTCGACACTTGGCCGAGGCAACAATAAGGTTGGCTGATTAACCTAATTGATCTGAAAAGGTAACTTAATGTCCCAAAAGAAAAATGTCTGGTCTGAGTTTTTCCCCTCGTGTTCCCTTTAATGTCTCAACACTTGAATATGTGTCTGTTCACAGAGCTACATCAGGAGTTTCAGGGACAGACAGACTGACAGAAGAGCGTACTCCCACAGTCGAATGAGCCGCTCTCGAATGGCCGAACTGGACTACGACTGCGGCTCTCAAGTGCCCCTCACAGCTCCCATTGGGCCAGCAGTTCGCATCTGAGGCAGCAAATTGCACAAATCTCAAGAAAAGCACACAATCACAGGCTACTTCAAAACTCCTGGTCGCCACGAGGGATATTAAGTCTAATCTTGCCGTGCCAACCTAATCCACTGCCTGTTAACCCAACAGGAGCTCATTATGTCCCAGTGGTGGCATGAACCTCGCCGCTCCGCTTTCCTCCCAACTGCTGAAAGCTGTATTTATTTGGTCACTTTGCTCCCACGGTATTCTTTTTTGACAAAGAACACAGACTTCTGTTTTGGAAGGAGCAAAATGTTATTGGTCATCGAATATTTTATTTTTCTCTCAAGTAATTGTACTTCCCTTGATGACACTGTTTTATGTGTAATTAAGACAACCGTTATAGCCATATGAAAAAACTCTCAGATGCAAAGGGTGTGAAGGGAAAAAAACTAAACACTGCTCTGCACAGGTTTACTACACAATTTCAGATAAAGGGATACAACATGTCTTTCACCAGGTCCGGTGGTGCAACTTTTTAACTTCACTTTCAGCAGTATCCACACGTGGTAATTTCAAGAATTCAGATAAAATCATTCCAAGGAAAGTTTCAGACAAACTATGTAAGTTGCAGAACCAACTCAGAGACTCAAGGGCAGCTCTTCCTCTTATTTTTTTCCATTAAAAGGTTACTGAATGAAGTGTTGACCAAGTCAGCATTTTGTGCTCACATGATTTGTGCTGTTTAAAAAAAAACAGGGGCCATTGTCTTGTGAGAATCAGATTTGACAGTTCAAACCAAATGTTTTATGTCAATCCTCACATTGTTTATTGTCCCTATCTGCACTGTTGCCATTCTCCAGGAAGTGGTTTTCCGTCATTTACTGATTTCCACCTGTCCCTACAAAATATCTGAGCCGGATACACTCAATCCTCTTTCCACTAAATTTGAAAAGATTTGTAAGCTGTGTAACGCCATGTGTTGACATCTTTCTAAGTGGTCTACTTTCCCTTGTCTGCCTGTTTTCTCCAAAACAAATTAGTATGAGGGATTTGACAAATTGTTCTGTCTAATTGTGATCATCCAGGATTTAGCCCAGTGGCAGATGGACTGTACCAAAAATTAGCCAAGGAGGGGGGGGGTTCTTTAAAAAGATGAGGCGTACTCTGTATTTTCCCTTCCCTTTTTTCTTTTAGGGAGTGATTGAAAAGAGTTATTTTTTAGGTTTGTTTGACATGATGACAAGATACAGGAAGGTAGGAAGTTACAAAATGAAGATTATTTTGGGGGGAAAAATGAAGTGAAAATATGTAAACAATTGCAAATGGCGCCCTCAGATGTCTACTGCTGGAACTGTCTTCTGGACCTTCTGTGCATGTATGTTCATAGGCACATGCACATGTTTATGCCTTTAAAAGTGAAATGCATTGCTTGCATTAATGTTGTACAGGAAAGTTATTCTGATCAGCAGGTATAAACTGTAGATATTCCATGAGAAAACCAATAGTCAGTGTAACTCATGCTCAGAACTGGTCCTTGAGCGCTGTTCTTATTAAGTTACTCCATTCTTAAGCTCTGCATAGGTCTGCTGATGGTGCATTGATGTAAATGAGATGTGTTTAAGCAGGGAAACACCTCATACCTGCAGGACAGCGGCCCTGGAGGACTGGATTTGGACATCCCAGGGTTAAATTATATTTAATTCTGGCATAACACAACAATTACTTTGTTTTGTTTTGTCACAAAAAAACAATCCCATTTAAATTAATACAAAACTACTCGTAAACAACATGGGTAACATGGGATTTGAAAGGATTGCAGTAAATCATAATTTCCATTACTGCATGACAGAAGCCGTGTACTTGTGTCCAATATGTGGTGTCATTGTTAACATGTGGCGACGTCGGATTTCTAGCTCATTTTATTGAGTAAGAATAAGGTTAAACTTCTTCCCTCCTTCTCTTTTTTCTCTTCTCTCTGGTTACAGTGTCTCGGTAAAGGGCTTGACAATGATCCATAGTATGTTCACCACCTACTGTTTTGCTTAATTGTGTGACTCAGATAATCTCTTGGCCTGTACAAGTGTCACTTTGGTTCCTGTTATAAATGTGTCCCGTTTGGTCCCTTTTGTGTTTTTCCTGTAGTGCAGTTGTTACATATTTGTTTTAATTTTAAAACAAAAAATAAATCCTTAAGACTGGTCCCTGTCTTGCTTGTAATATTGGGGGCCAAACTAATATTTCTTATACTGATTTTATTTTTCTTAAGCCTACTTTCTGTTATTACTCATCACTGCATAGTCTACTGTATGTTGGGAAACATTTTTATTGTAGATATTGACCTGTAAATAATCATTAAATGTACAAATGTTTGCTTACAATTATTTTTGTTTTACACCATGATCCTTCATTTTTGCTGCTGATTTTTTTCTGATGGAGCTGAACTGTTGTGTTGTGATGCTACTGTATGTTTTTGATTTGACTGGGTGTACATGCAACTGCCATCCGGGTGCTTCGACATCTGATGGTGAAACACTGCAGAGCAAAATGAACCTCAACTCCCAATCCTCATTTTCTTAGAAAGTTTCAAATGTGAGCCGACAACTTGATTAAAGTTATGTTGTCATCACCATTAATGTTATTATTGTTGAGCATGGATTTATATGGACCTAATGTATGATAAACTTTGTGAACCTGCAGTCAAATGGTCTTGTCTTTATACTGTCAGTTTCTTTGCATGTAAAACATATGAAATGTTTTAAAGTTACTCTCACCTCAAACACATTCACATTCCACAGAACATGCACCAGTCAGGGAGTTTTTAAGTCACATGTACAAAGCAAACAGGCCACCATAGTACAGATATTATATATCAACTGGCACAGATGCTGGCAAGAAAAAGTGATGTAGAGAAAGCATAAGTCATTAAAAGACGGTGTTATTGCATATTAATTTATGAATATGCAGTGATGGTTAGCATTAGATATCATTACATTTTCCTTATTATACATATTAATACCAAGTTTGTTAATATTTTACTTCATGATGCAAAGTAGAATGATAATCATACTAATTTTTTTAAATGTTATGGTTAATGATGATAATTAATTACAAACATATTCATTAAAATGCAAACATTTCCAGGATAGAAAGCTTACCATTGGTCAAAGAGTCTTCCTTTGGTTTTGGACTGATTAGAGTAAAATATTAGATTAGAGTTGATGGTTAGCATCCAATCCTGTCTTTGGAAGAAGAACCTTTGGAAATAAAGAACTACGGGACACAAACTAACAGAACTCATGCACAACACATTTATCTTCAAGTGACTGTAGATTTTAAACAACATGGCAACATGGCAACAGTTCTGCCGTATATAAGTGCTCGTCTGATCAGGATATTAGAGTTTTTTCATAGAAAAGCTTCCATCTTTGCCACCTGCTACATGCAAGAACAGATTACTAAGACAATGTGACTTAATTGAATGGAAACCGAACAGAGAAACGTTCTGCCCCTTGCTGATGACCTGCTCCATAATAGCTGAGAGGGTGTTCCCTTTGACAGACGCTGCAAAGAAACTGATGAGAACAGAAAGTCCTGAGCAATGCGCCTCCACTAATTACTAAAATGGCATTCACATTCTGTATTTTTATGCTCTTTCATAATTACTGTGTAATTTTGTCTCTTCAAATCTTCCTCCTGTCTTTTTCTGCTTGAATAACCTTTTCATTACATTTTTCCTCTTCACTACTCGTGTTTTTTCCTTGCACTGTGCTCTCCGTCTTTTTCTCAAAAGCAGGCTCATTTATTGTCTATGTTTCTTCTCTGTTCTCTCCTCAACACCCCCACCTTTTTTCATCTCTGCTGACATTTTCACTCCAATAGCTTCAAAAACAAACGGCACACACAATATGTCTTGTTGCTTTTCTAATCTGATTTCTGCTGTAAACAAAGGATGAACAGGGACAGCTCATTAACAAGCCATTGTTCACCTCCTCCCTGCATTGAGATCTGCCCATATACTGACTATCTAGACTACTGTTTTGTGAAATTCATTTAAATGCTGACTGAGCAGTGTTACACTTGGCTGGGAACAATTTGTGTTCCTAAATGGAGACAATGATGACATGTATACTATGCTAGTAATGTCAACTAACTTTAGTTTAGCACTCAGAATAAACTCTTCCACAGTCAAGTGGTGTGGTCTTACAAAGGTCTTTATTTGAGATTGTATCACAGTTGAACCGTGCACCGTGGTCACCCATACACATAAAGTCAAGCACCGAGCACATTCTAAAGAGCTTAAAGTTCAAACATGACCGATGTCTCTTCTCCTTTACTGTAGTGTTTGTGTTTCTGGCATGTTCAAATCCAACTTAAGCACATTCCTCAAATCATCAACAGAAATAGTCCATCTCAAACAATCATTTACTTGCTCATTTGCACAAACAAATCTTGGAATATGTGCAATGACTTTGTCAAAAATGTCACTTTTGACCATAGTATCTCTTGTAATTTACCCGAAAAAGTTGCAAACCTCTCTCTTTATAAATGACAAATACAGCACTGTAAGCCTGGTAGCTCTCCTTGTATGCAATTCAATTTGGCAGGCAAACCAATTTATAAAGCCTTTGCGAAATGGAAAGTAATGTAACGTAAAGAAAATTTCTGGAATATTTTTTTTATTCAAGACCAGACAAAAGACACTGTGCCTGCATTCATGATGTTACATTTACAAAGGTCTGTATGAACATCTATTAATGTCAGAGGTAAGGCTCCATGTTATGTTAGGTCAGCTTATACAGACTAACTGTAGTGGTAGGAAAAATTCTAGTTGTTCGTTCATTTTCTCAAGAGCATCTCCCTCTTTACATGATGTCCTGCTGGTGCTGTGTGGATTCACTGACAACCTGAGGAGAAATAAAAGGTACAAAAGATAGTATAAGTCGTAATGAAGAAAGGTTAAATTCAAATAAACTGTATGCAATTCGTGACCCTCGGTGAGTTCATGTGTTGTTTGGAGGGAAGTGCTGTGTAGGAGCAGTGAATTTACTGTGAAGCCACTGTTTCAGAGTGCTGTGTCATGAGTTTAGTAGTCTTTGGTCACTTCTGTGATTGCTTACCGCTTTTGAGCTGTTGCTGTTTTATATATTGTCACCCTTAGTTGGTTCTGAGTGTTTTGTGTGTTTTTGCCTTTGAGTTTTCAGTGATAGTTTATCTTCCCCTGCTTCCTGGCTTGTTCGTTTGTTGTCTTCCCCCTGATTTTGCTTAATGTTCTTTGCAATTTTCATCTCCCCAGTGTTTTTCCATTTTAGCCGTGAGCTCACCTTCACCTGTGCTAATTTTCTCAGCTGCTCTGCTTTCACTAATCACACTCCTCTGCACAAAAGCTTCCTTGTTCTCTCTCTGGGAGATTCTTTGTCTTCTGTCTATCAGTTGCTCATCACCTGTGATTTATTTATCTCTTTGTTTTTCCATGGCTTTGTGTTCATCCACATCCTTCTAAATGTTTTCTCATAACTTACTTTTGACTTGCTGCTTAATGCGTGCGTGTGTGTGTGTCTGTGCGGGGGGAGTAATTGTGTGCAGAATCATTTGAATGTGGGAAACCTGTTTACAAATGCAGGTGTTGTGCTGTGTGTTGATTAGTTCCCACCTCTCCATCCCGGGTCTCAATGGTCTTGATAAGAACAGTCTTCTTGGAGTGAACCTCTGATGAGCGCTGATGCTGAGACTCAGGACTGGTCTCTGTCAAAGCACATTCAGTTTGTGAGCCCACACAGTATTTTGGTACTTTCTAATAAATCAAAATTTAAAAAACTAATATACACATGATATGTTTCTGTCCTTTTTAGATTATATCTTGTGCTTGCATTGGTTTGCCAATTCCACATTTTAAGTAGCCAGTGTAGCAAGAGATACTACTGTGACGCACTTTTGGGTTCCTGGACTGTGTGACTGTTTGGCTCTCTCAAACAGCCTTTGTGGATTTTGAAATCTCCAACATCACCACATAGTGTTCAAAATGTGCTACTGCAGAATTACTATATGCAAATCCCTCAAAATAGCTTCAACCTTATACAGTCGCAAGCTATAATTAGTCTCTTTTCTCCTTATTGAATCACCTTGGACATAAATCAAATTTAGCGGGTATTTGCATCTTAAAGGAATAATGTTTTTTTTTCTTTCTCACCTCTGAATCCAATAGAGGAATAGGCTGACTGAACAGGCATGGTGGTGGTGATCCTGTGGCAAGAAGATAAATTGAATCAAGCAAAAGCAAGATGGTCCCAGAATCCTGTAATATGGCATAAGTAGTGTTTTCATATATAGTTAAATCAGAAGGAAATGCACACAGACCTGCTCTCCTCTCCCTCCAGCAGCTTGCGGTAGGTAGCAATTTCAATATCAAGAGCCATTTTCACATTGAGGAGGTCCTGGTACTCCCTCAGGTGGCGAGCCATGTCATCCTGTACATCAATGAATAACAATATTCTGCCGTTTTTTGACTCAAGAAAAAAACTTGTGCTTCAAAGTTGCTAACTTTTGTTCTTGTGAAATCCCAAGTCCCACATCGGTGCATCCATTGTGCAATATTGAATTGCACAATTCAAAGAAACGACAAAATAAATGGATAAACAAAAAGTTGAAGCTTCTTACCTTCATCTTAGCAATATCTTCCTCCAGACGGGAAATGGTATCCTGATAACCAGAGGCCTCGCGGCCCATGCGATCCTCCATCTCTCTCATCTGGCGAAGCAGAGACTCATTCTACATGGTAAAAGAGAGATACGGTTAAGCGTCAAAAGGAAATAGATAGGAGCTGTGTATCTTCATACTGAACGTAGCAATGTGATTATGTAATGTGGCACATAGCAGAGTAGAATAAAGTAAGACAGTGATATACTGACAGTGCCCTTCAGTGAGTCAATCTCGCAGGTGAAGGACTGGATCTGGTGCCTGTACTCCATGCTCTCCTGCTTGGCCTGGCGCAGTGCGTCGTTGTTCTTGTTCACTGCCTGGTTCAGATCAGACACCTGTGGAGATAACAGATGATGCTTCAAACTGTGCAACGGCGAAAGAGGAACGACTGTCCTCGGGATTTAAGTGCGACTATCTCCGCTCTACCTTAGATTTGTACCACTCCTCGGCCTCTGCGATGTTGTTTGCAGCGATGGTTTCGTACTGCACGCGGATGTCCCTCAGAGCAGCAGTCAGGTCGGGTTTGGACATGTCCATCTGGATCTGGACCTGTGTGTCCTGCATCTGGCTCTGCAGCTCTCGGATCTCCTGTGAGGTGTCCGGAGAAAGAGCAATTTTATTCTAGACAGAAAGCAACTCAACTTTTGACCTTTCTTTAGGAAGAAACCAACATAAAAGGGAACATTTGAGATCACATTACTAACTGCAGAGACAATAAAACTACACAACTGTGTATAATCTTTGAGCAGTTTGCCGATGAAGTTGAAAGTCCAAAATAGCGACATGCTTATTCTGCATTTTGGAGACAGAATATCTGAAATCAGTAAGCTTTGGTTGCACTCAGCTGTCATCAGGTCCGATCAAAAGATTAAAATAGCTTCGCATCTGTTCAGACATACACACTTTTCCTCTGTCGCACAACAGCTGCCATGCTCTCCTCAACCAATTTGGCAGGTCAGCATTTCTGAGAGGTCAGAGTTGAAACAAAGAAGTCATAATGACAGGAGCTCACTCGGTAGTTTGATGTCTGCAAGTGAATGTGCACAAAGGTTTTTTTTTTTGCATTTTCTTCTTCTGCTCTGTAAATACAGCGTGCAGTTCATCGAGTGTTTCAGCACAGCGTGTGTGAGAGTCTGTAAATTGGTATATTAAGCATTTTTTTACACCGTTACACTTGTGAAATGTGTGATCTTGTAGAGAGCTTTATGCGTGCACAGATTCAGACGTGAAATTGCATCAGGCAGAGGACACAGACGCGTTAGCTGATGCCCGACACATCATCTCCAAAACACACAGAGTTGATTTGATAAACATGCAAACCTCTTCATGGATTTTCTTCAAGAAGGCAATTTCCTCCTGCAGGCTCTCGATGCGTCGTTCCAGGTCCAGCCTGGCCAGAGTTGCACTGTCCACATCCTGAATTCAAACAAAAAAACAAAAACTATGAACATGATCGAAGGTAAAGGAAATAAACCGGAAAAATTATAACAGTTTGGTATAAAATTACTGTTTTTTTAGGAAATGAAATTCAAACTTACAGCTCTAAAGGCAGAGAGGTTGTTCTCTGCCTCCTCCTTCTGGTGAATTTCTTCTTGCAGTCTTTTAATGTCACGGCAGAACACCAAGGGGAAAAGAACAAAAGACATGGGGAGAGTTTTTTAAAAAGGTGAACATGAACTTTATTTAGGGGCCCCCTTCGATAGATTAGCCACGAGTTATCTGTTTTCTGTGCTCTTTTTGCTACCAGAACAATTCTGTTGAACAGAATAGAGACAAAGTCTCCTCTATCTCATCCTCATTTACACACACACACACATACACACACCTCTTCACTTGCTCTTTTTGCCCTAATGCTATGGTGGCAGCTGCTGTCTCGCTTTGGGAGTCAGAGGGGTAACAGCAAGAAAAGATCAAGGCTCTGTCCTTGGCTGCCGATGTTTCCAGATATAGCTTTTCACTATGCACTTTAAACAGTGGAAAATATTGGCAAAATGCACTTTGCTCGCTACTTGCACAAGTAATGTGTTAAAGCTGTATGCAGCTGTTAAAAAAGGTTGTTCCTTTTTGAAGATGTTAGGAAAGCGTTCAATACAAATGCCTCCAAGTGTCTGCGTTGCGTGCATTGTGTGAGACAGGCAGGAGGTTTCTGAATGTATTTTGATCCCAGTGAGTGCCGTAAGTGCATGGTTCAGGCAGCTGCTCGACAAGGGGCTGATAAACAAAGAGCCAAGAGTTAGAGATTGTGCATGTGCTGTGTATGTGTGGATTGGAGGCTGATTGCAGGCTTTTTGTGTTTGAGTGGGTTTTGGGTAAACACTTGAATGTAAGTGATGGTGCATGCTGTTTCAGTGACATTATTCTAAATTCATAAGGCTGACCTGGCAGCCACAAATAGACAGAGTGACGCCCACATTACAGCTCAGCCTTTTCCACACTGCGTTTCTTTCTGTGTTGCTGGCTGTCTGTAACACACAAACCCACACAAGAAATGTTTGATGGACTGGTCTTTTTGAATGATGAAGTTCTCCCATTCAAATTCGTCTAAGTTCGTTCACAGGCAGACTGTGTGTACACATCTGTCCGCTGTCATCTGTCTGCTCCCATTTCTGTTTGACTATCGAAACTTTCTGTCCGTTTAAACTTTAGTTCTGTGAGTCTGTCTCTCTGTTCATAGTCTCTTGTGAACAAATTATAAAACACACTTTTGTTAGAAGCTGCTGGACTGGAAAGCTCAGTGAAGTAGGCCTGTTCTTAAATCCCTCCGTTGTTGCGCTGTTGTTTCCCTCTCCGACAAAAAGAAGAAATCAATGAACCATCACTACACTTTTATTTCCCCTCTTCAGATTTCAGCAGCTTATCATTTTCTTTTCCAGGAACAGCTGTAATAATATTACTTTACTTTTCTTTTACTGTTGGCTTTGCTTTCGAAGGTCAAAAGTCACATGATTTTTTACCCTTTGAGTAAGAGTTCAAATATGAATCTACAATGTCTTATAAATGTCTGGACAGATGTTAGTTTGAACAGTCAAGGTTAAAGGATCATCAGCTAAAAAAAAGGTTGGGACTTTCCAGCTTGTCCAAAATGCAGTGGTAAACTCTCATTAAAACTCTTATTAAAAAGGTGAAAGTTTTCAGAGCAAAGTTTTGTCATCCGCTCACCCCTCCAAACCTACCTCAGCTTAACCTTCTGGAGATCATCAGCCAGGTTGTCTCTCTCCACCTCCATTCTGGCACGCTGGTTGGAGATGGCCTCGATCTGCCTCCTGAGCTCCCTCATCTCCTCCTCGTACAGGTCGGCCACGCGCCCGGGGCCCCCCTCCCGGCCCCTCAGCTTCTCGATCTCCACCGTGAGCGCTGCGTTCTGCTGCTCCAGGAAGCGCACCTTCTCGATGTAGCTGGCAAAGCGGTCGTTGAGGTGCTGGAGCTCGGCCTTCTCGTTGGTCCTTGTGTTGAGGAAGTCTTGGTTCATGGCGTCCGCCAGGTTGAAGTCGAGCTTCTCGCCGGAGTAGGTGCGCACGGCTCTGGAGGAGCCGAAGCCATCTCCCCTGGCCCCCGAGGAGCCCCTGAAGCTGGAATAGGAGGGAGCGCCGGAGCTCTTGACCTCGTAGACTCGGGCCGACATGCGGCTGGCGGAGGAGCTGTGGCCTCCTCCCAGAGAGGAGTACGCGGACGACATCGGCGTTGAGCCCACGCCGGAGCCGAAGGTGCGGCGGTAGGAGGACGAGCTCTGGGCGGAGGAGGCGTAGGACTTGCTCATGGCTGGTTGACTGGTCGGCTGGCTTGTGAGGTTGAAGAAGGAGACGCTTCGGTGGTGAGACCCAACTGTCCTACTGGGCAACTGGGAGGGGATCTGAGTGATGATATGCCAGGCACAGAGAGCAACTATTTGTAGACCAACCGCACCCCGGCCTGCCCCTACCCCTCTGTCTCCATCCACCCATGTCTGCTCACTCCCACTACCCCCCCCCCTCATTGACATACCAGCTATGAGCGTTTATTGATCTCTTTTGTTTCTACTCAGTCGTGTTTTGGATGGATATTTAGTTCCGTTTTTTTGAGAAACACCTATAAAGGTATTAAAGGAACATGTGAGAACTGCTTAACCATTTTGACCTACTTAAGTATAACTTGAGTGATTACTGTGATCTATGATGCAAGTTGTAAATATATTTTTGAAATCACACAAATCTTTTTTTTTTTGCTTGTCATGATGTTATAATAAGCCCCATTTGTGATGAAATGTTCTTTTTCATTGACTTGAAAATTAGAAAGTACTTTAATGTAATAAAAACAGTTATCTGGTCATTCAGTGACATATTTTGGACGGAATTCATTGGTATGCCATCCATTTGGTCGGAGGATTTTGCTCCATATCTTCTTACCCCTTTCAGCCAATCATATTGGCTCTTGTCACTCTTCTCTTTGCATACCCCCCCTCCCCCACCACCACCCCCCACACATACACACACACACACATACACCCCACCCCCGTGTGTCTCGCCTGTTGCCAGCCCTCAATTCAGCTGTTGAAGGGGTCTGGTTTCAGCTGCTCGTAAAGACGGTGATCTGTTCCTGCGTGAGCGTGGGCTTTCCATGCAAAATCATGTGAGAACTGAATTGATTTCTGTGCAGTTTGCTGTTGGTTTGTTGGCCAAGTTGCCCTTCAGATGGTCTACACTTGTAATAGAATTTATGTAATCTCTAAAACAGTAGCAGAGTGAAGTAAAACATGATTAACTCTGTCCATGATGGTGGAGAAGTGCAGAAGAACATTTTCTAGAGTTTGTTATAAACCAATGTGGCCCCAATGCACAACGCACTATGAAAAACAAATGAAACAAGAGAGAATTTTGTTTTTTTGCAACATATATGAACTTCAGTGAATTTCCATAATACCTACTATGAAAATTCCCACACAAGTGGGGAAAAAAGGGATGTAACCAAGCCAAAAACGCCCGTGGAGTTGGTGACTATTGAAACCTGCGGGATCGAGATTTCAAAATCTGTCAGATCAGACTCCACAGGACTTATGCCAGTGCCCTCACAGTTAAATAAATATTGATAATCTTTTCCTCGATTAAAAGTAAAATGATAGCATGTCTCTCATAGTTCACAACTCTGAAATACTTTGATTTGGGCTTGTTCAGTTACACACCCAAAGCATGTTTGGAACTCATTACATACATTTTCCCAGTCTAGACTGGCAGTGGCTTCAGATGTATATAGCTACGCTTTGTTACATGAGCACAGTTTGACTGATAGAGCCCCTGCTGGAGAGGTCACACACCATGTGTGGGGGGTCAAAGGCATTATTTAACGTTTTGATACTGAATGTCTGGGACATAATTGTGTTTTGTTTGTAAATGTTATTGCATTTTGGAATCAAAATGGCAAAGATTCATTTGTTTTAATGTGGATAAAACAAATGTGTTATTGTATGGCAGTTAAGTGAAATCCTTCACAGGATCCTTCATTTTGCATTTTCATGTGGAATCCATTTTGGCCAAATCATAAACTGAACTTGATAAATGGTGGTGGACTTTGGCTTGGCAGTGGTCGAGCATTTCACAAATTAAATATTTAGTTTGGTTCGGTGGGAGATAGAGGTGAGACAAACTGAGAGAGTGAGTCAAATCTTCAGAAATTTCCACAGGCCACAGAAATTCAGTGCTTCAAGATTATGTTTGGAGCTAGTTTAGCGCTTTTACAAGTGCCCTTGTTAGGACTTAGGCTTGAAGCAGCCTCATAAGCAACAGCTCCATACTTTGTGCAATATCTTTATCTGTGTGTTAACATGTCGGAATCAAAGACAATTACGAAAATGACAAGGATGACCTTTCAGACTGCTCCACTGAATAGTAATGATGCCTTTACGGGAATCATCTGTCACTGCTGGCGCGAGAATCTTGGCATTTTGTTTTATTTAAAATCTCCTGACCTATACAATTCAAAAGTGACTTATAAATGGAAGTATGGTGTCGATGAATGTGCGACTGCTCATAGATGCATGTGTCGACGGGGTCATTGTGTGTGGTCGTGCACGCGTTTTTCATGAAGCGGCGTGCATGTCAGCTGCTGGTGGTGTCAGCTCTATTTTTAAACTTCCCGTTTGAACTCAGCTGTTTGGCCTCATTCCCAAAAGAACATTGGACTGAAGTCAAAGCCCCATAACCTGAATTGAAAAAAACACATAACTGACTGTGAGCTCTGATGGAAGCTGATGGGGAAAAAGACATTTTTATGAAACGTATCTGCAGTTGGTCAATCTTTAAAACACAAACACAGGCCCCATAATGGCTCATAATGGCTCTGTACACTCTGTTCCATACTGTTGCTCCAAATATGTTTGAATTTAATGGCCAACATTAAAAAGATGGCTGTTTACATTGCATTAAAACCAGTGTTTGTTTAGGTTAGGGGGCTGTAATGATGGTCTATTCAGTTTTTTTTAACCATGTGATGAAGTATGGAGCATATGTAGGGGATATACGGTCATATTGATGCAGATGGAATATATAGAGTATTAAATTAACTATATAACTAATTGTAATATTTGATGTCAACAACAGATCTCACGGCAAGAACCAAATAGTGAATGCAGATTAGACTGCAATGTTAGACTGTGATAATGAATAAATTGGCTTCCTCTGCCAGTATGAAGATTCTTAATGCCTGCAAAAGAACGGGTCAGTCTTTTAAGCCTTGCACCATTTCAGGGACCATTACTTGTTTATTAGCTATGCAATCTGGGAAAGCCACTGACTATAACTGGTCTTAAAACTTTGTGCACACTCACAGACTGCAAACTAATGGTCTAATTATTGAGCATGAGTCTAGTAGCTTCTTCATCACTTTACCATTCATCTGTTATCATAGGCCAGAAATAACGTAGGGGATTTTCGCCATCAGAGACGGGAAATTTTGTGATATATGAAGAACAGTGTGACTTGACTGTGTAATCTGATACAGCTGTAGCTGTCATTCTAGTTTCCAGATGAAGACCTCATAATCAGTGCAGGAGAGAAGGTGAGTTACCTATGTGTTGCCTAACAACCCCAGACTGGGAATGAACACACCCTGAAACATGGCTCAGAAAAGGCACACTTATTATAGCTTGCAAATCCCGGGGCGACGGGGAAAACAGTTATCACGCACTCCCATGCAGGCAACAAGTGTCAGAATACCAACATTAAAAAACAGCCAGCAGCTATGCTTACAGCCTAGTCATGATTCTATTTTTAAAATCGGATGCAGCATAAAAATATCAGCGACAGATTACAAAAATCTATCCAACATGATTATCTTGGTTACTTGAATAATACACAGAATCAAGTCAGTCTTGTATCCCATGGGGAGAGAGAAGTAAATTCCATTCTCTGAGAGGATCAATGGGCCATGCTCCAAACTCCAGAAAAACTAGTTCAGACAAAAAACAAGTGGTTTTACAAGGCATTATGAAATGGTTCATATTTCCATAAAAAGGGAAAATCAAAGAGAAGTATCAATCTGCACGTTTCAGAAAATGACAGATAAGCGACTTTTTTGAGTGTCACAGTTCTGCCCTTGAGGTATGAGTCTGTGATAACAGTGAAAATAAAGTGGCATGGGGAGATAGTAGCAAAATATCATAACATTTAGTAAGTGCTGAAAAGTGTCTATAGGTGAGGAGGGGTTAGATGGTTTCATCATTCTTAAATAAAGAACGCAAGTTGCCAGGCAACCAACAAAAACATGAATACACACATGCCAAAGAGCTGAGCTGCCATACAAGAGAGGTCCCTGGCCTGATTGTGTGTGTGCAATCTGTGTGTATCCCAGTGTGTAATGTCAAATCCGGAACAACATCATGATCATGTTTTACAAGGAAACCATGTCCCAATTTTTTTGGCTCCATTTTGGAAAAGAAATTGTGCCTGAAATAGACAGCAGTAGACTTCAAACTGACGGATCTTTCATGAGTCACTTTAAAATACATGAAAATGATTATCTGCTTTCTCACCTAACACAACTTGGCCAAGACCTACTGTATGTCAGCAAACATATGACAGCCGTGTAACACAAACTGACGGGAGAATCCCAGTACTCATATCATTCAGCATCACTTATTCTGTGAAGAAAGTAAATATATGTAATAGCTATACACAAAACAAATAATAGGTCATGGATAAGAATGTGAAAACTATTGTGATAAAATAGAAAATACACTTAATTTTCAACATTTCATGTTTTCTGTTCTCTTTTGAAAAAAAAAAAGGCTGATGAGGTTTGAAAATCTTTGCAAGGTGAGTTAAAAATAAAACAACAACAGCCCAATCACAGCACCTCTGTCTTGAAGAACAGTATAGGATTTTGATTTAATTTATTCACTCCCACCATCCCATAGGGAATAACCAATTTGGAAAATGGATGGTTGGATATTTTATTTACTGTATGGTCTTTGCTGTTAGAAAAAAATGTTACATTTAATTTTTCTATCGAATAAGGGGAGTTATTTCTCCCCCGTTGAAAAGAATAAGGAGCCTGGCCTAAGGGAACCCTTACTGGATAGATGCCCTGATCCAGTTTTAAACCCCCAACCTACTGCTCCCCAGAGTGTTACCTCTATGCTATCCACTTCCGTATTTATATTGAGTCAATGTCAGCTATATTGAGTCAAGTGTTTCCAAACATGTGGATTCATCAGACACAAGAGGGAGCAAGAGAACTGCAGGAAGAGCTACTGGGCCTTTTCCTGCTCAGAGCTGTGTGAGGAGTGATGTACCAGTCAGGTGCAAGTCTTTTAGGCTTCCAACGTCACCAACCTCAGCCAGGACATCTTGGAAGTTTGCATATCCAATTAAGGTTTATCCTAGATTGAGAAAGAAAGAGAGAGAGAAAAAAAACTATCAACTTTAAAATACACGCTTGTTTCTGGTCAACATCTCATTGCTAAATCCCTTTCCTTAATCCGGAACCATAACCATCAACCTCTGCAGAACAACTGTGAAGAATAATTTCACTATTGGCAAAATATATCAACAACACTCTACCATAATGAAGCCTAAATCGTTTATTTGGATTTCAGAAAACATCCGAATGGATTGATGACTGCTGGAGTTTGACTGCGTCAAATGATTTCTCCTCAACTTTATTTTTCAACTTTGGCGCATGCCTGCAGGTCCGCGGACAATGCACAAATGACGTGGACGAAAGGGTGGAATATGATAGTTGACGCTTTCATTCACCCCCCCCCCCCCCCCTCCGATTCAGAGCCCTTGGTGACGTAGCCGCAGGTTGGCGTCTTGTGTTGCGGAGACCTCCCTGTTTCCACAGATTGTGCCTTGTTTCCGCAGTTGTGCTGTCGTGAGTCGATACTACGCCGCTTGCCCACAGTCTGTCCCCTCCTCACGTCCGCCCGCCTGCTCACTGGCAGCTTTTTTATTATTTTTCCTCCGATTTTTCCTCAATTTCCCCCCCCTTCTCACATGAGCTTCATGTGCAAAGTGCGAGCCTCCTCCAGCACTGCTCTTGGAAACATGATGATGATGGTTTAGAAAAGGAAAACACTCATCGTCCTTCTCTCTCCATCCACTCCGTGGTGCCTCAGAGGATCATGCAACATCTTAAGCCATGGCGAGCTCTGCTCCTTCTGACCATGCTCTACCAACCATCCATCTCTGAAAAATACGGTAAGATAATAATGAAGATGCATGATCATAATTGACTCTCCTGTAATATTCCTGCTGTTGCTTGGTGCAAGCAAACTACTTAATGTTAGTTCATTGCATATTTGTTGGTTATTCTTTCCTTATATTGGTATTGCTGAACATATCCAGCATTAGATGGGAACTCTGATTAATGTTTGCATATTCACTAAGATCTGTGGGGGAATAGAGAGTAGAAATAGATACATGGAAGGGAGGAGTGATAGGGAAGAGAAAACTATAAGCTGTTTACCCATGCATCACCACCTGACACTGTTTTTTTCCATGGAAAATCAAAAGCCTGCCACCAAATCCATTTGCAAATAAATACTGACTGCGTAATGAAACATGAAACGGACAAATTCCATTTGAAACCTTAAAATGAGAGTCAACTCTCTGTATATATTGATTTTTAAAAAAACTCCTCATTAATCCTAGTATGCGAATGAACACAGCCAGAGGTTCATATTACATCTCAGATGGGATGTAACAGAGAATATTTGTATGGCTTAAATGCTCAAATAGAGAATATTTCCTGTTGACAGAACCTCCGCCTTGCTTTTATTATTCATGATAGTGATCGTTTTGACTTCCATATCTCAGTGACTGTCACTTTGATGACTCAAGAATGCAACAAGTCAAATTTGACGTTTTTCCCCATGCGTTTTCAATCTGATGTATATATTGTTAATGGACATTTGTGAAACAAGAGATTTAGACCTATACTGAAAAAGCATTTTCTATCTTTGTCTTTTCTCAGCAAAAAAACAAACTGACAATTGAGCTATACCAGCTTCCCTCAACCATCCTTATCTGCCCAGTATATTCATTTAACACTGCTTTTTTATTCAAGGTAGATTTCCATTATATGTCTGGTCGTCAAATTGATTAAGCAGCATTGATTCATTAAAAGCAGAAAGCAATACCAATGATCAGAAATACTCAGTAATTGTACCAAATCATTTATAAAATACACACTGTTTTTTACTAATTAAAGTCACAATGTGCATTGCTGGTAACCCAAAGGGAAATTAAAGGCATGGGGGAAAGAACAACCCAATGACCCATCAAAAATGACAAGCCAGACTTCAAGCTCTATAAAAACCTGGAGGGAGACCAGTATCCGCTGTTGCTCCTGTCAGCCATTCATCTGTTAGCACATCATCGTTGTTATGTCACACATGACCCCGTCCAACTGTTTGATTGATAAGCCGTCCAACCATATGTCCAACTGTCCATCTGCAAAAGTGCAATGATGTTCAAGTTTTGACATCCCAGCAGCCAGCTGTGCCCTGGGGGCCAGATGTGCTGTTGTTGTGACAAACACAGTACCTGCAGAGCAATGTCGAGGAGTTTAATAGAACCTTAATAATACTTTACCAAGCTCTGGTTCTTACTTCACAGTTACATGCCCAGTAAAAAAAGAAAAGTATGATGAATCTAGCATATTCAGGTTTTCTTATACAAGGTTATTGCCTCTGAATCTTACTGATTGAAGTTGTCATTGGAAATATAATTTTTTATGCATTCTTAGAAATCAGCTCTACGCTTCCACTTGTCACTCGTTAATTTACCTCTGCCAAGTGTCTCTTTTACATTGATCTGTTTTAGATGGCCAGCACAGGCCATTACCCCTGTAATGTCCCGTACTATAATGTGCTGATTTGTGGCACTCTTAAAACAGAGGAGAGTTTTTAAAGACCTTTTGAAAATGAAACATTTTTGTACATTTTTGTCTGTACTCTTCTTTTTTTCTTTGCTTTGATTCCTCTGAAAAAGCTAACCAGTTATTTATCAGCTTTATATTTAGATTTTATTTTACATGAATATTATGAATATCACAGAAACTATTCTGATATATTTTCAGTTTAAATCAATTGAGGAGTGGAACCTTTTACATCCTCATACATCTAGCCATAGGGCCTCTGGCTATGAGAGGCTATGATTTGTTCTGTGAGACAGAAAGCCAGGCAGGGCTCTATTCGGCTGTGCTGCATTCCTATCTGCAGCCAGACACCTGCTCCTTCCCACACTCCAAGGTCTCTTTCACCAAACTCAAAAACTGTTCATTTAACTACTAAAAGACAAACACTCTCGCCCGTTGTTAGCTGAGGTAGTCTGTGCCCCTCCCGCAACCCCTGTTGGGAATAAGCAGTATAGAAAATGGATGGATGGAAGATTAAAAACAGAGATTTTAGATAAAATACTAATGACAGTTCGATGTGACGCCCATCTGTTTTTTCAGACTAATCATCACCAGAATTAGGGAAGCAGAGTTACTGGTCAACAGGTTAAAGTGAACACTTCAATTGTTTTTGTGTCGTCATGTAGCTCTTCTATCTGTATATTGGTTATAAAAACAGCTGCAGATTATTCAGGGCTTGCATTTCAGTCACTTCTGGACCTGTACAATGTGAGACCAATTAGAAAGGAGAAATCAGGTTTGAGCTGACATTTGGCCATTCCCACCCATTCTAAATGTGATTTAATTTAGTGGTTGCTATGGAAATGAAAGATTTTAATATGTCAGCTTGCTCCTTGTCTTTTTACCACAGGTTGTCTCTTTGAGAGGAAATTGTGCACAAGAGACCAGTTCTGCTCAGATGGTGAGTATGATACACCAGTGATTACTATAGTTCTTTTTTAAAATGGTCTAAACCTTCTCTATGCTTGCATCTGAAAGCAAAAAAACACCTTAAAACCCACAGAAAGCCTGTCGACTGTGAATAGAAATAAACAGAAAAAAAAAGTCAAGGATTTTTTTCCTCCCTCATGTGTGATCATCTCTGTCACCTGCCCCTTTTTTTTCTCATCTTTGCCGAAGCCCCTCCTCACCTCATTGTCACTATGGCAACACTGACATCACGGTGAGGTCGCCGCCCCCACAGTTGTTGTGCTAATACAGCGATGAGTCACTGACGTGCGCTTACGTCCTTCTCTGTGGAAACTGCACTTACGCACACTCTCAATCATTGTGCAGAATACTAAATGGATCAGCACTCTCGCTGCCCAGGAGCACACAGAGACACACACATATTTATGGATCCTCACAGGTTCCAGTTGTTATGAGCTCTTCTCGCCTCTGCGTTTGTTCAAAGGCCTTTTGCACAATATGGGCAATAAACAATCTGTCCTTTCGTTAGATGGAAATTGACCTAGTTTCTTTGGTTTATTAGTCCACTGAGAGCATTGCAACAGTCTTCACATACATCCAGAGTGCTTGGCAGCTTAGATAGTTCAGGTAGTGCCTGCGGTAGATTGTAAGGAGTAACAGTAAGCTATTTCGGGGCCATAACTAATTGACGCAACAACAAATTTCTTTTCTTTTTTTTCAGCAGAATTAAGTCACTGTGAATGTGTTGGTTATGTCTTCAGAAAATATCATAAATATTTTCATTAATATTATTTTAGCAAATCATCTTATTTATGAATCTGTTGATACCTAAGATGTCATGACAAATCCCTTCACTAATGAGGAGATCTGTGTGTGTATATGTACTATATAGACACGTTTGTGTGCGTGTAAATATGTATATATATGATATAAAAGCTGTAGTGGATAGCGTGGAGGAAACACTACTGTCTTAACAGTAGGTTGGGGGTTCGATTCCCAATCAGAGCATCTATCCAGTACAAGTTCAATTAGGCCAGTAGCTAGTGGGCTCACAAAACATGATGGGAACAAGGAATTGAGAACAGAGCTCTGTTGGAATGCTACCATACAAATAACCCCAAGATGTGGGATTCTTTTATGAATATATTTGAAATAATCTTTATTATAAACTTGACATAACTCATACAACTCTTTCAAAATAGTTTCATAACTTTTACATGTGCTGTTTTGCATAAAAGATTTTTGGCAATTATATAATCCTCGAACCCTCGTTGATCTGTTCTGTATCGCAGTCCTCCTCGAATCTCTTTGTGATAGATTGGGTTGTGTGTGATTTAGCTGGTGAGGTGACTGTGGTGACTCATCATTGCACCAGATAAAATATAGTCTCAGCTTTATCTTCATTCTCACCACATAATAATCAACAACAGCAGCCTTCTTAGGAAATGTTTAGATCTTTATTCACTAAGGATTCAGAGTAAAAAAAAGGGGGGAAAGCATGATTTGGAGAAGTAATTTGGCTTTTTACACAATAATAAAGAGGTACATTTTTCAGTATCTCACAAGCATAACTTCTACTTTGAGGCGAATTTCCTTGCCCTTTTGATTCTTTTGAGAATCATTGAACCTTTACTATGCATTTCTTACTTCAGAGTTTGCCAAGTATATAAGAACACACCTGGTGAACTCTAATGGAAGAATGGATGTATAATAGCGTGGGCTGTAAGTGAAACAACAAGGATACCTGCTGCACGTATCTAAGAACAGATTTATTTCTGATTCTGGAAAAAATAAAAGTTCAAGAAAAACATTTCAGCATTGCAATGAGTGTGTGTTTCACAGCGTTGTTCAGGACTGTTTGTGAAACACACACGCCAACTAACGGGGGCATAACCTCACAATAAGGGCCATGACGAGCAGTATCAGTGTGTGGGCTTCATTTGGGTTTTATGATTCACTGTATGGTTATGAAATGTGGACAATGATAAGAAGCCACTGTGCCTCACGGCCAGGGTCACTGAACATTTTTTGCTCAAACGTGTACAGTTGACATCCCCTTAAAAAACACATTTTAAATCTGCTGTTTTGTATTGTAGAAATTGTATCATCTATTTCACAACAAATGCTTACAGTCAGGGTAAATCACAAGTTTTTAAAAGGCCATTTGAAACATCAAATTTTTGGTCTAGTGCTGCATTTTGGCAAAACAATTTTTTTCCATCTGTGGCCTGTCCAAAAGCCACTCATGGTAAAGCTCACAATAAGCTCTGATGGGTTCCGTATCTACTCAGGTAACAGGGTTCAAAACATTTCTCTCCTGTGTGTGTATGAATATGTGTTATTTTAGATGGGTTGTTTGGGCAGTGTCGAGGCTCCAAGCAGAACCAGGTCCAGTATCAGGTGTCTGTTCCTGTACTGAAACGAATGCAGGAAGTCCTGAAACAGCTCATGCTACAAGGTAAGGCAATGAATGAAAAACATCAGTTTCGTATATATGTGTTAATGTAAAGCTTTTTAAGCGAGTAGCATATGGAATTTTGTTGGTTGTGATTACACATCAAGTCAAATTGTGGAACAATTTGTCTTAATTCCTCCATTTTGTATGGCAGTTTTGTTCAGCTCTGTGGCTCACCTGATTTTGCTTAACGAATGTCTTAATGCAGGGCTGTCATGGCAGGATGACATCACCCAGTATATTTTATCAAAGGAGCTGAAGAGAGTTCCTCATACGACCGTTCCGTTGAAGCCAAACTCATCATCTTCCTCTCTTCATTCATCCCAGTAAGAATTTGACTGTAGCTTTTATAAGTAATGAACATTTACACACATACACACATCTATATTAATTTTGTCCTGGTTGCCAGGTCCAAACAGCACATCCCCCACCACAGTTCAAAGTCAGGGGCCGCACCTCCTGGAAGCAAATATCTGGACTACATGATTGTTGAGCCACCTCAGACTCCGATGCGTATGCAAACTGCATCAGTGGATCCATACACATACCACCAGGTATACAAACAAACGCACAAAGTCACTTGAAAGATGCTTTGGAGAGTCGATCACAAAGCAATCAGAGTTTGACAGATGTTGACAGGATGCTACAATTTAAATATGAACTTATGCAACAGTTGAAATTCATAGTTGGATTATTATAATACTGTGTTCGTTTCTGTCAATCACAGCACAGGTACCAAGAGGAAGCTGAGAGATCTCTGATTGGTGCGGGAGGTGGTTATGCCCGTCCCTCTTCAAGACACCAGGCCAACCAGAGAGAGCGAGAGCGTGACAGGCAGCTGCTACAGGAAGCTCTGTCTCTGTACCTGCCATCTGCACAGACTGCATATCGCCATCGTGGAACTGCCTCCATTGCTCCTGCGGGTAAATGGAGAAAAAGATCAATTCAGAACACTACTGGGAGATAATTGAAACTCGTGGCATTCAAAGAAAAACACAGTTTGAAAATTGAATTATTTAAAAATAAAATCTTAATCATTAGTCTTAAATGTTTGATAAATTACAATCATGTTGTAAATGTATTTTTTATTCAATGGACAGGTGTGCCTTATTATGAGGACTTTGATTTGGAGATACCAGCCAACTACATGGAAGACTACACCCTACAGGAGAGACTTGGCACTACAGGAAGGCAACAGAACATACAGAATAAGAAGGTCCCTGAGGACTTAAATGGCTTGTCTGGAGGCGATGGTGAGGAAACGTTATTAAAGTGAAGACATGCTTAGTGAAAAAGTGTTTGTTAGAAATACTTTGCAATGCAAGAGTACTTCCAGTATTTACCCTTTGGATGAGCTTATGGATATAAATGAAATCTCTGCTCTCTGCTTAGATGGCTTACTCCAGAGGATGTTAGAGGTTTACCTCAGGAAGAACAACATTGATCCAAGGGAACTGAGTCAGGAGCAGCTCTACAGGCTGGCTCTCATACTGCAGCTGCTGCAGGGCCAGGAAAAAGCAGGTACAAAACACCACAAGCACCATTTAATGCTGACCTGAATGTTTTAAATCAAACGTAAAATCCAAATTTACTCTAACATGAGCAATTAAGAAAGTCTGTTTTATGGTAAGACTGAGTCATGTTGTCTTGTAGCATGACTAATCACTGCGTTTTTTTCCTCAATGCAGATCCAGTTGAGAAAGGCGTCATCACTCTTAAGGAGGTACGCTGACCCCATGTGTTCGCCCCTGCTGCAGACTCTAATTCTTTTTCATTACTTCTCACACTGGCATCCTTCTGTTATCCTCCTTAGATGCAAATGTTACAGAAAGAGAGTGTGTCCAAACCAGAGAAGCCTGCTCCTGCATCTGGTCCCCCCAATGACCCCCCCGCTCCCTCCTCTGCCTCAGCCCCAGATACCCCTGCAGCCAAAAGTGCCATCTCACCCCCCTCTGCTTCCCAGCCTCCACAGCCTGTTCCTGCAAAAAATGGGAACAGCTTTAAAGAACCTCTTGTTGAGAGTGCAGGAGCCAAAGAGGAGTATGGGTACATTGTCACTAATCAGAGGTCAGCAGCTTTGCGAATTTCACATTCTGCATGCCTTACTAGCAATTTCATCCATAAGAAACATTTTACCAAATGGCTATTCATAGTGATATGTCAAATTAAATCTGCTTGTCTTTTGTCTAGTCCGCTGAGTCTGTATGATGGAGCGAAATTGTTGGAGCTGCTAGCTGATAAAATACACTTGACAACCAGCAGTTTTATCAACATCAGGTAACGCTCCAGTAATCTGGGGAATGTGTGTAAGCGAGTTAATATTTGACTGTTTTCAAGGGTCCGACGTGTTCTCCTGTGTCTGTGTGTGTGTGTTGGTTGGTTTGTGTGTTTCACTAGTCTGGTAGGCTCTGCCCTGACTTTCCGCATCCGGCAAAATGAGCACAACATCACGGCTGCGGATGTGGCTGCCAAAGCCGGTGAGACCCACACCTACACACAGAATTTACCGACGCTTACATACGTACACCCGTACTTGAAGTGAAAAGTGAGAAAAATGTTGACAAACTTGTTTTTTTGTTTGTTTGTTTTCCCCCCCGACTTCAACAGTGTCTGAGAAGAACTTCCTGGAGTCTGAGACTGGCTTGAAAATTGTGCAGAGCGGTGTGGGAGAGGTACTTCACAAGCACACTTTACAGCTCTTGTATATGTAACACATGGGCTGGTTGTCAAGGCAGCAGAGATCTTATCTTTCGTCTATATTCATTACCACCGCTACTTTATATAACCGTTCGATTATCAGACATCTAAGCTTCAAACCCCAGAAATCTTTCTTTTTCACTCCATCGATGCCAACATCTTTTATCTCGGCTTTCATCACCTAAATCTTCTTTTCTACAGCTTTTTTTAAGCTGAGAGATAATTAATATCTAGGCGAATTAAATGATTTACATGTAACATTCGGATTCAAGAATCCTAGTTTTAGTCAAAAAGAGTCACATGACTGGCTTGGATATGGTGGATGGAAGTTTAAAATGTCAATTTGGTGCAGTACGGTAGAAATATTTTTCAGGAACTCTCACATTTAAAAAGCCTTCGCGCTTTATGGCAGACAAAAGCAGCACATTAATCTCATCTCCAAGACTCTTTTCCGTCCTCCACTTCTCTTTTTGCTGTAATGCCATGAGTCACTAATTTGTGTGTGTGTGCTCCTATGCACCTCTGTGGGAAAAATTAACAAGCGAGCAACACTTTGTAGCAACATGTATTTCACTTGTTGCCATGGCGTTTCGTCTCCTCCATCCCCCACCTGCCCTCGCCTCGGCTCAGAGATCCCAGGTGCTATGGCAACTGTCACACAAGTGCCATTAACCTTATTATCCACTGTTCACACAAACCGCCTTCAGCTCGTCCCTCGCTTCACATGTTACGGCTCATAATTGCGTAAACTCAATATCAGGATAAAGTACACACGCCGATTGCTTTGTATACATGTATTTTTCGTACGTCCAGTATATTTGCTTTATATATTGAATTATTATTGCAGTGTCTTCATTCATTGTAAGGCCATGATAGTGATTTTCAGGTCACGTACATTAACTAGGGTCTGTGCTCCTAATTTGTTGACGTGTTATACTCTGATGGCATTCCATATTAAAAGACAGTTCTTTTTTTTTTTTTTGCTCTTTCACAAGCAATGGAAAAAAATATAACCTGATGTTTAGCAGAGCTTCTGTTACATTAAAGTTAGGTCCTCTGTAAGATAGATGTAAATACAGTACTGATCTCCAAAAAGAATGTTTTCTCTGCTGCCCAGGCATCTCAGCAGCTGGGATGGTGGAAGGATACAAAAATGAAAAACTGAGTGATATTTTTACTTCCTGGCTGCTGTTTGTCGTCTCACATGTGATGGCTGGTTGATCTCTACTTGGCCCCAGCTGTCTTTTTAATGGATTCATGGGATAAAGCAACTTGACCTTTTCAAACCTCAGATTCTAAAATGCAACCTCAGCTGCTCGTCCAGCACACTCCGCTGTCATATTCGTTTGCAGAGAATCCAATCTGTCGTTAAACTGAAACCCGTGATCTTTCAGTTAGTGGCGAGAGCTCATCCCATAGGGGCACCTTAGCTCGGGTTCACTACCAATCTGCCTGTTGGAATATGAGACAGACATGAGATTGCAGTCTCATGAGATAATGGTCACTTTTCCTCTTTGTGACCACTATTTTTGGTGTTCCTTTTTCCTAGAGGACAGATGCGCGGGGTGGTCCTCAGGTAGCCCGGGTTTCCCACGGCTCCAGTGGAACAGCCATCACCCTTGTTTCCATGGCAGTTGTGGGAGGTGTGCTGGTATTGGCCATGGCTGTGGCCTGTTTCAGGCACTATGCTCAGCAAGTGGCCAATGGCAAGCTTGGTCTGGGGCCAGAGGGAGGAGCGGAAACACACTTTGACTATCAGGCAAGACAACTAATTGTGACTGTGTGACCTTTAAAGTTTTGTCAACGTATTTTTAGATTCAGGCTAACTATCTCTATGGTCATTGCATTTTAGAAAAATGTTTTTTTTTTTTAAACAGTTTTTCACAGTAAGCAATTTGTCCTCATATTAATGCAGTTTTAACTTGATTCAGGAGCTATGTCGGCAGCACATGGCTTCCAAATCCTCCCTGTGCCGCCAGGATTGCGCGGGTGCGGTGGCCAGCGGCGTTGCGGGTTCCGGCGTAGCCCCCGGGGCCGGTGGACGCCGGGGGACGGACACGTCCCGCGTCAGCAGCGTGTCCTCTCAGTTCAGCGACGGGCCGCAGCACAGCCCGTCCTCCACCCACAGCTCCACCCCGTCCTGGAGCGAAGAACCAGCCCAGTCCAACATGGACATCTCCACTGGTCACATGATACTGGTGAGGAAAGCATTGAACTTAATGAGGTGCTGTGGGGATAAAACATGATGGCGCATATAAGGATTGTGGCGCTTTTCCTGCAGGCATACATGGAGGACCACCTGCGTAACAAGGACCGGCTGCAGAAGGAGTGGGAGGCTTTGTGTTCTTATCAGGCTGAGCCCTGCTCACTGGCCGTGGCTCAAGACGTGACCAACATGGACAGAAACAGACGTGCTGAGGCCCTCCCCTGTTAGTGCACCTATGCCCCTTCATTTCTGATCACTTCTGTCGTTTGCATGCTTTAACAGACCAGACATTTAAATGTGAGATAGTCATTGCGTCCCCTGATTCATCTCATTGTTACGATGCCCTAATTTCCAGATGATCATTCTCGTGTGAAGCTGAAGACAGAAGTCAACCCAAATAAACAAGATTACATCAATGCCAGTTTCATAGTAAGGATTCCTCAATTCGTGTCATTCCGGTTCAGTTCAGCCACCTCAAGCCTCTCCATGCGCACAGTTTGATTGCAGCTTGTTTCTGTCTGATATATAGTTTGATCACGACCCTCGTCAACCAGCTTACATTGCCACACAGGGACCTCTGCCCCACACTGTGGCTGACTTCTGGCAGGTCAGTTGAATCTCTTTTTTTGTGTTTCTTTTCTTTTTTTCCAACTCTGCCCTTTTGACAGTTTTCTTGATTGGTTGTAGTCAGGAAAATTGCCTAAATCAGTTCAGCGTTGTGTTGTATGTCCTTTAAATCCTGTATTTATTTGGAAATTGTCATATGAAAAAATCAGATGTTTGTTATTAGGTCAGTTTGAATGAAGTAAGAAACAAAGGCTTTGTGTGCGTGTACCACTGTGCTGCATTACCTCCTCCTAACACCATAATGTTAAAGCACATCACGTCTGTGTCTCTCTCATTCAATTGAACATATTGCACACACTTTATTCTTCCCCTCAGTGCCACCATGCTAACAGAGAAATTCTGGTGAGGTGTTTCTGGGGAGCAGAGTTGCTAGGAACAGAAACATATTTGGCTGTAAACTAATTTCAACAGAAAATAGAAGAAAAAGGAACGACAAGGAATCTGTAACTGGACAAAGGAGAGGATCCTCATATGCGTGTGTGTGCTGTCTCTCATCAACATTCAGATGGTGTGGGAGAACGGCTGCACGGTCATTGTGATGATGGCTGCCATGGTGGAAGATGGGGAAAAGCAGTCTGAAAGATACTGGCCCGACGAGGGATCGTCCCTCTACCACATCTATGAGGTTCAGTTTCTGTTGTGACAGGAAGTCTTTTGTATTGTCTGTGGCATTTTCATTGCTTCTTGATATTCCTGACATCTATAGAAGAACTGATGATGAATGGAGATGTTTTTCAAGCCTCTTTCTGTATCTTTATCAGGTCAACCTGGTGTCAGAGCACATCTGGTGTAAGGACTTCCTGGTGCGCAGCTTCTACTTAAAGAATGTCCAGACCCAGGAGACAAGAACTTTGACGCAATTCCACCTGCTCAGCTGGCCGGGTGACGGCATCCCCACCTCCACCCGACCGCTGCTCGACTTCCGCAGGTTCGCACACACGGTCCCCGCATGCCTCTTGATTTTTTACAGGTCCCACAAGATTCAGTCTCATTCTGAAGACAAACACAACACTTTGGTGTGCAGTTGGAAAGATCTGGTTCACTTCCCTCTGATTGCCTTTAACCCATCTAGTCTCGTCTCCTCTTTTTTTCCATCTTCATGGTCATAAAACACTGTGTAATCAAATCAGGCATCTTCAGCTCGTGGCTTCTCCACCCTCCCCCCCATCTTCACTCCCTCTCCCTCTCTTTCAGTGTTCAGGTTGATAGGTTTGTATTTTAACATCTCCCAGTGTCATTTTTGTGGTTTGCAGCTAGTACTCTGGCTCCAGTTGCATAGTCACAAAAATGAGCATTGGCAGGTGTGACTGGCTGCTGCAAGAGGGACAGTGAATCTGTGGCTTCCTCTCCACCTGCTCTATCCTGTACTCATGTCACACAGTTTCTGTTCCTCCTGTCCTGTTTGTGTCCATCACTCCATGTGTAGCAGCTTTTATCTGTCCATAAACACAGATTTCCAACAGCCGATTCTGTTGATTTCGATTTTGTTTGTTCATATTGTATTGATTCATCCACAACCCCTCCATACCAAAAGCTGTTTAAGAAAATGTCATTCATTTAGTTGTATCTAAATTCTAAAAAAAATCATTTGAAAATTTTTGCAAAAACTAGAAAAGTTGACAATAAAGTGGCTATTTCTGTCCTTTGTCCTCCTTTCCTTCTATCTGTCCATTGTTTCTGCTTTTCAGGAAGGTGAATAAGTGTTATAGAGGACGGTCCTGCCCAATCATCGTCCACTGCAGGTAAGGCAGAACATACATAAGCGTATGTATGTACAACATGAACGTTTTGATCGGAGAGTAGACTGAAGTAAAACGCTTTGGATTATCATGTAGACTTTAAATGTTATCATGTGTTTTTCTCCTACAGCGATGGCACTGGCAGGGCTGGCACTTATATCCTCATCGATATGGTGCTGAACCGCATGGCCAAAGGTGACTTGCTCACAGATATACACACAAACCCCACAAATTAGATTAAACTGTAATAAATAATGTTTCTCCAAGATATCCATGATTATAAGGGTTTATTTGAAAAAAAATTGTTTGTCAGTGAAGACTGCACAGTGTCAGATGTATTACCTATTGTGGCCAGCAGAGGGGGCAGTACTCAAAGTAACATCCATGTTCTGTCACAGTTCTGATAGTTCCCTAAAACCAGATCAAACGTTCATGAAGTGTGTATATTATGTTTTCCCTGTCATTAGGAGTGAAGGAAATTGATATTGCAGCCACACTGGAGCACATCAGAGACCAGAGGCCTGGCCTGGTTCGCACCAAGGTATCGATTTTCTGCGTGTGATTGTTATTTATTACCATCCACTATTACCTCAAAGTCTCATCCATTCTCTTTTCTGCCTTCGCCAATCCTCCCTGATCAGGACCAGTTTGAGTTCGCCCTGACAGCAGTTGCTGAGGAAGTGAACGCCATCTTGAAAGCTCTGCCACAGTGAGCCAAACTGACGACGCATTCGGGCATACTCAACACGCTCCAACGACACATTCATGTCATGTGTTTATGTTAGTCCAGTACCACAAGTGTTGCTCAGCTACACTTGGAGCTGCTTTCCAACCTGCAGTTGTTATCATTTCTTCACCTCTGGGATTAAATTAATGAAAGGTGCATTGAAACCTTTGGCTGGGTGCAAATAGGAACAGAGCATCACATATCGTTACAAATATGGCACAAATTTCATCCATCTTTTCTTTCTGAATATAGTACCTTATCACTCAAGGATGCAGCCATCAGAAGTCAAATTAACTGAATCAAAACCTTTGTGCCTGTGTAAATCCAGTTGAAATTTCCACTATTCCTCACAGGAGAACAGAATATTTAACGCGCAATGAGACACAGTCAGATGAGGGAGAATAAAGCTCTGTAGGACTGTTGTACCATTCCATCAGTTTTACTGGATACAATTACCTCAAGTGATCAGACCAACAGATGTTTTTGCTGTGTTGGTAAATGTTCAAATTGGACCAGTGTTAAAAAAGAAAATATTTTTAACTTACCAAATATCTGTAGCAACGATAAAAACTAAAAAAGGTTTCTTTTGATTAAGTGCTCTGGTTGAAGTGTTTTGTGTCCACCGGAATAATGTACCTGTCAGGTGTGTTCATTTCTGCTGTTTGGGAGGCCGATCTTTGCCTTGCAAATATAAGTGTTTTGCTTCCAGCACTGCTTCTTACTGTACATTGATTAAGTACACAACATCGGATCTATATCTGCACACAAAATAGCTTTGTATGCTTTCTTTTATTGTCGAACTCAATGTACAAACTTGTGATTGGTGTATATAATTCATCCCAATGATTGTGTTCCTTTCATGTAGCACACAGATACAAAATATCTATAAAAATGTATTTTTGACTTGAACTGAATAAATATGTGATGTGATGCAGCAGAAAACGAAACAAAAAGAGCTCCAGTGCTTTTTTTCCAGACGTGCTTTCTGTGATAACGGAAAATATAGGCTTAAAGAATCTTTCTTTAATTCAATATTTTCACCTGAATTCTTTTAAAACAATGAACATCAGAAACCACCTTGAGTAACTGTTTTCATTTAGCAGGAAATATCGTTCTTCCACTTTTTCCGACATTATATACAAAATCTACAAATTCTGTCATTTTATCCAGGACAAAATCTGCAAGATTAATCATTTTTCAATGGAAGTGATTATTACTCTTTGTTTCACCTTTGAAAAAGTTTCCAGTCTTTTTTGCTCCACAGTGAGCAACATACATAATCACACAACACACATTCTTGATAAATTACACAATTCTTTAAGTGTCATTCAGCAGGTAGGAGCCATGGGGGAGCTGACAGAGAAAAGTGCATCGAAGGGAATTGATCTTTGACCTGTAAAAACAGATTTTTTACAAAGAGACATTACATTTTAGTAAACAGGTATAATCTGATCTGATTTACACGGTGTTCAGTGGATTGAAATGGACACTGATCTGGATGCCTTGTATTCACATTTGTTCTTTACCTCGGGGCTGGGTTTATGGGCACAGAGCAGCGTGAGCCAATCAGGTTAGCTTGTGAAGGCCTTGAAGTCTGAGTCTGAAACAGGAAGCAGGAAGTGTAAGACAAAAAGTCCAACTTATACTCCAATAGTGTGATACCAGATTTTAAAAATGCCCCTTTAAGTTTTCTATGCAAAACACTGGAAAAAAGATAACTAATTGGGCTGTTAAAGAAATTAAATAAGCAGATAAAGTATATAAATTACTCATCGTAATGAATGGTATCCTGCCATTTTCAGGAAAAAATAATAATACCAACTCAAATTTTGCTGCAATCTTTATTTGTTACTTCTTTTTTTAACAACCCAAAAAGAACATTAACATATGGCACTGCAACAGAGTACAAATAACACAAGTTGGTATGTATTTTGAAGAGAAATAATAAGCCTCCTTGTCCCTCTTTGCTCCAGAGCAGTAACTGAGGACGAATGAGCAGCGATTCACTGTGAAAACAATCACTTTCCTCTTATTTATCACAGCGACGCTTCATATTTCTACTTTAACAGGAAGGTTTAACACTGATGTGAAACTAATCAAGCACTCATAAAACGTGCTGATATATATTACAATAAAATAGAGTGACTGCTGTATGAGCAGGGTGTAGGGACACAGTCTGACTGAGATGCTATCAGTACAGGCGTGTTCCCCTTTGTCCACTGATACAAAATACTGGTTGTAATTATTTCTGTGCTTTGGCACACAAATATTTTTTTCTTGATACAAGCTGTATCCACACAGATTATTCAACAATCCCTTTAAAAGCAGTTAATGTCACTCTTATCACACTTCTGCCTTATTAGACAACCAACACAAGTTTGCACTGCAAAGTTCCAACACATAAATACTTTTCAAATAAGAGATTTTTCATGGCTACAAAGACATATCTGTGCACAACATGAAATTCTCACTGCTTTGTAAACAATGCTTAAGCTTCAGTGTAAAAGTAGTAGCACGCACACAATGTCACTGAGACCAACTCTGAACTGACATCGATGTTCATGAAACTGTCTCCGTAAGTCATGATATCAAAATATGACTTTGAAATAGATGAGACTTATTCAAATATAAACCCACTTAGTCAAATGTTAAAGACATGGCTACTGGAGCTCTACTGTTCAAATTGCTGGATAGTTGTGGCTCCATTCGTAACTATCATTTAACTGTCATAATCAAAGGCTGCAAATCTGCCTCGATTGTTCACTTAAAGCACCAAACCACCCCTCCCCACTAAGGCCACGGACGTGAAGCTCTAGGATAACAGAAAGATATGATAATCCAAAACTAATTTATTTTTTAAATGAAGTAGTCTATTTGAGTTGATATATTATCAATAATATAGTTACGTTGAGCAGAAGGAGACAAATACTTAAATAAAGTGTCAGACAACTACGATCAACAATCTGATCATAGTGGGTAGTGTCGTTCGAGTCAAAGTGCAGAGATCAAATGTACATTATTGTATAAATACCTATCCTTCAAAACCTGCAACTTTAGAAAAGCGATGCTTGGTGTAACTGCAGAGCTGCTTTATGAGCTAACTGTGATTGTGCTTCATTCAGCTGTGTTTTCTTTTTCTTTTTTGCTTATCAGTTGAGAAGTAAACAGAATTCTTTTTAAGTCAACATTTTTTTCTTTCATACTTAAAATAAGCTCAGAGTTGCGAAACCTACTTTTAATCAATCAGCTCGTTTACATTCTGGTTGCCAGAGTCTGGGTTAGAAAATTCCATGGCAAGGTCCCCACTGACCCAAACACAGACAGAAACGCAAAGATAACTGCTCACGTGCACACACACACACTGTATACTGACTTACTGCATTCCCTTGTACCCTGAAACTAATTTTGCTCCATTGATGATCATGATATGATGCCTAATCCAAACTGCCCCAAATCCAACCTATTTTAACCTTCACCCTGACAGTAGGTAATAGCTCTTGAAGGCTCTCTAAAGCTTTACTTGAAGCAAAAATGATCCTCATATAAGGCCCCACTCAGACTCATTCCTATCAGTTGAGGAATTTTTTGGCACATTTAATTACATTCTGAATAAATCATCTGTATAGCTTTGCATCTAGAAAACAAACCACTTTAAAATGGTTGGGTGGATTATGTCACGCCGGCAAGAAACTTTAAGAGTGTTAAGACATCATCAAAGTGTCCTGATATGGCCTCACATAAAGGTACAAGCGGTCACATCAGAGTCTGGCTTTGGCCTCGCACTGAGGAAAGCATGATAAGGCATCCCAATTCCACACACACACACACACTGCATTAGCAGACAGCACACCCACATTTCTTTTTCTTCTTCACATTGCAATCGCAGTTTCTGATCTCAGGTTTGAGCCTCTCTTCACTACAGGGGATCGGCAGTGTTGAGTTGGCAGATGTGGCTGACCCAGGAATGGAGCCTGGCTGCCTTGTTACATTCTCCCCCACCTTCCCTTGTCCTTTATCTGCAGGCTTTGAACCCATGTCAAACTGACCCTCGTCATTTCTCTCACCAGAAAAAACTCCTTCACCATTAGGGAAGCTTAAATGTTTTTCCTTTAATACCCCACCTCCTCTATCCATACTACTTTTGGCACTTTTGCCAGTTCCCCCGCCCCCAGCACCTGATATGAAGTCAGTAGCAGCAGCTCTCTGTTGGGCTTCCATTTCTGACAGGCTGCACGCCAAAGCCATCTGCAGGTCTTCGTCTTCCTCATCATCCTCACTGCCTCCAGCCACCCCATCCACCCCACAGTGGTAGAAGGGGGCAGAGCTAAATGATCGCTGTGCAGCAGAGTAAGGGCTGGGCCGGTATCGATCCGACTCGGCAGGGCATCTGTTCTGGATTCGTGGCTTCTGTGGGGACTGCTGGGGCTGCTCCTCTCTCCGGCTAAGCTCCAGAGCGAGGGCCATTTCATCCTCAACCCCTGGGAAAACACACACCACAGTAGGCGTTTGTGCACAGCCAACATATATATTGAGTGCATAGAAATATTCAACTATGACAACATCGGTTTATCGTGTCTAACTTTCAGATGCAAAACAATGCTTAAAACACCTCTTTAAAATAATCCTTTCACTCTCCATCCATACCAGGTTAAAGTGAGAAGGACAGATAAGGATTATGTACAGTAAGGAAGTTTTTTCTTTAACTGGAAACATATTAATGTTAACTTATGTGAAATATGTGAACTTCAGAGTGAGTTTGGTCTTTTGTGAGAGCAATGACAAGATACAAGATTTTAATTAATTGAATTGAACAGGGTTATAATTGGATTCAAATGAACGTGTTTATTAGCCATTTAAACTACCTTGAGAAATTACATGTTGGGAATTAATTGTTTATAGATAGACTGATTAAAGACTTCAGTTTGCTTACTGATATTTTGTGTGGTGTCTTACCATTTATAAGGACACTCTTTAATACTCCATCCTCCTCAATCTCTATTCTTTCCTGTCCGTTCTCCTTTGTCCTGCAGACCAGACCAAAGCAAAGAAACAAAACTATTTATGTCATATAAACCATTTTTATGGGGGTGTCCAATAAAAAAACATAACCAGATTACATTCTAAAATATTTCTCAAACATTCCACTTACTCTGACAAGATGAGACAAATAAATGCGTTTTCAAATACTTTCTTATTATTTAGGACATTTGCCTTCAAAGCTCATCACATCCTTAGTGAAATTTAAAACTTGTCCAGTAAATAAAGCTATATAATCTAACAACATAAAGCATAATTTCTTTATTTTTCTGTCACTGAGCAGCTTTTTTAAGGAAGTTGTCACGTACTTCTTGGTGGTGGTGCGTTTGCCATTGATAATGCGAGTGGAAGTAGAAACAGATTTGAAGTTACCCATCCCTCCACCCATGCTGTCCATCCCATCCAGGCCACCAAAAGAGGAAGAGAAAGAGGCAAACTCAACTAAAGAAAACAAATAATCAGAGAACAGAGAGGAGATGGGCGTAAGTGTAACACATCTCTGCAGGGTCTCCTTGCAAAAAGAATGCCATGTTTTAACCACAGAAAAAAGTTTTAGTGAGTACAATTGATAAAAATATTCTAGTATGACACTTTGTTTTTAAATGTAAATGACATGACTTAGTTCTATCAGTCAAGATACCTGATAGTAATTTTTGACAGGCTGATCAGCTTAGACATCTTTTTACTTTTGCTGACAACTCTACATTTGAAATGGGTGAAAAAAGGGATGTTTAGATGATTATAAAGCTGCTAAGTGTAATTTCTATGATGCAACCACAGTATGATCTCTACTGAATCACTGTCAATGTGACACATCTCATCCAGTAAGTAGCTGTTTACCTCCAGTCGAAGGGAAAGAGAAGAATCGACTGGGCCCCAGGCGAGAAGACGGACCTCCAAACGATGAGAAGTCATCTGAATGAGAGAAGGAAAGTCATGTAAGGGTGTGAAAATGACTAAATGGAACCTTTAATGATGTGAGAGGCAAGTGTGATGATGAGCTGCAAATTATTTTTTTTCAAAAGAAGCCATTACAAGTATATGAAAAACTTGTTACATTGAAGATGTTTTGCTCTACCTCAAATTGTCAAATTTTAATGGAATCCCAATGATAATGTTCTTGGATGAAGAACAGCTGAGCCCCATGTTTGGTGTGTCTTCCCTTACCAAAAAAGCCAGCAAAGGGATCCTGTCCACCAAAAAACTCTCTGAACACTTCATCTGGGCTGCGGAATGTGAAGGTAAATCCTGAGAAATCTGATGAAAAGTCTGAGCTGGACGAACCTAAGATAACAAGAATTGAACACAGAGTAAACAGGGAGCGTGTTAAAGCCATAGAAAGATCCAGATCAAAATCCTCTCCACACAAACAATCTATTTTAAGTTGTAGCTGTTAGAAATGGATGCTTTTCCTTACCAGCATGTCGCATTCTGTCACTGCCATATCTGTCATACTCATCACGTTTGCTCTCTGTTAAACGGAAGAATGACCATGAGCATCAATTCGTTTTCTTTTTCTCATAAATATCAAACACAAACACAAAAATATAGAGAAGCAACTCTGTGCTTCAAATGTTCACAAATTCATGTCATGTCTTTAAGCCTGTTGGTTCAAGCTTCAGCAGATTAAGCGCTTTCACAGACATGGAAACACACACAATACATCATACGAATAATCAGTGTGGCATACAGATTGTCCTCTGAGGACACATACTGTCAGATAGGACTTCATACGCCTCAGCAAGTTCTTTGAACTTTTTTTCTGCCTCTTCTTTGTTGTCTGGGTTTTTGTCTGGATGCCATTTCAAGGCCAGTTTCCGGTACCTGCACACACAGAGAGACCTACGTTTTATAAAAGACATCCAGCCAAACACAGAGATAGTATTAAAACATGTTGTACTGATACTCTCCATAGGCAGCACAGATTTAAATACATAAGAATGATACTGTTTACCCCTTTGTGGTTTTGAGGCATTTTTATTTCCAAACTAGTGACTGCATACCTCTTTTCTATACGTAGTTTTTGGTTTTTCAATTATTTTTTTTAAACTAGCACAACATAGCACAAAAAACAATTGATTCTGTCTGTTATTGATATACAAATGTATCATAAAATAAGCACACTGAATTATTACACTAATGCAATCACATGGATTTGAAATAATTTCTAAAATTCAGTGGTATTGTTTTTCTCAGGTTCATTTTTATGCCAAGGCAGATACTCACGCTTTCTTGATGTCATCTTGTGAGGCTGACCTGGGCACACCAAGGATTTTATAGTAGTCCACCATGTCTCCTCCCGCCGCTGCTTAAAGCCCTGCCCTGAAATACAGTCCAGCACTCAGAACTGATCTGTGAATGTGTATACCTGTTGCACTACTTAAATAATGTCTCAAAAGATAGACAACTTGTCATCTACACAGGATAAAGCAAAGACATTTAAATCAGATACAAAAGGAACTGATAAAGAATGCAGTGTATAATCAAAAATCATACGGTGTGGATTCTTTCAACTCTGACAGGTTAAAACATACCATTGTCTTATCTTAAACAAAAAAGACCAATTCAATTAATATGTAGGACACTACACATGTTTTATCTTCTTTTTAGAAAATAATCAGCTTTTTTTTTGCCCGTCTTCCTAAGCGGTAAAAGTGTGTCCATTTGTTCTGTAAATTCATATTGATTTTTGTTTTTGGATCATAATCAAAAGTTATGTCATGTAACAAACTTAATGAGAGTTGTGTTTACTTGGGAATTTAAACAGAATCTTAAATCTTAAACTCTTAATCAACTGAAAGAGTGAAACCTTGATGCCCTCCTGGACCTCCAGTACAGTCTGTAATAGCTGCAGACAACAAGCTAACCATCAGGCCAGTCTCAATGGTGGCCGTAGTTGAAGGGGGTTCCAAAGTGATGCAAAACAGCTAAACTTAACTTTCTGAATACCCTCGGGAGCAGCAATGTGCTCATACAAGTATTATTACTGTGTTATTTCTAGTAGAGGCATCTGACAACTGCTGCTGACACCACAGTGGGCCTTAAACACAGCAGATGTACTTGGAGGCACAGGTGCTGAGCTATTAAAGTTAGTACCGTTAACATTTAGCGAAGAGTTAAGAGGAATTTTGAAAAAAACAACTCCTATTATGGTCAAGTTGTCGCGGTAAAGTCAATAAAATGCCATATTAGTCTATAAACAACCGGTAACCTTCAGTTGTTAGTCATAGCCGTAGCTGGGAACCTACCGTTCGACTCTTTTGGTCCAATTACTAATCGGTTTCAGCTGTCTGGCCAACGGTGTGAGATGACAGCGGACTGGTAGAGACAAGAGACAGCCTCTGGAAAATGCTCTCTTCGCGGCCACAACTCGGCTCTATCTATCACAAGTATATTGTACCGCTGCACAGCCAGCCGCCGCGGTGCACGCCGGTGTGTCCAGCCCCAAAAAGCATGCGGCGAGTTGGTCCAGCTGGCGAGACTAGCCGCTGCTCTGAGCCGCACGCCTTACGTCAGAATGGCCGGAGGGAGGAGGAGGAGGAGGAGGAGGAGGGGGTGGGAGAGCAACGTCTAGAAAATGCCAGCGCCCTCCGTTTGGAAGCGTCGCCAGACCAACCCCACCCGGCGTCTGTCTGTTGCACCGTGATAGTATTATCACAACTCCAATTGAATTAAGTCGTTGTAACGATTTAATCACGCTCGGAACACGCCAGACCCATACGTTACATCCGAGTCTATAAGGCATTTTTCAGCTGTAGCTAATTGGTGACTACAATGCGAAGATTGAAACGTAAATAAGGCTCACATGTTCGGCACAGTTACGTCGGGTAAAAATTGACTGGTAGCAGTTTTGTTATTTTAATTACATCTCAAGAGAAATACGACATACAGGTAAGCCATCAGATCTAACCAGTTAAAAAGGACGACATATTGGAATTCCCATTAGGTTTTTCCCCCCCTATATGTTATTGAACAATTTCATAAATCCAATTTTTTCAACGTCACTGGGCCCTTTGCTTCCATCTACTGGCAAAGAAAAGCAAATCCAAGAAATAAACCTGCCCCACTCTAAGTATGTTTTGAGACTCTCAAGCCTAGAATAAAGAAAGACAGGAAACAGGTAGAGGAAGGGGAAACAGGTATGTTCTTGTAGCTAAGGCTGCATTGCAAGTAAACCCAGTTCAGAGTGCAGCAAAAATCCACTGCTATATGTAACTACCTATAAGATGATATTTAATAACTATTTTCATGAAAGGTTTTATATTATTATGGTATATTTTATGGTCAAATCTTAAACATGTAATATGTTCAAGTAGACATATTAGAGAGAGATTTAAAGAAAATCACACACTTAAGAAATGCTCCTTAGGCCTTTATTGATATTACTGACATGTCACCATCAGACATTTTCAACATGTTGCTGGGAATGTGAACAACATTTGGAATGCATGGTGATGTTGGAGCCCTTAATATTCCTCTCCCTCTTCATCCTCTTCTCCCATACTATCAGTGCCAACCTCTTCATAATCCTTCTCCAGAGCGGCCATGTCTTCTCTGGCCTCTGAGAACTCTCCCTCCTCCATGCCCTCACCAACATACCAATGGACAAAGGCCCTCTTGGCATACATAAGGTCAAACTTGTGGTCGAGTCTGGCCCAGGCCTCAGCGATGGCTGTGGTGTTGCTCAACATACACACAGCTCTTTGCACCTTGGCCAGGTCACCACCTGGAACCACGGTTGGAGGCTGGTAGTTGATGCCCACCTTGAAGCCAGTGGGGCACCAGTCCACAAACTGGATGGTGCGTTTGGTTTTGATGGCTGCAATAGCCGAGTTGACATCTTTGGGCACCACATCTCCACGATAAAGCAGACAGCAGGCCATGTATTTACCATGGCGAGGGTCACACTTCACCATCTGATTGGCTGGTTCAAAGCATGCATTGGTGATGTCAGCCACAGACAGCTGCTCATGGTAGGCTTTCTCAGCAGAGATAACAGGGGCATAGGTGGCTAGAGGGAAGTGGATACGAGGATAAGGCACCAAGTTGGTCTGGAACTCGGTCAGGTCAACATTCAGAGCTCCATCAAAGCGAAGTGAGGCCGTGATGGATGACACGATCTGACCAATCAGCCTGTTCAGGTTAGTGTAGGTTGGTCTCTCAATATCAAGGTTTCTACGGCAGATGTCATAGATGGCCTCATTGTCCACCATGAAAGCACAGTCAGAGTGCTCCAGGGTGGTGTGAGTGGTCAGGATGGAGTTGTAAGGCTCAACTACTGCTGTGGAAACCTGGGGGGCAGGGTACACAGCAAATTCAAGTTTAGACTTTTTGCCATAATCGACAGAAAGTCTTTCCATAAGCAGGGAGGTGAAACCAGAGCCAGTGCCTCCACCAAAGGAGTGGAAGATAAGGAATCCCTGCAGGCCGGTGCACTGATCAGCCTGAAAAGAAAATGAGCTTTAGTTAGTTGAGACAGGTGGAATTCAATTAATAATTCATTTCAGAGCACTACAAATTGTGTTCATTGTTAAACATGAACATTGGATAAATGAGACTCTTACCAGTTTGCGTGTCCTGTCAAGAACAAGATCTATGATTTCCTTGCCAATTGTGTAGTGTCCACGAGCATAGTTGTTGGCAGCGTCTTCCTTTCCTGTAATCAGCTGCTCGGGGTGAAAGAGCTGACGGTAAGTTCCTGTTCGCACCTCATCTGCAAGTTTGAAAAAAATAAAAAATAAAAAAAAAATTTGAACAACTTCAAAACATACAAAGAGATATAAGCAATTTCCTCTTATTTTATAGACTACTCACCAATGACAGTGGGTTCCAAGTCAACAAAGATGGCTCTTGGAACATGTTTCCCTGCCCCCGTCTCACTGAAGAAAGTGTTGAAGGAGTCATCTCCTCCCCCAATAGTCTTGTCAGAGGGCATCTGTCCATCTGGCTGAATCCCATGTTCCAGGCAATACAGCTCCCAACATGCATTGCCCATTTGGGCCCCAGCTTGGCCAACGTGCATAGAAATACACTCACGCTATAAAAAAGAAAAATAGATTAAAATAATTAGATAAATAAAAAGGGGAGAGAAGATTGGCTCAGGGAGGCTAACAGCTTTTGTCTCGTAAAACAAAGAGCACGTTTTATGAGCTTTCAGTTGAGGTGATGTCTGCCTAGATATTGACTGTTCTGAGACAACAGTATGGAAAATCACAATGCGCAATTTTCATCAACTTGTTGCGCGCAATGAAACAGATTTTCTGCCGTCAGTCTTCCTTTCTTGCAAGTCATGCCTCGCTTTTGTGGCGTACAAACTGTCTTCCCCCAGCAAAGGTGTCTTTGAAATGTTACTGAAAACTGTGTGGCATTAACAGCATGTTTTTTAATGTCACATCATAGATTTTGAAAAGGCAAGGTTTTAATTGATTAATATAATGTGCAATAAGTGACTGAAAAACTTCCACTGGACTTCAGAACCTTGGTTAAAAAAGAGGAATAAAATCTGCCAGACAGGAAGGCCATGACTCTAGAAGATGGGAAGCTCTCAACCCCCGCCTCTCCATCCTGCGTCTCCTCCCTTTCCTCATCCCCTCCCATTTTTGGCCTTTTTTCCACCCCCATCCTGTCCAGCTGCAGACTGTAGAGCTGTGTAACACTCGGGGATGTCTCTCTCCCCCTCTACATTTCTCAAACCAAAAACTCCCAACAAAATGGCTGCCATCTAACACATACTGCAGAGCAGACCACTCCTCTTTCTCCCTACTTTTGATTCCATCCCCTACTGCCACGATGACAAAGCTCAGTCCCCCTCATTCAATTGGATTTTCACTCTTAATCTAACTTTATTTTCAGTTAAGTTTTATGTTTTTTCCTGATTTGTCACTAAACATATATTTGTGTATTTGTGAGAATATGAAAACTGTCTAACCTCGTGGTATTTAACATCTAACCCAGGTTGTTCAAGCCTGAACAAATGATGACTTCAGTATTTTATGATCGAAACAGAAGCCTCACCCTGAATTTTCAAGGCTAACCCTTGAAGGTCTCATTACACTAATTAAGCTTATGTTTTCAGTCGGTATGATAAAGCAGATTTTTCAAAGCAGTAAAATCCATTCCTGCTGAGGGTTAATGACCAGTACAAAGGCTTTGATTTAAATGATCCATGTCATGCTGGGCCGCAAAAAAGAATCAGGACAGAAAAGAGAATGAAATTTTTAAGCTTACGTCATCAGCAGAGCTCTTACTCACCATTTTGTCTGCTTGTCCTTCGACCGACGTTGAGGAATCAGACACAAAAAAGAAGTGCAGAGGAAGGGGCGAGCCGAGGCTTATATAGGCACGGATGTGGAGGGGGCGGGCGGAAAACCACAGAAAGCAGCTGCTTAGGTTATTGGCGGGAGGGACGAGCTTTTCAGAAAGAAAAAAATGAAGGAAGTCCCTTCTGTGCCTCTCATTGTATTCACCCTCATGCTTATCTGCTTTGCCTATCTGTTTAATGTTAAACCCCGAAATGAGCAAAGTGGCTCAATCTAATTTCTTTTAGAAACCTTTCTACAATGTGACCGTTCGGAGCAAAGTTACACAGATCTCCATTGTTACTTTGGCAATGAGCAGACTGTGAAATATTTATATATGAATTGATCAATTCCAGTGACATGAAAATCATAAACCCCTAATCATTTTCATTCTACATACTCTTTCCTTGGTGAACTGTGAGTCGGGTGTGTACCATCCATCTCAGTTGCTGCTGCACCCACACAGTGACCAGACAGGAGGCGGGCTAACCCAGCCCACCTCCTGTCTGCAATCAGTCGTTAAATGGAGGATCACACACACAATAGATTTTGGAGACTTACAATGGCTTTATTCTGATCAAAAAGTTGAAATGGATTGTTTTACAGATAAAAAAGTATCTTGATTACAAACAATTAGTAATCACAGCTGATATATCAATATAAAAAAAAATACAAAAACTGTTTTTTTCAGTGGAGCTATGAAAGTACACACAACAACAACTACACACCACTGTGAACTAAATACACTGGAAAAAGGATATTTCTTACATATGTGAATGTCTGTTTTTTTCCACCTTTAAACCAGCTCTGTTGGAGTCACACAGCTATGAATCATAAGTGAACATAGATCCTATTGTGGCTGCAGGCTGAGTAGGGGCTACACAAACAGCCCAAGTCAGTGAGAATGTCTTTTTTTCTCTCACTCTCTTTCTCGCAGAGTCACAGCTGAATGGCATATAGAAACTGACATAGAAGCCCTTTCATAACTTACATTCCTCGTGAAAGAGGACACTGCAGAGGGGGGAGGTGCACAGAGGAGAGGGTGTGGTCAAAGCTTCTCAGACAGAAAGAAAAGAAATTTAAATGACATGAGGAAGTCATTCTCTTTTCCTCTTAAGGCTTATGGAAATTTTCTAAATGGTAGAAGACAAATGATAAGAGTAATCCCACATATTTTGTAGCTACACATAGATTAGACTATAATTTTGTTGATATATTAATACAAATGAGATCTTTTCACTCACATGTAAAAGCCTAAATTACCACTTTTAAAACCCAGAAAAAAAATATATATCTTGACTTTAAGGCTGACTTTTACATGACTCAGTATTCCTCTCCTTCATTCTCATCCTCCATATTATCTGCACCAACCTCTTCATAATCTTTCTCCAGGGCAGCCATGTCTTCTCTGGCCTCTGAGAACTCTCCTTCCTCCATGCCCTCACCAACATACCAATGGACGAAGGCCCTCTTGGCATACATGAGGTCAAACTTGTGGTCGAGTCTGGCCCAGGCCTCAGCGATGGCTGTGGTGTTGCTCAACATACACACAGCTCTCTGCACCTTGGCCAGGTCTCCACCTGGAACCACGGTTGGAGGCTGGTAGTTGATCCCCACCTTGAAGCCAGTGGGGCACCAGTCCACAAACTGGATGGTGCGTTTGGTTTTGATGGCTGCAATAGCCGAGTTGACATCTTTGGGCACCACATCTCCACGATACAGCAGACAGCAGGCCATGTATTTACCATGGCGAGGGTCACACTTCACCATCTGATTGGCTGGTTCAAAACAAGTGTTGGTGATGTCAGCCACAGACAGCTGCTCATGGTAGGCTTTGTCACCAGAGATGACCGGGGCATAGGTGGTCAGAGGGAAGTGGATACGAGGATAAGGCACCAAGTTGGTCTGGAACTCGGTCAGGTCAACATTCAGAGCTCCATCAAAGCGAAGTGAGGCCGTGATGGATGACACGATCTGACCAATCAGCCTGTTCAGGTTAGTGTAGGTTGGTCTCTCAATATCAAGGTTTCTACGGCAGATGTCATAGATGGCCTCATTGTCCACCATGAAAGCACAGTCAGAGTGCTCCAGGGTGGTGTGAGTGGTCAGGATGGAGTTGTAAGGCTCAACTACTGCTGTGGAAACCTGGGGGGCAGGGTAGATGGTAAACTCTAGCTTTGACTTTTTGCCATAATCGACAGAAAGTCTCTCCATAAGCAGGGAGGTGAAACCAGAGCCAGTGCCTCCACCAAAGGAGTGGAAGATAAGGAATCCCTGCAGGCCGGTGCACTGATCAGCCTGAAAAGTCAATAGTTCACAAATGTTTGAGTAGTGTGATGATACATTGAGGCCAAAAGAATTTGTAACATACTATCTATCTTACTAGAATTCTCTGTCAAATGTTTCAGTATTACCAGTTTGCGTGTCCTGTCAAGAACAAGATCTATGATCTCCTTTCCAATTGTGTAGTGTCCACGAGCATAGTTGTTGGCAGCGTCTTCCTTTCCTGTAATCAGCTGCTCGGGGTGAAAGAGCTGACGGTAAGTTCCTGTTCGAACTTCATCTGAATGACGAAAAGTTGAAATATACAGTTAGTACCTGATTTTAAAAGACCTAATTTGGTTACAAGGCTCCAAAATATGTTTACTTAAAGGAAATAATTGTTGGGGTTATGTCTTATTATTGTTTATATTTGCTGAGTTGATATATAATAGAAGTAGAATATCATTAACTATAAATCTGGCACTGACCAATGACAGTAGGCTCCAGGTCAACGAAGATGGCTCTTGGAACATGTTTCCCTGCCTCTGTCTCACTGAAGAAGGTGTTGAAGGAGTCATCTCCTCCTCCAATAGTCTTGTCAGAGGGCATCTGTCCATCTGGCTGAATCCCATGTTCCAGGCAGTACAGTTCCCAACATGCATTCCCAATCTGAGCCCCAGCTTGGCCCACATGAATGGAAATGCATTCACGCTGCAAATTGAGGAACACTGTTCAATCTTTAGAGAGATCTTTCTGATTTTCTCAAATACGCTCATAAAATTATCTGAACTACTATTGGACTAGTGAATTTAGAAATAAATTTACATGTCAGACAGTTTATTTTGAAATTCAACTAAATATGAACAAAAGTGCATCTCACAGTTTCTAAATTAAGGAGAAAAACACACACACACACACACACCAGCACACCACATCTTACCATATTTGATCACTCTTCTCCGATGTCCAGGTATCAGAAAGAAGATGTGCTGGAAACAGCTGAAAGCTCTGCTTTTAAACACAGCCCCTTCCGCTTATGATAGACAGTAATTATATCTATGCTGTAATCAGAGAACCTTCTGATGAGTCTTGGACAAGATCCTACGCTTTACAAACGTGCACACAATGCGAAAAGAGGTCACCACCCTACCCATTGTGTGCACTGTTTGCATGCGTTTTGTACAGGTGTATAGGCACCTCATATTTCAAAAAGAACATTTTCACAGAGACATTTTCTTATGCCAAGTAAAAGAAAAGCACATCATGTTCACAGTGCCCTGGTTCATACAGTCATTTGAAAACATATGTCCATTTGAAAGCAACATGGTGAGCATTTCGCAAAGCAACGGTTCTGTTTCTCATCACTTTAATCCGGGTAGCAGTGCCTGTCTCAGTTGGCAGCCAAAACCTAAAGTGTTGATACAATAGGATGCCTTCCAGGCATCGTGCTCTTCTCTGTCATATTTAAAACAAGTCAGACAACTTTCAAGACCCAGAGGCGTAAACCATGGCACAAGATCTAAATCATGTGTGTACATTTACTTAGTAAAGTCCTTTTTTAGGAGTACATAGCAGCAAATTATGGCTCATTCAGAATCATAAGTTAGGAGGAAAACCATGCTAAAAGCAATATGTAGCGTGGTTCCCATCCACAGCAAGAACCGTACTGCTCTTTGTTATTGGGCCAGTGACTCTGAAAGCACTGTATTGTAAAAAGTATGAAAAGCTTCTTCATGTGTATTTAAATAAAACGCCTTTGTAGACAGGAAGGGGGTTGAATTTAGAATAAAACCAACATTGTTTGACCATCTTAAACAATACCACATAAAAGCAACTGAATGAGCTATCAATTGAAACTAATATTTACCTCAGTTTCATCTCCTATAAGAATTGTCTTTTTTAAAAACTCTGGGAAAGCTCATACCTAACTACTCTCTTTTGTGCGTTGCCCTCTGAGGTGTTGCCCGAGTAATAAAGCTGTGACCCATTTCCTTTGTATGAGATTATAGGTCCTTGCTTTATGGGTCCTTTCCCAGTGCTGGACAATTATATCCTTTCACTAATGGCTCATAACTATGACAGTTATAGTAAACACATAATGAAACATGGAAACTATGAGCATAATAAAATTATTTCTATAGAGGTTATTTGAGGTATAAAGATTGTTACTTTTTGTGGTAAATTTTTGTGGTAAATTTGATAAAATATTAACTTATAAGTAAACCTAATGGGGAGGGGGGGTCTATGAAAGTTCAGTAATAACTTAATTTTCAGAAGTAATTCCTACTGAAACATTTGAAAAAATGTCAACGATCAGAACATAGTCAAAGTATTAGCAAAAGATGGTTCTTGATTTAACAACACACTATTCAGTCATTCAGTAATTCTACCGGAAAAAGTATACAATCTCTTGAGATGAGAGACTTTTAGAATCTCCAAAAGTGACGACAGTCTCTTCAAGAAAACCTTGCTTCAAAAACCTTGGCTTTACAAGTTCTGATAATGGTGAAACTACATTCCGTGTTGTCCTTTTGTTTTTGTGACATCATTATCAGTATTAATTTGCAGACATTTTTACTGATTCCTTAACTTATTTTTCATTCACCAGCTTTCATAATAAAGTAAATTTTGCTGCACGTTGAGTTGAGAAGAAAGACATAAGTCCTCTCCATTTCGTTTTCATATAAACTTTCACATACTTCTTTGTTCTCTACATAATACTCAAGGTGGCGCAACGACGACCTCCAGCGTTCAGGAAACTGAAATACCAACATGTGTGAACACATGATAGCAGCTGGACGGTTTGTCTGGATTAGTTTGCCCCACCCCACCTCAGAGAGCGAAGTGACTACATTAATAGAGAGGCACTTCATCGATCCTCATGTCAAAGAGCGTCAATGTATTTAGTATCCAGAATGTGTGTTGCTGTTGCAGCTCAGTTACAAAACAAGTTTAGAAAAACCGAGAAAAGTTCTGGGAATACACACAGAGGGCAGTAATCACAGAGCTAAACAAACTGCATATGTTTTTTTTTTCATTTTCCGATTTACCACAGAAATCTGTCTAAAAATATTTTGTAACGGGCTTTCACAAAGCTTTTCATTTCTATTCCTTGTTGTTCCACTCTTTAAGTCTTTTCCTTAAACAATGGATACTCTCAGGAGTCAAATCAACAAGTGCCAATTATCCAAATATAATCCACCCTGGTGCCTGAGCAGCCGTCTGAAGTGTTTCCACGAAGGGATTAAGAGCCTAGTTCAGCTGCAGTGTTTTTGTTTCATAGAAGCTCTGGCAGACATTTGTTGCTGAACGTTTATCAGCACGTCCCAATAATTTGGCACGCGTAATTTTGCTTCAATTGTTGTAAAAGTGAACGAACTCTGGACAAACTGAACAAGGTTATAAAGTTCCAAGATGAATATTAGTTTTAGCTGGTCTGTGTGATTGCGACGGTGACCCAACCACGGCGTGCTCCTCAAAAAAAATCCACGTTCACGTCAAGAGTGGGCGGGGCTTGGAATTGCGCACAGCGCCGCAGTTCGTCCGCACGACAGTACTAACTCACCCGCACCACGTTGACGGGCACAGTGAGAGGCAACAGAAACAAAGTCCTTTTTTCTTTTCTTGCGAGAGCTCATCCCCTTAAAACACTCAACAATGGTAAGTGACTCTCTCGTGAAATTGTTGTTCCATTTCTGTCTGTTTGCTGCGTCACAGAAAATATCAGGTCATTGCAGTGATGCAGCAGAGCTGCTCACCCACTCCCTGTGTGGCCTCCTGCAGCAGAACCGGGGTGTCAGAAATAGCTTTTTGGTTCAGTAACTGACAGTAAAGCTGAGCTGGTCTCTGTCTGGAAGGGTGTTCATAGTCTGCTTTTTCTGCACATAATTAGAGTAAAGATATACATATGACAAGTTGTATCAAGCTGAAACAAAAAACTACTGCGCACCTAGACAGTTGACAAAAACATCCTTTTGAGAGCTTTTAAAAAAAGTATTTGTCAAGGAAAAATAAATTGGGGATATGAATAACTTAACCTGTTCTATACATAAGCTGGAGCTGGAGATGTGTCACATGGTCTGTACAAATTGGGACAAGGTCTGAAATTCACCAGAGCCTGAGATAACCTTTCTGTCCAATTAAAAAAAGGCATGACAAACAATTTGCTCAGTCAGTACGATTTATAATATGTGTTGCAATAGTTGAGAAGAAGGTCATTGTATCTATATCAAACCTGTGATGTCTGTGATTACATCTTTTATTCTGAAGCCGTTTTAACTCTCTGATATTCCAGTTTGAAAATCATATATCACTGTTCCGTTTGTCAGCAAACACACACACTCAGCTTTTGTGATCTGTTTGCACTGCGTAGTGTAAACACAGCTTGATAGCGTGTGTGGCACTTATAAAAAGTACAAGCTAAGAGTTTTTTTTAATAAACTGCAAGGTGGAGTCCCTGCCCTGATCAAATATACTGCATGAGTGTTCTTTTTCCAAAAGTTACACAATCAGTTCAAGTTGATGAGCACAAAGGATCGAATCCAATCGAGTAATTGACAAAGCACATTCAGATAGAGATTCACCTTGGTGGCAAACGTGCTCAGCTCCTTTTTTTGAAAGCCAGTTGCTTTTGACATTTATTCCCAGCATTTGGAAGTTTATTTTTGTACTTTCTGAAGGAGTTGGGCTTGAAACATTAAAAATAGTGCTTTGGATCAATATAGGCTAATTATCATAAAAATGCGCCAGTGTGACACAGCTTTTCCTCTTTCCATAAAATCCATTTGCAACCATGACTATGCACATTTTTCTGGCCAGTCTATTTAGCTGGCACAGTGTATATGAATGCTTTAAATAAGTCATTTTTAAGTAATGTGAATGATCATGCAAAATATAATGTTTGGCTGACTTGCAGATGTCCAAACATACTGGTCTTTACCACAATTACAAAGATGATGACTCAGTATGGTAGAAGTTGCTCTGCAGGTACGGTTGATTGCGATCCAAAACAACATATTGACCAATTGGATTTCTGCTTAGATCTGTACAGGCTGTCTATAAATCATTATCTCTCCTCACCTTGTCCTAGTTATGGCTGTTTTCAGCACATACGCGTACAGTGGAGCATTAAGGGATGTCTGCTCCCATGCCTGCTGACCTGAAAAAGCTTTTCACAAATTGATTGCTCTGTTTCTTAATCTCTGTCAATATTCATTTGGAATAGCCTGTCCCTCCATCTTGCCTCCTTTAATTTTAGAACGAACAAAACAGGATCCTCAAGTCAGTCTGTTGACACTTCAGACATGCCCTTGCTCCTGCACAGCCACACCCTAACAAGTTTAACTGATATGACAAAAGTTGACTGTTTTAAAGTATGTACTCTATTCCATCGCTGGCTCGTTTAGTCACAAGGGGGTGGCTTTGTTTTCTTCATACCAAAAATAATTTAGGTGAAGACTTTAAATGGGACGGGGATTGTAATTCTACATGGAAGCAAACCCTGTTTTGGGGGGATGACAGTCAGTGTTTACAGCAACAGTCAGTCCTTGCAGCTGAGTGTCAGGTTAGCATGGGGAAACTAAAATAGCTCTGCTAACCTGGAAACGCTGGCAAGTCATGGAGGGTCAACTTCATGGCCAGCTGGTTGCAAAGACAGTGCACTAAATATTGAATATATCCAAGCATGTGCAAAATGCAATAGTAAGAAAGGACAAAAAAGCAACACCGACATTTTACAGGAGCTCAAGAAGTGACGCACCTTAACTTCCCAGACAGTGACTACTCACTGACTCCCAACTATCACCCACTGCCTGATTACTGAGAGGAAGAAAGTGGGAGGATGTGTAAAAATAACAGCCTGACACGAATGAAGGTGAAAATGCAATGTGCCATTTGTGACAGGTTGTCAGCGGTTGCATTAGGATTTGATGACAGGTGTTGTGGCTGAACTGCCTTGCCTTGGTTTGTCATTTTGAGGCGAGGCTCAAACATTATAGCATGAACCCAGAGCCTGATAAAAAGATACATAAAATCAACTTTTAATATGCAGGATTTCATTTGTATGATTCAGTAAAGAATGCAAATTGTCTTCACTTTAAACTTTTGTACCTTGACTGATGGCCTAGATATTAAAAGGCAGATAATAAAGATTAATAATTAAATGTTGTTTACTATATCAAACTGGAATTACAATTGAAGTGTTTAGTAATTCAAGTTAATGCTTAGTTATCCAAGCAGAAAAGTGTTGCATTGGATCATCACTTTCTGAAATGTAGAGGTTTTGTGAAAATTAAACCACTTTTTTAGTCTGAGCACAAAACCTAAAGTTTTAAATTGCACAACCTCATTCAATGAAAACCCTAAATCAAGGGAAAGGTTTGACCAAACCAAAGACTGAACTTGAATTTGAACTTAAAGGATACATTTGAACGGATTCAACAACTTTCAGTCACTGTGAGTATGTACTGTTGGAAAATTAGTGGGTTTTGACAGCACTACCACCCTTATCCCTGAAGTGGTCCCATAGTTTCTAATATTTGAGTTTGAGTGGCTTCTATCTATCAATAATCAGTTTGGATAAATCTCACAAAAGTTCAGTGCTGGCAAGAAGCAGTCTGCCTTTTTGATAAGCGACATTCCACATAAGGTCACATAGAACTTTCTGTAGGATTTTTCGGTCCAGCCATGGAACAAATGACCCTGTAATTCCGGTCATGCATAAAAAGCACATGCTATTTGTTCTTTGAACTCAAAAAGGATTTAAGCTAATGAAAAGGCTCATGAGCTCATGACTGCTTGTAGCAGTCACATGAAATCTAGTGACAGCTGGTGGAAATACTTGCTGCTCCAGCTCTTATATGTCTCTCTGGTTCCATCTAGTGATCAGCAAAGTGAATACCCTCTTTTGAAAAGTGCTGAATTAAGTTTTATGTGAAAATTGATGACAAAAACTGACAAATTTATTGCATAACCTTCAGTGTATCATTTGTTATTATTATTTATTATTATTCTACCTTATTCTTATCCTCTTTTTGCACCCTTGCCTATTAATTTGTTGTTCCTCTCTTTCAGCGTGAATGCATCTCTGTCCATGTTGGCCAGGCTGGTGTCCAAATGGGAAACACCTGCTGGGAGCTCTATTGTTTAGAGCATGGCATCCAGCCTGACGGTCAGATGCCAAGTCACAAGCCCATTGGGGGCCACGATGACTCCTTCACCACCTTCTTCAGTGACACTGGGGCTGGGAAATATGTCCCCCGTGCAATCTTTGTCGACCTGGAGCCCACTGTCATTGGTGAGTAGCGTTGAGCGTCTGAATTCATGTCTATATCTCTGTTTATATCTCTGTTTTTGTATTGCCTTTCCAGATGAAGTGCGAACTGGAACATACCGCCAGCTCTTTCACCCGGAGCAGCTGATTTCGGGAAAGGAGGATGCAGCCAATAACTATGCCAGAGGACACTACACCATCGGCAAAGAGATTATTGACTCGGTTCTGGACAGGATCCGCAAACTGGTGAGTGACTTTAAAAGTAACATCAATGCTTTTTTCAGTGGATTAGTGCTCTAAAAAAGCATGTGGAAAAATTCTGACCAAAAAGGATTATAGCGCATGTCCAACAGATCATTCAAACTCATGCAATCTTGCATCCAAATCCCATTTAAGGATTAAGTGTTTCATGGAGCAACTGCAGAAATCAGTGGCTTTGTGTTTGAGACACTATTATTAAAAAAAACAGGAGGGGGGTTTATTTCCGAATGGGCGAATGAATGCTTTCTGTAATGGTATATAAATATATATTTTTTATAACTCTTTAACTGTCATCTACAGGCAGATCAGTGCACTGGTCTCCAAGGATTCTTGGTATTCCACTCCTTTGGTGGAGGTACTGGTTCCGGTTTTACTTCCCTGCTCATGGAGAGGCTCTCTGTTGACTTTGGCAAAAAGTCTAAGCTTGAGTTTGCCATCTACCCTGCCCCCCAGGTTTCCACTGCAGTAGTTGAGCCTTACAACTCCATCCTGACCACTCACACCACCCTGGAGCACTCTGACTGTGCTTTCATGGTGGACAACGAGGCCATCTATGACATCTGCCGTAGAAACCTTGATATTGAACGCCCATCCTATACCAATCTCAACCGTCTAATCAGTCAGATCGTGTCATCCATTACGGCCTCCCTTCGCTTTGATGGAGCTCTGAATGTTGACCTGACAGAGTTTCAGACCAACTTGGTGCCTTATCCTCGTATCCACTTCCCTCTGGCCACCTATGCCCCTGTCATCTCTGCTGAGAAAGCCCACCATGAGCAGCTGTCTGTGGCTGAGATCACCAATTCCTGCTTTGAACCAGCCAATCAGATGGTGAAGTGTGACCCTCGCCATGGTAAATACATGGCCTGCTGTCTGCTGTATCGTGGAGATGTGGTGCCCAAAGATGTCAATGTTGCCATCGCGGCCATCAAGACCAAACGCAGCATCCAGTTTGTGGACTGGTGCCCCACTGGCTTCAAGGTGGGCATCAACTACCAGCCTCCAACCGTGGTTCCAGGTGGAGACCTGGCCAAGGTGCAAAGAGCTGTGTGTATGTTGAGCAACACCACAGCCATCGCTGAGGCCTGGGCCAGACTCGACCACAAGTTTGACCTCATGTATGCCAAGAGGGCCTTCGTCCATTGGTATGTTGGTGAGGGCATGGAGGAAGGAGAGTTCTCAGAGGCCAGAGAAGACATGGCCGCTCTGGAGAAAGATTATGAAGAGGTGGGGATTGATTCATTTGAAGAGGATGAGGAGGGAGAGGAATATTAAAGGGGTTTTGCTGTCATTATATTATAAGGGACAAAATTAGCAACTTCATTATTTATGAAAGTAAGAAACCATGTTGTGCATGTAATTTTCAAACATTTTTTTAAGTTACAGTTTATTGTGCTATCAAAATTATTTTGGGTTGTTCATTCATTGTTTGATACATTATGTAAATTTGACATTGTGTGATGACCTACTGTTGGACTATTGTGTTGCTTAATAAATATGCAAAACCCATTCTATTACATATTCTCTATTAATCTTTTTATCTTTTTAAGTAAGAACTGCATTTCTGGTATTTGTGACCAAGGCAAATAGTTTCGACTGTCACTTATGTTGGAAAGTTAACAAAGTAGTTTTCTTTGTTATAAATGTAATAATTATTACTATATAAATATTACAATTCTCTTAACCACATGAGCCCAAGTTAAAGATGCATGCAGACAAGAACAATAAGGAGCTTAAATCATGGATTAGTAATAATACATAAAAAAAACATTTCTAATTATAATTATAAATGTTTATCATGAGCTCAGTACTAAACTAGTATTGCACTAAAAATGCTTTTGACTCTGTCCCTGAAAATTTTAAAATGATAACAATAATTGCTTTATCGATGTATGGAAAGGAAGCTATCATTATAATTTCCCATAAAGATGACACCAAATCACAAAAGATGGTTGTCACGATTTTAAACAATGTTGGGGATCACCAATAACCTTTATTTTTAAATTAAGTGGCTATTTCTGTTTGATCATGAAGCTCTGGAACGAAATGGACTTCAGAGAAAAACGTCGCCTGCTGCAGGTAGCTTTCTTATCACTGGTTGCTTGGCAACCAGCCGACGCCTCCCGTGCTACCGGAAGTACGTGGCTTAAAGGAAATATGGCGCACTGCATCATGCACATACGATTGCAATATATTTTGCCAACTTATTCGTTAAGGACGTCCATTTTATTTCTATTCATTGCTTTTGGACGGTTACAAACAGTAAAAAATGATAATGTGTTCAGCGCCAGCCACACGCTTACAGCACCCATGGCCGCCGCCAGGGAACTGCGGTGAGTTTTCTTGTGTTAGCTAGCAAAGCTAAGGTAATTTGTTTTCACTTGTTAATATCTATCTGATGGTTGGGGTCGATTTTCTTTCCATACTAACTATAGTCAGGTTTATTTCTTTACTTACTAAGTGCTTACCTTTGTCCCGTTTTGAAAAACATTTGTTGAGCCCTAGTCTCGAAAGAGTCAGAGTTATACTATAGGTAAAGTGACAAATTTAAAGGTTATTTTCGTATATAACCCATAAATCCGTTGTAGACATGCACACCGATATGAAATTCAGAACTGTCACGTTTTATAGTGCAATTCGGCTCAGAAATAGTTATAATTGTTTGAATCGATTTGAAGACTTGCAATTACTTGGATCCATTCATTCTTCAGTGAATTGTAGAGGATTGAGCAGTAGTTTTTAAGCTTTTCATGGCGTGTACCACTTCAGAAAACTATTGGTTCCACCGATATGACCTTTTGAGAGCAATTCCTATATACAATTTTTACCAAAATGCACACATACAGACAAAACAAAACAAAACAGTGTGCCAATATCAGTGCCAAGCTTGCTACAATTCTGACCTTAACCACTATAGGGAGCTTGTGTACCACTTATGGACCACTATCTACCATAGATTACAGACTATGAAGGTATAAGATTTGTTTGGTCGAGGGGGGACATTTTCAACATTTGCTGGAATCTAAATTAATCTAATCAAATCTAACCTTTTTTAATCTCAGGTACCTCCTGTATGATGTAAATCCTCCAGAGGGCTTTAATCTGCGTAGAGATGTATATATCCGCATGGCTGCCTTGGTCAAGACTTTGAGGAAAACAGGGGATGATTGGGTATTGGTGCTTCCTCCCTGGGGTCGCCTCTATCACTGGCAAAGCCCAAACATACACCAGATCCACATCCCATGGGGAGAGTTCTTTAGCCTCACGAGTTTGCAGGCCAATATCCCTGTCATTGAGTATGAGGAATTCATAGCTGGTAAGTTATTTTATCTGAAAATCTATTGAAACTTTGTAATTTACGCATGTAAAGGACATTGATTTTGAATGTCGTTTAAAGACACATCAGATGTTTTTTGACAAAGCTTAGTGTCCAGTTTATTATTTTGACAAAGCTTAGTGTCCAGTTTATTATGCAATGTTTAAACACCATTCAGGTTAAGTGGTATCAAACAAAACTGCCACTAAGGGTGCTTTTTATTTTTCTCCCCTGAGTATAGAAAATGGAGGCCCATTTATTGACCAAGTTCTGGTAATGCAGAACTATGCTGAGGGATGGACCGACGGGAAATGGGAAGAAAAAGTTGATGAACGGCCATGCATTGAGAAGCTGATGTACTCCAAAGATAAGCAGGGCTACTACAGGTAAAATAACATAATGTGTGGAAATAATAAAATTAATTATATCAATATCAATTTAGATACATAAAGAATACATAAAAATAAAAAATACCCTTTGTAATGCCATGAGTGAGTCATTGAAATGACGGATGTACTGGTCAAGAGGTTGCGTGAGTGGGTTGTTTAAGCTCAACAAAGGAGCCTTTTCCTATATGCACAAACCTGTTTCAGATTCTGACTGATCGTATTATTACTGGTATGGTTCAGTTACTCTCTTTTGCATGTTTTCTACTGCCTCTATTCACTATTCAGTCATTACAGCAGTACCTTTGTATGTTTCCATAGAGGCTGGTTTTGGGGCTACGAAGAGACCAGAGCTCGTAATGTGACATGCATATCAGTCCAAGGCCATGCCTCAATCATGGCCCCAGTTCTTCAAGGAAACATCACTGCAATGTGAGTCTACAAAAAAAACATTTTTTTTTAAATAATTGTCGACCAGATGGCCCTGGCATAATCCTCAAGGACCAAAATCATTAGTTATTTGCACAGTAATAACATGTTAGTGTTATATCTTACTTACTATGGCAGAACTCTTATGATTAATCTGCGTTTAAAAAAAAATCAAATTTACCATATTGGCAAATGAAACTTCATGACGTGGTGTTACAGTATACTGATCACAAAATCAAGCAATAAGAAGATCCTTATTCGTTTTGTTTGCGAGCAGCTGTCTTCATTATAGTCTACTTGTAGTTTTCATTCTTAACCTTGTAGATCGTATGGATGCTTGTTAGAATGAAATTGTTTGTGTGTGGCTTTGTCTTAGATCAGTTATGCTGGACCGTGCAGAGACCCTTCTGCATGATGACTATGCTGGGAAGCATTACTGGGATGTAAGTCAGTAACACCCTGTTTTACTCACAGGTGTCAAGAGTGTGAAGAAACCGTCTGATGTACCATGCTCATGTTCCTGTACTCCTCATTCAAATAACTGATCCTGTCTGATTTTAAAAGCACATGTTGCTGTGTTTAAATTGACGTGGGAACCTTTCTGCTATTGTCTGTGTGCGATGTAGACCCGTCGCAGCATGGTTTTTGCAAAGCACCTCCGCCTCATAGGTGACGACTTCAGGGCAAAGCACCTCAACTCCACAGATGACAGAGACCACACAATATATATTGAGGACTGGAAACGCATGAAGGTACATCATTGTGAAGCGAGTTATGGGAAAAAGTGTTTGCAGTGTAACCTTTATTTGCTCTTCATTTAAAAGAGAATATATTGTGTGTACTATTCACTGTTAATGCAAAGGCACGCACACCATTTAAAGAACTAAAGAAAAGTAATACAGTTATGCGACATAAGCAGTGCTCATAACGGTCACCAACCACGCATATCCAAAATATTTAACAGTCCTAACCACAGCTTCCCTTAATGTGTGCATTTCCTCATTGGCTGCTGATGCCATTACATTTGTTTCTTCAGGGTCTCTTTGACAGTATCTTCATAGAAGAAGCTGCTGTGCCATAGTCTGATCTTTGATGTTTAAAAGGGGAATTTGGATATGGATCAAATTACAAAAAGAAAAAAAAAATGCAGGCCTTTTACTTTATGTTGCACTGCCTGACACAGAAAAGTGGTGGTTGTTATTAAACCAAGGAAGACATACTTAAAAAAGTACTTAAAAAGTCATTAGAGGTAATTAAAAGATAGTGTCCTTATTTCCCTACCAGGCCAAGCCTGGTTCAGCCAAAGGCGGTCCATATCTAGGGGTCCATCTGCGCAGAAAGGACTTCATCTGGGGTCACAGAGAGGACGTTCCCAGCCTGAAAGGGGCCGTCCAAAAAATACGCAGCTTGATGAAGAAACACAAACTCGACAAAGTGTTTGTTGCGACAGATGCAGATGCCGAAGGTAATTACTGAACACATCTAGAAACAATTAGTACTATTAAGGTACCACTGGGCACTGATAAAAGTCTGTGAAATTCAGATGGACAGTTACTATTATTTTACTATTGAGATTCTTTTGACACAAAGGCATTTTGGATTTGTTTTGATTAGAATTCAGTGTGCTGAAGGGATATCAACAAAAAGTTTTGCAAAAATAGTGTGGGGGCATTTCATCATCCTGTGCAATATGTGTAAATGTATAGACCTGAAGGAGCTGAGAAGGTTGTTACCAGACATGCTGCGGTTTGAGCCATCCAAAGAAGACCTGGAATTACTGAGAGATGGAGGAGTTGCCATTATTGACCAGTGGATATGTGCCCATGCCAGGTAATTTCACGGATTTTATCCAGGGAAGTTATAGTTTCTACTCAGTGATGCTAGCTAAAGCAGTGGCTGACCGACACAAGAATCTGGGACAGATTGGATGGATGCTTGTCAAGACTCGTCAAAGATAAAGGATAAATAGGATATAAGACAGCCAAGTATTGTAATTTATTGTACTGGGGCACTTGACTGGGGATGTAATACAAAAAGAGGATCAATATCTAATTAAAGTACTGTTAACTGCAAGTAAGAAGTCAATGGCTAACAAACTAACGCCCCCGACAGTGGATCAGTGGGCGTGCACACACAAACGGAGACAGCAAGAGTCATAATTTAATAGCTCGTAATGTCAGATACCCTTTTCTCAGACAATAAATCAACATCATGACCCCTATGAATGTGTTCTCAGACACCTGTCCTGGACAGCTGACCTGTGACAGTGTGGGGCATCTTTTCAGTTTGTTAGATGATTGATAACTGAAGAAAATCCCTATGTACCCTAGACTGTGTTCTGCCAAGTTTTATATGACTGCTTAACTCTATGAAATCAAAGCCACACAAGATGTGATTAGTCAGCACAGTTTAGTCTTTAAATAAAATCTAAAACACTTCTGTTGTCAAGAGTAAGTCTTATGTACTTCAGGCAGAGTCTCCATCAATTTAAGATGCTCTGTAGCAAACTGTGTGTAAACCATCTCCCTTCTAGCCTTCTCAAGTGGAATTCAATCCTATCGATACTTTGGACTGCTAGGTGTGCACTCTCCGCAGAACCAGGAAGCTTCAACCTGAAGGCTTATTTTGCTTAGCTGAACACTCCCGGCGTGTTACATATGCTGCAGCGCAGTGGGCCAGTCCATCAGGTTACTGCTGTCATGCTCCAACACACACACAAATGCTTCTGTAGATTTAGCATTTCTATGAAAGTGAAGGTTTGTTTCAGCTTTGGGCACTACTATGCAAGTTTAATATGCAAGTAAACTATCAATTTTATCAATTATATGCAGTCTGTAGCCTTATAAAGGACTAAGTAAAGAAAAAAAGATGCCGCCAAGATAACATAAGTGTCTAATTCAGTAGATTCAAGAATCCATCACTTCTAAGACACTTCTTGAGAATTATTATTATTATTATTTTACTATATTATTATTATTATTATATCCACTGAGCCTGATCCATTTGTAGAAGAAGTTTTTTTGTGTTTACTTGGAAAATTTGAACACATTTCCATCAGCCACTGGAAGAAATCCTAACTGGTCAGGTATTTTGTGCTGTTTGGAACTTTGCTGTCTTTAAAATCAATGTCCAAGCTGGCTTGGCTTAACTCTTTGCGTTTGTTTGTGCGCAGATTCTTCATAGGAACGTCTGTGTCCACATTTTCTTTCCGGATTCACGAAGAGAGGGAAATCCTGGGATTTGAACCCAAAACCACATACAACCGTTTCTGTGGAGAGACTGAGAAAGAATGCGAGCAGCCCACCCACTGGAAAATAGTCTACTAATGCCACCTCTGACTTCAGCCACACACAAGTGCCAAAAGCAGTGTTAAGAGGGACTATTTTTGGAAGGAAAATACTAAATATTTCAACTGTGCAGTGTTTATTTTTCACTTTTGCTTCAGTGCTGTGATGTCAGGTTGCCACTGTGAACCGAGGTCACGACCAGGTTGCCAAAAAGATTGTACATGTTACAATTCAATCCAGACATATCTTCACCGTAGATCTTTCATGAGAGCCATGTATTTTACAAAAATCTAAATATTTATTTCCACTAGTGTCAGATTCTGAGAACTGTCTTATATCTTTTGAGTGTAATCTCAGTTTAAACTTCATGACTTGACAACATGAAAGTGTTGTGTTTGCTGCTTAAACCTCTGAATATTTTTGTGATATTTCGCACGTTTTTGAATGGTAATATGACAAAGTAAAAATGTGAGTTGTTTTTTTTTGTCTGCTTGAAGTCATTTTTCTTACATTAACAGCTTAGAAATACATGAAGCTCATAGCATTTATAAAGTGAATTACAGTTTTTGTCCCTGTCTGAGTCTAAGTTATAATTGTATAATATTATTTATTTATTTGTCACACATTACACAAACAGCTTCATCACATTTTTAAAGGCAAGTAATGTACATAAAGAGTATGAATAGTTCTTGGAATAGATGTTTGGTATTTGATTTAACCTGTTCTGGTATGGGCAGCTTTAGATCCAACCAAAATTCCAAAGCAATGGTGTTGCTTTAGGACATTTGATGCTGATCACTTGCAGTAGTTGCACTTTGGAAAAACTACATTGACACTTTAAGTTAGCAGGTTGAAACGAATCATAAAAGCTGTGAATGTTCTACACGTCCTGGACATCAGAAAGAACGTTTATATAAAGAAAAGCGATAATAGAAAACATAAAAGTTTATTCTTTTCGGTGGTTGGACTGTTGGTGAGCCTGTGATGAGCAACGTTGCCTCAGAGAAAAAATTGGGTATTAAACATCAGGAAGTCTAATGTTCTGAGTTTGCGTGGGTTTGAAAGTGTCCACGTGTTCTTAAGATGGAACAGTTGATGACAGATTTATTTTGCAATGTTTCACATTTCACCTCTATCCATTGTAATTTTGCAATATGACTTTCAACCTCTGCTAATGGAAAGAATTCAGCTGAGGTTGCTCATACTGCCAAACAGGTCCTTCAGTTCTCAGGAACGCAAAACCTAAACTTCACCTGACACTTCACATTGGATATTTATAAAGAAATGCAATGATCTTCCAGCCCGTTTACACAAAATCCATTTAGTAAAACCTCAGGTAAACTAATTTCCAATATGTTTTGGAAATGTTTTGTTTTTAAATGAAATTTTCTTCACCTATAAAACCAGAGGTGAAATGTCTCTAACTTTATTTTTCTTCACACATTTTCCCAGTGGATCACCCTCATGATATTCGTGTGACTTTTCCCAGAAGGGATCCCTCTCTCCTGCCCTTCAACAATTAGCAACAAAATGAATGTGTCTCCCTTATGACACTTTTGCATCACCCTGGTACCCTCGCCCGCATCCATGTGCCCAGTATAGTGCCTGATAGTTTTGTAGACAGTATATATATATTTTTTTTAACACAGTGATATTTCCTCATACAATTCAGTCATATTACACCTGGGCATTCCAGGTTCAGGAGCTCATATATAAACAACATCAAGAAAAAACAATTCAGTTCATTCAGATAATGGAATATATGTTAAAATATAATTTCTGCACATAATCCTGCTTTCAAAAGATTTTCTATTCCCAGCTAGTCGTGTTGCATGACCCTTTTTTTTGTTGTTTTGGACACAGACAAGCGAGACACACCTTTTCTTTTCTTTTTTTTTCTCCCAGCTACAGTGAAATAGGCAGGAGGAGCAGAGGCGTCTCATTAACAGAGAACTGGGAAGCCGCAGAGCTGAAGGCTGAGTCTGCTGCTGTTTTAAAGTGTTGAGATTTGTGACTCTGCCACAGTTTATTTAATACGATTTCTTTTCAAGTGGTTTTCTATTTCGCTGTTTTCGGTTTCCGCATCAACTCATGGAAAGTGCGTCCTAGGGGCCACCTGCGGAGCCATGTCCTCCCCAACCAGCCTGGAGATCACACCGAGATAACAGACATCTACCTCCGCTTCAGACAGGTTTGCCTGCCTTAGTTTATCTCTACATTTCATTTTAAAGAACAGCTGTTTGGATTTCCTATGCTAATGTTAGCCGAATATTTTATTTTTTTAGAAAAGTTAACCAACGTTAGCTCTTTCTTGATGTTAAACCATTGTAAACTATTCTTTATCCATTTTATTTATAAGGTACTTCAACTGGAAATATCTTACTTTCTTGTAATCATTTAATAAACATTTTCCCCCTAACCTGCATCCCAAAAATGATGGAGTTCAATCTGACTCCATTTCCATAGAATAATTGAGTTTAATTCTGACTGTGTGGCACACTTTATATTAGAAAGAACTCCCAATGTACTACATAAAACACATGTGCCTTGGGTGTGAGGTTTTTTTCTACATGCTGGATATAACCTATTAGTTAATATATCACTTTAATTTATTCTTTTTTTCCCCAGCCAACCAAACCGATGGCTTTCTTCCGTCAGCTAAAACTTCTTCTCTGGAAGAATGGACTGTCAGCCATCAGACAGCCTGTGGGTGACATTTAAATGCTGTTGTTTTCTAGACGTCTCGGGATTTAAAAAACAATAAAACTCAACATGTGCATCTACAATTGAAAAGTGAACCCAGAGTTTTCATAATGTTAATGACACTTTTCCAAACCCTTCGATGACTTGTGTTGCAGTTATGGTCCGTGACTTTGATCGCCTGGCCCCTGGTCATCTTCATCATCATTGCTGTGACCCGCCACCAATTCCCTCCCATCGTAAAAGAGACATGTGAGTGTTTGATGGGAGCAATGGGTACATCGTGCACACTGACTCGATGTAAATAAAGTACAAACACTCCAGAAGGAAAATATCCTGTCCTGATCTGTTAGATATTATACAGATACTTGGGTTTTTCAGTGTCCAATGCAGCTTTGAATACTTATAATTTTGAGTGATCCCATAAGCAGAGAAACTTAGGGCATGCCTGAAATATGCATCGTCACTATACTGACCCTACTTGGACACCAGGGAACATTTAAGGCCTGGACCTTCAAACCAGTGGAGATTCCAGTTTCACAATTGGAGTAAATAAATGAAGAATGAAAGTCAAACCAAAGCAGCTTTCAGAAGAGAGCCTAACCCTTTCACTGTTGACATGGTGTTAGCACTCCTTTATTTCCTTAATCATGTGGACTGAGGTCACCTCTATGCCATTTTTAAGAAATGTGTGTAAAGGTGCTTCATGAGGGAGTGTCAAACATATACTATTGTTCTCCATCAAAAGCATGGTTGTAAAAAAGGTGGTTGACTGTATGAATTAGAAAGTAACATTATAATACCTACGGCAAAAACTGCTCTCACATTGTTTGCTTAGTGTCTCTTAAATGTGTCATTTTCTACAGCCTTTTTTGCAATTTAATAATCCCAGTAAGATGAAATATAAGAACTATGCACCCTTTTGTAACAGTAGGGCTCTTTGTTTTTCACACGGAAACACGTAAAGAATTATACCACGCCCAAAGCAGACAACAACGCCGCTTTTGGGATCAGAAAAAGATGGTCAAAATTACCTAAAAGTATGAAAAACGACCCTAAAGGTTTTTATTTGTCCTAAAACTATTTTGTAACCACTGGATATAAAAGGTATTCTTTCCACAAAACAGCTACCGGTTTTCTGAAATGTGTTAAATGATCATGTTTGGGGCTAAAAAAAGGCTGTCCCCATTGTTAACTTTGTGATTTCGACATCCTTATTTTAATTGCAGCAGTAATAGTTATAAATAGATTCATTTTAATCCATTGTTTAACCCTTTTGGGTTAATATTAGGCTTTTTCAGATAAATTATCTTTCTAGCTATTCCAATTGTACAAAAAGGTTGGTTGGATCCAAATGATAACATTTGGGACTGATGTAACAGGGATTTTGAAATTAAGCTTGCATGCCTATGGTTTTGTAAGAAGTTTTTTCAAGTGTCATTGCTGTCATTATTCAAAAGCTGGGCTTGCCTTGTGTTGAAGAAAACATGACAATAGAAAATATCGCACATGCAATGTTCCATAAAATCTGGCGTGGCCATGGCGGCTCAACAGCAACTTGATCCTTATTTTCGACATATTTCCTTTTGTCCTGTATTGTAGCGGTAGATGAGATTGTTGTCTGACAAAGAAGGGTCTAAGTTACACACAGATAGTGATACGACACAGACAAAATAAGCACAGGCTTATTATCCTGGGATCAAACAGGTTTAAAGAGTTTCTTTCTCTTAAAGTTAACAATTTGATCCTTGCAAATGGAACACTGGCTCCCCCTCTGAATATCATTCATAAGACTGAACTGACATGAATTTTGTATTTTGACTTGTCATACAAATGTTCATTAGTAGTTCATGGATTGAAAGAAATCTGAGATGTGGAGTTAAGCATCATCCTGACAATAAAACTTAATTATGTCTCCTCAAGGTTACGTTGGTCCCCGAAACCTGCCGAGCACGGGCTTCTTTCCCTTCCTTCAGACCCTCATGTGCAACACAGACAGCAATTGTCACAACACATCTCGCCTGGCAGACTCCGTGTCAAAATCATCGAGGAACAGGAGGTACTATATTACTAACGTACTTGAGGAACTTCTAGGCTACATGCATGAATAATAAATATTATAACAAAGAATCTGTTGTGAATGAGAGGAAGGGGAACTACTTCTGAACAATAGTGTAAACAGAGGGTGAGTGATTTCCTACCAACTTTTTTAGAATGTGTATTTTATTCGGTGGTTATTCAGAGAAACTTGTCTGGCTTACTGACACTGAGGTCTGAAAAAATACCAGTACAAGAAATGAAATGGCATATGCAGGACAGAGACAAGCTGATAAAAAGAAATTTAAATACTGCAGCTTTCAACTTAACTCTAGCAGTTTGGCAAGTGTGATTAGATGATTAGAAGGAATTGCCTGATCTGATCGTCAAGTGATTTGTTGTTGTTGGACTTCTGTTCTAATCTTCTGCACGTAAGCAACATCATGTTCCCAAGATGGTTAATCAGTGTACTTCATCTCAGACCTACTTGAACTGAAAGTGAATAATCAACTGATGGCGATTACCTCTCATTTGAAGCCATATGTTCACCAAAACGGTGTGAAAAGGGGAACAAATTAGGTTTTTCTTCAAATCTATAGGGGCTGGGTAGCTTGCAGCCTCACTAAAAAGTAAGCTTCATAGGTGTATGTTAGATGATCTGTCACAAAGTACTAAAACAGCAAGAATTTTGAAAATTGAAACAATTTCAGCTATAAATTTAGCAAAGGATGGGCTGTTAGCTTATAGTAGATGATTGTTCAGTCACTGGTCTGTTTAAGTTGCGTGCAGAATTGTATTTTTAATTAGAAATAACCCTCTCAGAATACTAGTTAAGATTAAGCTTGTAGTAGATTATATTAAAAGCTGCCATAACTTTGTAAAAACTTTACATGACAGGTCAACTCATGCGGAAAACACTTCCCCCTTGGAAAGTCTGATTCAAGAAGGAGATTTCTTCAGCTTGACTTTCCCCAACGACACCAACAATGATCCTGCAGCACTGGTTCGGGTCCTGGAAAACATTTTTGGTAAATTGTTCACCTGTTGAATTATTAATTTTCAAGGTCTGAATAATTCTTCAAAATGTTTCAACTTTTATACTCTTCCAACTGCTGACTGCTAGAATTGAATTTTAATTTAACTCTGCATTCAGTCAGACTAAAATGCTTCAAAGTTAGCCAGCACGGAATAGACAAGAAAGGACATCCTCTGAATATTTATTTAAAGTAATCATTTGAGAGTATAACTGGTAGACACTTTCATCCTTTGCTGACACTTTTTGTACCGAGGGTATCTACTATCTGCTTGTGGTGTATATGTTGTCGTCATATGAATACCCTTTCAGCCTGCAACCATGTTCCCTTACTTTAAAGGTACGTCTTACCAAGGAGATGGCAAGAAAATCTCTCTCATGAGTACCATCAACACCACTCTGGATGATCAGGTGGGTATCAACAAGATACAATGAGGAGGGAGGAAAATGAACAGAAGTGTGCTCCAATATTAAAAACAGATGACAGACTCTTTTATCAATTATTGAAATTTATTTAATATTTCTTAATAGTCAGTGGACACAAGTTAAAAAAGTAAGTTACCATAGATCAGCAAGGTCTGACAAGCATTTGCTGTAATTAGAATGATTAAAAGTAAAGTTTCAGTTCAATAAAGGCACTGTTGTTCATACAGTAAGATTGGTATTTCCAATCTAGATTTGTTTGTTTTTTTGTTTGCTTTACCTTCGGGATAGGAAGGAGCCGAGTGGATCTAGCGATCCGAAAGAATAACTTAAATCATGTTTCTTGCAGGAGACCTTGAACAGAATTCTGGAGTCAGTGAATGTTTTGAAGAGAGCCATTTGCACAGTGACTCTGCCCATGATCAACAGAACCTCCCCCGACACTCTAACATATGCAGTCATCACCTTCTGCAACTCCAACAGCACTGTGTTTGAAGTCTCAATTGATACACTCAACCAGGTTCGTCTTTTTATAAAGTCCAGGTTTTTTTGCACTCATGGTGCTAAAAGTCCGGTGCTCGTTTGTGACCGATGTTTTCTCTGGTTGTCAGATACTGACGGAGCTGATGCTGACACAGTCAGATGAGATTATGTCAGCTGCTGGGGTTGCTTTGCTGTTTTTCGATCATCTGCAAAATGAGACCTCATTTTGGGAGAGCCTTCTTGTTCTGCCACAGATTTTCACCCCTACTTCTAACCAAGCGCTGAGCAGCACAGAAACCCTCCTCAAAACCCTACAGGGGTAAAGTACTTTCAATGAAGCATCCGTGCAAATGCGATAAATGGCTGATGTATGAGAGGGTTGTGTGGGATATTCTATAAAAGCAAATGTCATGAACTGTGAAAATCTAACAGTGATGACTCTTTTGCAAATACAGATGTGATCAAATGTGAAAATAATTGAAACTTTACTTTGTTATGCTACCTTGCTCTTTGAGGCTATTGTCAAAATATACCTAACTTTTTGTTAACCTTTTATCTTTTAGAGCTTTGCTAACTTTGTCTTCACACATTTCTTTTAGGGCTATGCGAATAATCCAAAAGAATTTCCCAGAAATGGCTGACTCCCTCTCCACTGTGGATCCTTTTCTTGTTGGAGGTATCAACTTGATCCACTATGTCCAACACTGGCCTGGAAAGGGTAATTAAATACAACCTCCTTCTTTGTTCTTATGGGTAGTATTAATATAAATACTTAATTGGAATGAAGGAACAAAGTTTTGGTATTCTAATATAGTTCTGAAAGAGACATAGTTTTAAAAAAAGCAGTACATTTGTGCTAATGTTGGACTTTGTCATTTTGATCTGCTTAGATGTTTCCATTTCCCTCGGAGAGGTGGTCATGTTGCACAATGATTCACTGAGTGAAATAATGAAAAGTGTGCTACAAGAGGTGGAGATACCATTGGACAAGGTATGTTCCAACTGAGCACATTTCAGAAATACAGAGATGATGGCTAAACAAAGACACTTATTCCTCCCACAGGTGAACTTTTAAAAGGCCTTAACTGTCAGGGCCACAGCTGGAAAGCCTGCTGTGTCACGTTTACATCTCAGGCTGAATTAGACCCCAGATTCTGAAGTATTAAAGATAATAAAACCTGCAAAGAAACACATGGTTTATGTTTTGTAAAGTCATAAGACTTACATTATCATGCTTATTTTTCTTTTGTTGGAGCCTGAGTACCATGTCCAAAACAGCAAATGTCAAAGGTTAGAATTTGACAACAATTCTGTGATGAACTCAGAAACTGTTGTCTCTATTTTAGGCCATTGGCCTGACCCTGGACAAAGCCATGGTGCGCTCGTACCTGTGTGACAACAGCAGTGAGTCCATGTCTCTCACTGTGGCATGCAGCACAGGCATTGTGGACCTGCTCCTGGGTTGGATCAGTCCAGACAAGGTGGCAAAACAGGTAAGCGGCCATCTTTCTAAGTTTTCTGCACGATGAATTGCTGACATCGGAAAAGACTCAGCTATGTTTGAACTGGGGTGGCATGTGAGGTTATGCTGTTGAGTACATGAAATAAAAGTTTTTTTTCTGCATAAAAGATTGCAGCGGCAGCTCCAGGGAGCACCTAGGAAACAGACACCTAAGTTATATCCAATTACCGCTGCCATAACAGCATGCATGTGTTGATAAGATGATTCCCAGTCAGAAGTTAGTAGCTAACACAGGCATAACTTTGTGAATTTGCGATGTCAACTGGACATGAGATAATGATATTGGTCTATTTGTGTATGACATCACTGTGTGTGCCCCTTTTTCTTGATAGGCAGTTTGTCTTCAGCTTTTAACCTTTTGTCATTTAAATTATACACTTCATAAACAAACTCATAAACTCTAAAAAAAACTAAACGATGTCAGAGAAAAGTGCCCTTTTTTATATTTTGTCTGAGATGGACAGACTAAGACAGATTAGGGAGCTGCTTTACTGTCTGGGTATTTCTTGCTCTGAGTAGCTACCTCTCAAATTTAAGACACCGCGTTTTTAAAAGTGTCTTAGTTTGATTGTTTCTCTGTTTACAATGATCACGCTCAATTTACTATAATACAGTAGTATGAAGCGTATGGAAAAATGTTTTAACATATCTGGATGAACAGTATATCCTCTTTGAAACAGCATGTGCAGCTGTGAGTAGCTAAAGGTGGAGTATGTTCATATAAAAGTCTCTTCAGCTGGCTTTCATGTGCTCTTCTTGGTCAACATAAACTTTCACAGGTGGCTGGATGATCTTGAAGCATTCTTAGTCTTAGTGATGTGATATAGAATTAGAAATAATGCAGTCCTTATTGCAACAAAATAGCCCCAAAAAAGCCTTCCCCTGTATTTAGTACAGAAGAAGATATGTCTTGTAACGTCACCAGACAAAAGCAACCACAGATGTCTAATCCTGTTTTTCAGGCATTTCTGTCATGTAGGTCATATTCATACAAGGTATCTGTAGTCAAAGTCTTAGTCATAAAGCAGGTTCTCCAACTATGTCAAATGAGATAAAGAGAAGTCGATTATCCAGAGAAGAGGCTTTAGGTAAAGTGGATGTCCTTTTGAGCAAGATAAGAGCCAGATGAGTTGGTTTGGGCATCAGGTCAGGATACCTTCAGGTTGCCTCTCAGGGGAAGTGTGTCTGATATGTTCCAGGCCTTGTGGCAGATGCTGGACTCGCTGAAGTGATTATATCACTCTGCTGGCTGGGAAGTGAAACAGTATCTCCTGGAGAAGGTTGGCTGGGAAAGAAAAGTCTATGCCCGGGCTGTTACCCCTTAGGTCCAGTCATTGATTTATGGCAGAAAAATTAAATGGCTGGATTCATGGACCTTTTGATTTGTTTAAAAAGTGTTTTTTTTATTCCTTTCCATTACATCTAATGTATCGTTTAACATCCATACATGAACATATATTTACATATCTTCATTTTTAAATATACAAAACAGCAGATTATGTCCTCCCTGTACTGCCGCTATCGTCCAACATTTATTTGCTTATCTGTGTAGAAACTGATAGAAAGTAACACATAGGAATTTGTTAATGCTTTCACTTTAATAATTTACTTCCAAAATAAATCTTTTGGGTATCCTCTCATCGTTTGTTCCACCCTGTGTCATTTATGTAACTCCCAGGCTCTCCTGGCGTGGAGCAGGCACGTGGCAGCACATGATGTTTCTTTTGCCAAAGAGCTGCTGCGCAGTCTGATGGGAGGCTCATCCTCAGGAGATCAGGGAGGCTACAACATCACGAGGTCCCGGCGCAGCGTAGTTGCACAACCTCAAAACATTGACGAGGAGCTGTAAGTGCAGTCCCACGAATTTTCATTTTACATAAATGCTATTAAGTTCATAGAGATTTCTTCACAAAGCAGGACGCCCCCCCAAATAAACAAAACAAAAAAAAACAATAAAACAAGTGGTTATTCATGTTGAACCTGTTTCTTTGCTTTGAAAGGTTTCTGGCGGTCGGTCAAACACTCTTGGAAATTGCAGGAATTGAACCAGAGGTGGACCTGGTTGTCCAGAGAGTCCTAAGAACTGGCTTTCAGTCCATGAAGGCTACAGGGTTGTCTTTACACACTGTACAAGGTAATACTACAAAAACTGAAAATACATAAGGAGCTGTAGAAATAATATATGTACCGCAACATCGAGAAGTTTGAGGAGTGACCAAAATCTTGCAGGCCATACAGCTTTAAATCTTTGGAACATGGCTTACATTTATCCTCATATACTTTAACACTATGTCACTATAATTAAAATTTTGATATATCATATCGCTATAATTATCTCCTTGTAAAGTTTATATTGTAGTTGGTAGAACTGAGCGGTGAGTGGCTTGAGCTCACACCCTTTTTCCAGGAATTGTCAATGCATAAGCAAAGAGGGATTAGTGGAGTCGTTTCACAACATTCACACTCTCAAAAGAAAACTGCACGTCATAGAAAAGAAAAAGAAGTAATTCAAGGTGTAACTAAAAAAGAAGGGTGGCAAAGGTGAATGTCTGGGGGGAAGAAAAGGGTTTTTGTTTTCTAGGAAGTCTGTTTCACTGAAGTGAAGTTAGTAAAACTAAATGGGCTTTTTTTTTTCCTTTTTGTGTACTTGTTGTCTGCACGATATTTCACAGAAATGACGAGCAATGTCTTGAAAGATGCCAATCGTCTCCAAATGAACTATCACCTGCTGCTCACCAACCATTCTGAGGCAAGCGTTTGGATCAACAAAGTGATGGACAGCGTGATAGAAGTGATCACGCAGGTATGGGCGTAGCTTCTCAGTTTACCACAGAGCTTGGCTCTTTGATAAAAAAATAAACAATTACAACCTTCATTTTACCTCCGTACAAACCACAAACCATTTCAACTATTTTAACTATTTTAACTGTGTCGTGTCTGTGCATGAGCAGCGCTGATAGAAGCAACAGATCAGGTGTTTTCTATTAGTGTACATTTCCTTGTATGTAGAAATGAATTGACAATTGGGAGGTGAAAAGAAAGGATGTTTGAACAATGCCATACAGGATGATGGACTCAGCCCTGGAGCTGGATTTTTTTATTTATCAATGATCCACTGGGTTATCAACTCTACTGTCGCATGTGTGCTGTACGGTCAAGTGAAATGACATGTTGTATTGTAAGAAATGTTGATAAAGAGAGGAAGTACTCTGCAGGTGATGTGGTTTTTTGCTATCTGTTTTACTAGATTCTGGGATCAAAACCTCTAACATGTGAAGACGTTCTCGCGCCCTTCGAGTGGCTCTTATCCTCCAAGAGCATAAAGATTGAGGTGTGGAGATCAATGCTCTGCCAGAACAACTCTGCTCTGGAGCAAGCTTTGATAAACGACTGGATAGATGTGGTTCAAGAGGTAAAAATGATTCATTTGAAGCTTTTTCTCCTGTGCCGACAGAAAAGAAATACTGTTCTGAAATTTCCACACTAAGAAAAAAAAAAAGTATCTGTGATTTCATCGCAGCTCATTTTGTTTTTCCTGTAACAAATCTTCTTATACTTCCTTAAGTTTTTTAAATGAATTGCGTGTTTTATTTGGCACTGGTCATTTTAAGCCTGTGTTTTAGCCATCCTTTTTTAATCTAACAAACAATAACTCAAACTTATTTTAAATGCTGCTCTGTATTTCTTGTCTCAGGTGGTAGAAGTGTACAGCACCCTCACAGGCCAAGCAGACTTCAACGTAACACTCCCCATGATCCTGTCTGAGTGGCATAACCTGCAGAACAAAAGCCAGCAGTTTGGAGAGTTTTTTGACAAACTGGTCACAGAGCTGGGTGCAGCATACTGGATGAACTGGATGCCTGAGAACACAACTCATGACATTACTGGCACTCTTCAGAAAAGGTGTTGATGTAGTTTCATTCTACGGTTGAACAATGAGATGGCATTATTATGTAAAGAATTGTTACCCCATTTGAATGGTCAAATCACAAAACTCAGACACTTTGCTCCCTTTAATATTGTGTGCTTAAAGTCTCAACAGTGTCATGCTTTTGCTCCACTTGTAGTGTTTTGATGTTCATGGTGAGGTTTGGGGAAATGATTGAGAAGAGTGAGACTTGGCCTCAGGTGAAGAGCTACTTCCACATGGTTTACTGGATTGTTAACTACAGGCCTGGTGTGAAACCTCCACCAGCAAACTGTGAGTGAATATGATGATAACATAGCGTATTGTTTATGTGTGAACACTAATTTTCTCTGTGTAAATTGAAGATTTATGGGGTAGCTATAATAAAACGCTATGACAGATAGAATGTCCAGGGTGTAGAGAGAAAGAAACATCCCTCCAAATCACTAACCATGCCATTATTCAATAATGAAGCAATTTCCCATGTTTATATTTTGCCTTTTAGGTTCTGTTGACACTGACTCCTCAGCCATTTATTGTGACACCGGCTTGAAGTGGCCATCGTTTGCTAATGCAATGGCACAGGCTCTGATGTCACCAAGCCAAGATGTTCTGGTGAAGTGAGTCACAAAGTTGTTTTTTTTTCCATTTTGTGTGAAAATCATGTTGCTGCAGTGTGCGCTTTGGGGTCTTAGGCTTTGCCTTTAAACTAGTATGTTAATATGTTCAAGCTTAGAATATGAAATATGTCAGATAGTTAGATGAGAGAATCTGTTCCTGTTCTGACGTTGAAGACAATGTATGGCTTGGCTTATTTTCAAAACAAAAGATGTGGGGAAACTGATCAGTCCAGTTTGGGGGGTTAAAAACGCTATAAACAGACCGGCTCATTCCAATGTGAGCCATAGCTCACACATTCCTACATGGGCATGTGACATGGGCGGTGACATTCAAGAGGATCAACAAAAGCATTCATTATGATAACACAGAACGTGACACAGCATAATTGAACTTGCTATACTTTATATCAGTCCGCCAGGTTTGTCAAAGCGCATTGCCGTACCATGACCGGTTTTCTATCTCTGTGAAAAAAAATTGTAATAACACAACCTGACTTGAATGTCTGATCAAAAGATAGTGATTTGGATTTGGACCAAAAGGAAATGGGTTTTACTTCATAATTCATCCCTAAAAGGCAGAAATGTCATCCGAATATAAAAGAAAATGTACATTTATCAAAGCCAACCTATCTATTTTGTTATTGTTATCATTGTTTCAATCATTATCGGACATTTAAATTACGATGTTTTGCCATTATGATATAAGCACATTTATGATGTAACCTTTTACTGAATTTCTTCACTCAGGTCATTACAAAACTAATTTTTTTTTCTTTTTTTCCCCCCACTCTTTCTTTTACTCCATAGTTTCCTTAAAGGAGCTGTGAATCTGTTGCAGCATTTATACGGTGACATGTACACTCATCTAGCCGCCTCATATCTGAAACAAGAAATCAAAGGTGGAGATGCCCTCTCAGGTTACCTGATAAACTTGATGCACAACTTGGACAACTTTGTCCAGATGATCAGCGTTCTACCCGATCGAAACATCTCAGACCCTTCGTTAATGGTTCCGGTCATCAGCAACCTGTTACAGTCCTCAGGTCTGACCCCCCTCGTGCCTTTGCTCTTCAGTGAGGGTCCCCTCAATGCCTCCATGGTGCTTGATGTGGCCTCAAAGGTTGGCAGGCTCAACCAGAACATCTTTACGTTCAATGAGACAGACCCAACAATGCCTGAACTTGAACGGTTGATAATGCAGTTTCTCTCCTTGGAGGGGAACCTCACCTTGTCTCTCCCTCACATCATGGCACACAGTCTCCTAACGTATTCCAACTCGTTCCACCCTGAGGAAGTGGCCCATCTCAAAGAAGTCATCCAGCCTTTCACAAATCAGACCTCAGCTGGCCTTGTAGAAGCCATCCTCAGTGCTATAGAGCTTCTGAATGAAGTGATAGGTTCACCAAATGCTGAGCCAACTACCATCGTCCTGCGGTACATACAGCAGCTTCAAGAGTTTGTTATTTCTCTTTACAGACTGAGAAAAATTGAGAATTTCTTGCTGCCAAATGGGCAGCTGAGCCCAGCTCAAGTGACTGATCTCCACATGCTGTCCAGGGATTTCCTCAATCTCCTCACTCCCGAGGGTCTTCAGAACCTCACTCAGGCTGGACCACAAACGGCCCAGGATGTTGTTTTCCAGAAGTTTGTGTTGTTTCTGCCACCTGCCCTCCAAAATGAAACTGCTCACTTTCTCCAGGATTTCAAAGCTCTGCAGTCTGAGTTATCCAAATGTGCAGAAGGACACAACTGTTTGGCTGGAGTGTCAGAAATCTTCACATTCCTGGATCAGATAGTACACCTGATGCTCACGGCCAATGGAAATGTCACCATTAGGATAGCTCCAAACATTCCTGTGGGATGGGAAAGTGAAGAAATGGCATCCCTGTTCTTTTCACTCCTCCTGTCACCAAATGACGCTAACTATGTGAAAACATATAGACAGACCCTTGATTTCATCAAGTTTGTCCTGGCAACCCCAAATATCACTGTTGCCAGTGTGCAGAATGCTCTAAAACAGTCAAACTTAACCATTCAAGAGCTGAATGAGATCACTGCGCTTGCAGGAGCTGCCAACTTGAAAGAGCTGATGGTGAACCTGATGGAGATTGTCAATGTCCAGCAGTGTTTTGAGCCTCAGAATGACCCGAAGGTCACCGGCCACTGCGTCATGGGGCTGATAAAGGGAGTCAGCGGCTTTCTGACAAACCTTCCCGCTCTCCGTAATGAGACAGTCACCCTCTCGCTCATCCCTCTAATTGTTAATCAAACTATCAAGGGTGTCTTGCAAGTTAACTTCAGTTCTGATCCTAACATGGTTGTCATGCATACACTAAACACCACCCTGGCCAATATCAAGATGAGCCTCCAGCTGAGCCAGCTAAACACTCCAGAGATCATGAATGAAATCCGAGTGGTAGAGGGTCTAATCCAGCTGGTTTCCAACATGGAGCCGTACAACAGTTTAAATGCCACCTTGATGAAGGACCCCATACTTGTCCAAAGAGTTTACCTGGAGCTTATTGAGTGGTACTTGAAAAGACTGGAAAACATCACCAGCAGCAGTTCATTCTCTACGCTCCTTCAGCCCTTTTTCTCCATCACACAAATGCAAGTGGCATCACAGCTGGCTCAAACAGAATTTTCCATGTTTGTAAGTAACAAGATTGAGTTCCTTATGAACAACCTCAAGTACCCGATAGATGGTTTGGGAGTGAGTGCAATTGGCCAAACAGCAATAGAGATCACTCGAGAACTGTGGGACTTCATCAAAGTCAGCCTGGAGCTTCAGAATAACAATACGTTTTATGGCGAGCTATTCAACACATCCGCTCTGTATTCCGCTGAGCTCCAGATCAAGCTCTACCTGGACCTGATTGAAACGTGGATGAAACAGCCCAACATCCCATCTCTCCTCACCAGTATGCTTCAGTGGGGAAACTCCTCCCTGACTGCGTCCACACCTGTGGCAGACATCCACCAGTTACTCCTGTCGACGGCCACATTTCTCTACGGTGATCAGCTGGTATACCTCTCCATGATAAGAAACATCACCCAGTCTTTGAGCAAAGCCCTAATGGTTGCAGAGCAACCAGGTGGCCTCCAGAGTGAACAGTTCGAAGCTGTGATCTTGGAAGCAGCCCAGAGAGCGATGCAGATCCTGGCCGCGGCCGCCGCCCCTCTGCCACCTCAAGTTCAGGAGGACATCTTGGAAATGATCCGAGGTTCTCTTAAACTCATCATCAATCCAAATGAGAGTTTTGCCTCCTCACAAAACATCTCCCTTCAAATCCTGAAGATTTCTGAGCGGTTCATCCAACAAACACTGCCAGAGATGTTCGCTGAGTACCTACTTGCAGTAGTCAAGGTGGCAACAACATATTTCAAAGGGGTGACTGAGGGCGTCGGACCAGACAAGTGGAATGAAATGTGAGTTATACTATTTAAATATGTAAAGAAGCTGAAAAGATCAACAAATAGTGGAGGTTTAAAATAATCTGTCATTACGAAATATTTGTATGTAATTAGTCATATGGTTTATTTACAAGTAATGTTAAATGTTTTGTAATTGAGAAACATTTTTACAAAGATTCCTCAACTGTGTTTTTTAAAAGGAATCTTAATGTTCCGTTATGTGTTGTTAGCCAAAAGGAAAAAAGTGGCACACTGTTGCATTATTTTCATTGCTGCTTAAAACAATGTAAAGATGTTGATCTGCTTTGTTTTATGAAGAATTCTTGATGAGATGAAGACAATCCAAAGCCTCTTGCCACCAAACAGCACTGCCCAGGCCTACATCTCCGTCCTCATTAACGTCACTCAATTCATCTTGGAGTCTGGCCAAGGCAAGTGAACACTTCATAACATGTTGAAGTCTAATGTAGATGTTTTAACGTGCACCTCATTATCCAAAGAGCTTACTCTGGGAAGCACAGGGACCATAGGGGACCGGAGTACCATAGATTCCTCAACTGTGGTTGTGCAAGAATTTGGTTGGAGGTTTGCATACTCTGTAAACTGAAGATTTCATGTTTATTACAATTTCAGGAAATACAAGCCTCTGGGAAACTTTTGCTGGAGCATCATTTGAAACTTTACCAGAACTTATTGGCCAGGTAATGCGCATGGACAGTTTGAATCATATTACCTGAATTTAACAATTCACTTCACCCGTGTTATTCATCTCTTACTTACAGGTGGGAAAACTCGTGAGCATGTTTTTGCAACTTCTTATGGGAGGCACAAGCTCACCTGCTCCATCTCTGGGGGAGCTGACTCATCTTGTACCGGTTCTAGAGCAAGTGATGACTGGAAAAGCAGACCAAAACACATGGGACAAGTAGGTTCAGTTTTTCAGGCTCAAGAGAAATAAGATAAACTAATGATTAGTTCAAATAATCTTTTTTTGTGTGTTGCATTAAAGTGCTGTTCAGTTCTGTGACAACTTTAAACCAAATGTGATTTGTTTGGTCACAGATTTGAAAAAGTGCTGGCGGCCCTACTGTCAACTTTTGAAAGGACAGAGGAATGGAACAGCACCATGTCTGTTTTGCCTCTGTTTGAGAAGACCATCGGAAGTTTGGTGAAGAACATGCACGCAGAAAATGGTGAGAGAGATAATATAGAAACACTGATCGATAATGGTCAAAGAACCAGAAAGAGCAATGATGGGGTTAGTTGAGTATAAAGGATAAATAAACAATTTCACACTGGTTATTCCTTCTGCTGTTTTCTTATTTTTCATATCCCTGCTACATGAGATCAGTATTTAAACGCATCTTGATCATTACATTTCTACAGTCTGTAGAATAACTACAGATGTTTGACATAAAAAAGGGATGCAGTGAGGCCTTAACTTGTATTCATTATTTTGTGCGTAAACACAACGGTATTTAAGAACATGCATAAAATCTGACAGTCACACCTGGACAATTTAGTGGACTGTGAGATAAAAAAAATATAAGTTTTGTCTTTTGGTCATGGGATATCTGGTATGGAGTGTTGAGAATACATTCAAACTGAATCTGTTGTGTTTGTGATTAAATGAGTGTAAAACTTGAATTAATATCAGAAATTCAAGGTTTTCCAAATGAACGCAAAGGAATTTATGTCACTGCCTTTTTGTGCCTTCTTTTTTTCAGTGATGATAATGAGCCTTCAGATGCCCATGGTGACCCTGATGAGAGACATTGCAGTGTCTGTGAACAACAGTCAGCTTATGGTGTCTGAGCTGTCACAGGGAATGCAGCTTGCCATTGAAGGCACAATTCAAACAGTTCAACAGGTCTGTTTGTGTTCACTGAAGGATAGAGAGAACACTAACAACGTTGATAGGCATTGTGTATGTCTGTCTTCATGGTCATTTGCTGGAACTCTTTTGCTGACGTGCTTGTGTCAGTGAGAATGTACAGTATGTTATAGAGGAAGTACAACGCCATTAGTCGTCATGCATAACTGCATTTAACAAAACCGATGCCTTATCAGGGCTCACATCTAATTTAGCAAAGTTTCCAAACACTACATAGATTCAAAAGGACATTCTCTTGTTCCTGTATCTACAGTTAAATCTGTCTGCACAGGCACTTGTACATTTAAATAATATCTAACAAACATGAATTTGGGCTTATCTAGAGTCAGTACATGTTTTTACATTAGTGTATAGTCTTTAAAAAGCTAAACATGTGCAAATGCAATCTGTATTATTACTTTTCTATAAAGTTTAAAACGAGATCTGTGAGTTATTTCCCTTGTGTCCTACCTATGATGTTTGTTTTACTTTAATTTTAGAATTTTTAACTACAAGTAAAGGTACATAATATTTTTATTAAAACTTCGTAGCACCTGATAATGTATTTTCTTTATTTTCCTCTAGGCAAATGGTACACTGGAATGCACTGAGGTTATCAAAGTGTGGGAACCAGTTCGACAGGCAGCAGGGTTAAATCCCGCCACTTTGTCAGCGTGGTGTAACATCAGCCTACAGCCTGTTCTGGATGCCCATGCTGCGGCTCAGAATGTCTTCTTTCACCTGAACATGAATGTGAGTAGAGACACGACAACTTAAAATGGAAACAGCTACCAAACTGATTTAATCAAATCCAGTGCTGGTTTCTGTTACAAAAAGTACAAATATCAATTTCACCACTTGATGGCAGTGTTGGCACACAGAGTAAGCCCACGTTTGTTTATGGTCCATCTCTGCTTCTTGTGTTTGTACAGCCCATGGGCGCGGGGCCTGTAAGTGTGAACACCGCATCTGGAAGGATTGTCAAATCAGTGCAGCTTCTCTACCAAGTCAACATGAACCGCTCACTTGTGGTAAATCAGTTCATCAACACTTTCTCCGGCCAGCTGAATGAACTGATGAGCCAGCCATTGAGTCCTGAGGCGCAGACTTCCTGGTACCAACAGTTCCAAGACACACAGTTGCAAAACAGGTCAGCTACAGCTGGTTTATGTCATTGCTTAAACACCATGCTTTTGAATTGGTAGCAACTTGGCATTTGAGGGAAAAGAAGGAAGCACCACCTCACCTACAGTGAATGTGAACTCATCTTGAACTTACCACTCCATTTGCTGTTACCATGTTAACCAAACGCACCAGTCAAAACCAATTTGATTTGTACATAATTACACAAGAAATTCGGGGTGTTCGCATTAGCATTCAGATTGATTAATTTAATGCAAGCCTGCCTGAAAACAGTCCAGTGCCCGAACCGGTAACAGCTCAACAATGATTCAACTGACTGAGACATCCTCTTAAAATTGATTTCCTGTTTTATGCCAGCTGCAGTAATGAGTTGGGCACGGTGGTAAGGATCATATACTGGATATCACAAGGAATCAGTCAGGTCTTACTACACAAGTTATAAATCAGTGATCACAGTGGAAAGGCCCTTCACTGTATTATAGAGGATAAAATGGCATTAGGTGGCATTAAGTATGACGATGAGGAGATATATTCTCTTTCTAAATCTGAGAAATCAGTGGGCTATTGGATCATTGCATTAGAGAAATGTAATTTAAACATTGCTTGCAATGCACTATATTAGCTGCAGAAAAGTCACATGTGGTCTGACAACCATGTCAGACGTTTTACTTTTTTTTCTCGAAAGGACTACATCAGAAGAAAGAATGTTGACATTCAGTGAATTTGTCTTTTTTGCAGTATGGCTTCCATTACGCAGCTATCAGATGAGCTGCTTGCGGTGGCTCCTTTCCTGATACCATACTTTGAAGCTGCAGTGGATGCACTGACCCACACTGTGAACAACCTCCACCTTGCTCAGAATAGCACGTCCTCACTGGAGCTGTTTGAACAAGCAGCGCTGGTCTTTCTAACCTCTGCAAACATCACCTCAAATGACAATTTTTCCATGATGTGGGGAAACGCTGCTGATGGTAATGGGACTCTGTTTGCTGACATGGTGAGAGAGGTGCTCAAACTAATGATCAACATGAGGTTATTTGAGAATCAGCCTGGGGTTTATCAAGCCCTGGAGAAATTCCTGGCGTCCAATGAGACAAACCTGATGGTGCAGAGGTTCGTTGAGATGTCAGTGTGGTTGGACTCAACTCAAGCGTCTGGACTGGATCTGCTGAGTCAGGTTCTTCCCAGACTCTACAAAATCCTGCAGCCTCTGTTGTCTGTCCTGGAAAGAATGAATGTGGGCTTTCCCATGGGTACTGAACTCTACGTGGACCTGGCTGGAAACATCATCGCAATGTTCAGACAGTTTGTGAGCACCGGTGATCTTGTACCCCCCATGCACCATCAATTTGGCACATTCCCCTCAGAGCTAGCAGGTGGCCATCAAACGAGGAGCGTCAGGCGAAGACGTGACGTCTCGATGATGATGACAGCAGACCCCCTGGATGACTTCATAGACCTTATCAACATTGACTACCCCACCATGTTCAGAGCCATTTCTGTCCCTCCGACTTCGACAGAATTATTAGAGACGGCCCACGTGTTCTTTACAAACTCGGATCTGAACATTGTGATGAAGGGAGCAACAAAAGGCATGCCTTGGAGCCTGAATGCCTCTCGGGAAGCAACTATTGATGCTGCCCTTGGGATGTTCTCCTTCCTCACCCACCCTGGCTTGCTTCAAATGTAAGTATTATTTTCTCTAATGTGTCATTTGGAATCAGTGAAGAAAAAAAGTTCCCTTAGTGCACTGAATCTCTCTTAAGATAAGCTTTAAGAAACTGCCTTCATTCTAACTTGGTCAGTGTTATGTTGTGGTGCTGTTTATGTCTTTTATATTCCCTATCAATTTTCTCCAGGTCATCAATGGATCTCCTGACAAATTCTGTTGACATACTTCCCAATGGCTTTCCATTCTCTACTGAGATTAAAAGTATCACCAGGACACTATCAAGTGAATCTCAAGGTAAATCAAACATTTTAAAACTAATTTTAATCGATTAGTGGACATAACACAGCTTGTTTAGGATGCTTAGCAGTTCAGGCTTTTCTGTCCACCATTTCCAGTTCAGGATTTCCTTTTTGAACTAAGTTATGAAGACTGCAGGTTTCTTTGTCCAAAGCCTGATTTATTGTGTGAAACGAGCACCAATTAGTTGGACAGATCATTCCCAAAGGAACACCAATGGTAATTTCCCACTGACTCCTCACAAGTCTTTCTTTTGTTGTACCAAACAACTCACACTTGTGCTGCAGTGTGAATGCAAAAGTACAGTCTGCTGTTTAACAGTCGCACAGCTTGGAACTTAGCCATCCTGCAATTTATTGCTAGTGCAGGACCAAAAGAAGAGCTTAAAGTGTTTTGTCAGTACTACTGTGGCTGTATACATGATTATAGTGCAGCAAAATTCATTCTGGAGATATGGGGAATAAGACTTCACAGTAGCTTAGCTTGAGTTCCCAAAGAGCCCAAGGCCATATGGCCCTTCTCCAGCAGAAAGCCACTCAGCACCTTTTTAAATCTCATTAGCGAGGTAGAATTCAATCACTTATCCTGTCCGCCCTCGCTAAATGTCTCCCCTTGCATTCGCACAAGTGGACAGCTATGACCTCTTTTTAATTTTCGTCTGTGCTCGCACGATAATGTTTTCAGTGCATGGAGTCATTCCGTAAGCAGCTTCGCTTTCTGCAACCCTGCTCAAATTCCACCTCACAAACACAATCACACAGCAAGCTGTTGTGAATGCAAAGGTTGAGTAGTCTGATATTAAGCATTACCATTGTCTAATTTTGGACTAATTAAATATTCCGTCATCACATCTCGGAGCCTGAGGTGCTGCCTTTCTTAAGGCCTGTCAGAAGTGCTTTAATGCTTGGCAGCCTCCACTGCGGCAGGCCCTCTTGGCCCCATCAGACCCACACCGGGCTTCACTTTAAGCACGTAACTGGCTGCACGCTGCTTGACGATGACGCTCCATAATTGTGCAAGTCGTAATGAAGCCCATTGGGATGTCATGTCACTTTGTCACCTTGCAGACCTAGCTCTTTAAGATTCTACACTCTCAACACAGTTGCATCTCTTTTAACCTCTTGTCTCACCCCCTCTGTCTCCCTGCCTCTCCCACCCGTCACAGAGAACCTGATAGTCATGCAGGAGACCGTCCAAACAATGACCGAGCTTCTCCGGATCAGCCCAACCGAGCCGCGCTTCACAGAGCAGCTGCGCCGCCTGAGATCCCAGGTCTGTGCATTAATTGTTACACTTTCACCTAAGGGGTTATTTTTGTCTAAAAAACCCCCAAAAGACTTTTTTTAAAAATGGGCTGAAAACAATGTCCAAAAGAATTAGTCGGTGTGGTTCAGTCATTCATAGATTTGTAAGGAGAATGCAACCTCATGGGATTACCATCAACTTTCTTTTGCTGAGTGCAAAAACAAACAAAGTCACACTTCTTTTTACAAATTAACAGCAATTTTTCAAAGCAATTAGGAAAGTGAAATGAACATTTCAGGATTTCAGTTCAATTTGATTAAAGTTGGTAATTCTTAACAATTATGATCAATCCTGAGCTGATCTTACACATGGTTATATTCTGTAACTGTAAACTGTAATCTGAATCAAATAATATCTAGATTGTGAACATGAGGAGCAGAAACTGAAATATATGTTGTAGAGCACCAATTTTGGGACTCTACTTGTCGTTAAAAGCTTTGAAATGGGAAAGGACAATAGTTGAACACTGTGTGCAAAACATGTTTGCTCATTATCATGCTCCAGGATATGGGAATATTTTTCTTTTCATCTTTCAATTGCTCAGAAACTCATTGGACAAAGTTTAACGTATATTGTTCACTGTATAGACCGTACATATCAAAAGTGGTAGAGTGGCAGAGATGGCTCAGTCTCTGAAAATGTGCTCTCCCAGTCGTCACAGCAGGACATTACAGCGTTATTGTTGCCTGTCTGACTGATTTGTATTTTGCAGGTTTGTACCTTGGAGAGAACGGAGTCTGTGCGCCAGCTGTTGCTGACCCTTTCTATCGAACCTGGGCAGCTCTGTCACACTTTTCTGCCCAGCCTGCAAATTCTAGCTGAGAGTTTGCTGATGAACACAACCTCTATGTCTGAAGTAATCTTCCAGGCTGTCATTGGGGAACCCAGGAGCTACAATGTCCAGACAAACTGGTAAAGAGCTGTCTTCATCTGTCAACAATGTCAGCATGTTGTGCAAAAGAAAGCTGTTCTTAGTACTGTCTGGAGCTCTACTGCTCATACTGTATCTTTTTCATGTTGTTTGCTAAGTAGCATCTCAGAATGACACAGTCAGTTGCTCTTAGTCTATCTTATTCTGAAATTATTGATGGCAGAGAAGGCTAAAAATAAAATAAAAATCATATTATTTTGTAATTGATTTGAATATTTGTGTGACTGTGATTACAGGACCTCTGCATTGAGTCAAGGTTTGGGCTTCAATACCAGCAGCCTCGGCTCTTTAAAGATCAACTTCACCTCTCCAGGTGAGTTTGCAGGCTAGTTTTAAGCCAGCACATGGCTCATTTACCTTGGATGTCATCCAATAATAGCTGGTTAACATTATGACTCAAGAAAACAGTTTTCTGTCAGACTAGATCTAACTTTCGAGAAAGATTTGTCTTTTTTGTGTAAAACCAGTTCCTCTCTACTGTTGTAATCATTTGGCCATTTTTCTAGTAGTTACTGTTGACACTAATTTAATTGGAAAAAAACATGCAATAGACGTTAGAATCTGATTTTCAGCCTTTTGTTGCCCAGGTGTGGTCACAGTTGGTGAGATGCTGAGGAATGCTACCGCCTTCGTTCTGGATGTGCAACGGCACATGGATTTCAATCCTGTGGCTCTGCACCTCCTAATGGAAACCATAGTACCAAACAGCAATTTAGAGGTGGTTCAGGACCTGCATTTTCTCAAATTTAAAAGACTGCATGTGTCCTATATACACCCGATGCTACTGGTGCATGATGAATGTAACTTCAAACTTCATAAAAAATAGGTGCCTGCCTCTACAGAACAATCCCTTTGTGGCTGTTCTCTCCACATAGGAGAGGATAAAAGCTTGTGCGGCTAGAAAAACCTGACAAAAATAACTGAAATGGAGTTTGTCAGCTGTAGATTACACTTATGATGAAGCTAACAGCAGCTGACCATCGAGTGGCTGAGGATCACACACGAGACTCATACTCATCTAGAAAATGAGTAAAAGCACACATTAGATGCTCTATTTTTTGTGTTTTTTTGGTAATGTAATATCTCACATAAACCTTCTGATAACCTGTCCTCTAACATATGACTTATTGAGATGTGAGAAGGGGGAGAAAAGTTTCACTCAAATCATGGTTTAAATTCCAACTGTAGATGAGGGATTTGGAAACCTATTTGCCATTTTAAGCAACAGGTAATGTGTTTTTAAGGGAAAAGATTGCCCATGTTTAAACTCCTTCTGTGCCTGTGCACCCTCTCAAAGCTCATGATGGCTTGTTTCCATATCTCTCGTAATGCGTTTTGGAACAGATCCTGTCCTGGCTGGCAAACCTGCATCAGTGCAACACTGGAGCATTTGGAAACATGAGTGAGACGGATGAAATCATGATGAAGACCTTCTGCTCCCTGTCTGCTGAGGAGTGGTACGCATTCTCACTGCTGATGGCTCAACACGTGAACACGGAGAAGCTCGTTTACAGGGTGAGGCTTTGGGCCGCATGTCAGACTGCTTTGTTTTTCTCTCATATCTGCCAGCACGCTATCTTGGAATTCTGTTACTTTACTGTATGTGTTTTTAGAAGCTGTGGTTAGACATTGTTTTTTGTTGTGCAGTCAGAGAATTGATTCTGTACGATGAGCCTGTGCAGTGAGTTCAATTAAGTCTTCTTATTTGAAGATGCTGGTTGAATAAACAGCTTTTTTTCTACTTTCTTATTTATTTTTTGACACAAGAAAAGAGATTGGGTAAAACCATTTTACTTATCTGTATATTTGATATAATGTATGCATACTCAGATTTGATAAAATAATTGGGCTAGAGTCTGGAGATTTTATCGCCTTGAGAACACTAACATATGTGACTGTTGGTTTCTTTCTCGCAGATGGTACTATCTGAGGAAATGCAGAGCGTGGTGGGAGTTGTGTTACAGGTGGCCGAAGAATTAACAGACACAATAAGCAGAATCCTTCCCGCTGTCAGTCAGCTGCAGGGCTACCTGCGGTCTATTAAAGACTTCAACCTGGTGGCAAACAGTGAATTTCCCCAAGTACGTCTCAGTTCTTACTGCAAAGATTTTTTTTTCTCTCAATGGGCTTCTGCGACTGATCTGGATGATCAAGCAATTATTGAGGTTTCCGTTTTTTGTTTTTTTGGTCCTCCAGATGGCAAGAGGGCAGAAGGCCAAGATGTCAGGTCAAGCTACGTTTGTCACCCTGTCCCGTGCTTTGTGCAGTACCGGTATCATGGCTGTATTTGGCATCTCTGAACTCCCTGAAATCAACAATTCAAGCCCCTCCTTCCCTGAGAACCAGCGGCGGGAGGAAATGATTGAGAGGTTCAAGATTCCACGAAATGCCAGTATGTTTGAAACTTTAGAATTGGAGTTTGTGATTAAGTCTTTTTTAAACTTTTTTTTATCTTTTTCTTAACAAAGAGATTCATAGTTGGATATACATAGAAAAAAATGAGTCATTCAATGTAAACATATTTAAAATAATATTTTAGACTTGTAGTGTTTGGCAGCCAGCAGCACTTCACATAGGACCCCATGGCAGCTTCTGTTTGGGAAAAGGATTGACAAAGTAGAACTTTTAGTAGAAGTTAGTAGAAGTTAAAGTAAAATTGTGACCAGCTTTTATAACTAAATTTATCCTCAACAAAAAAACTAATGAAACTTTTAATCACATTTCTTGGATGCCCAAACTTTGCAAGGCGCACTATTGTTTTTTCTTTTTCCCTCTAATACAACAGCAACAAATGCCCTAGAAAATTTTCAAATGTTGTTTCAACTATGTCACTTTTATAGATCAGATAATTCCCTACACACACTTAAATTGTAAAGCAAAGTAAATTAGATGCTGCATAAACCACCAAAACTGAGCAATATTGTTCAACCTGCAACACAAAATATTGTCTGCGACTACAAAACTGTCTGTGTCTTTGGTTCTCAGCTCCCTTCTGCACGAACATGTACCTGGAGATGGTGAATACCACCGGAGGAGCTATTGCCTGGGCCTTCCTCAAACCAATGCTGATGGGACAGATCCTCTACACACCTGACACACCCACCACCAGGGCCATAATGGAGAAGGTATCCAGCACATGTAGTATAAATGAGTCATCTACTCAACATATGGATGGATGGACATTTAGTTGCTCACCTGTGGCCTGTAAAAAGTCAATGACTTACTTTTGTAAAGGCATCTTCTATTTGCTTTTGTTATTAATTGCCTGGTTTCTGCTCTCCTGTCAGGGCTGCAGCAACTTTTCTAATCCAATATTACACATCTGCCACTTTTTATTTTTTGTTTTTACAGCTATTTATGGATTTTTCTAGGTCATAGAATGCACACAGAAGATGCACATTTGCAGTGTTTGTGTCCACCAGCACCTGCAACTGTTGTATAGCCCTGTTTTGAGCAAGGCTGGCTTTGTCTTTACATACCCGAGAAGAATTCTTGCTGTTACCCAGCTATTTTGCACATTTGTCTTATCTTTTCCCAGGCAAATGCCACCTTGCAGGAGTTTGCAAATCTGAGGAAATATTCTGAAGACTGGATTGAATCATCCAAGTACATCATGACATCTGCCGAAACGCTCAGCAAAACCCTGCCAATGCTGCAGGTATGAGAACTCAGAGATGCCTTCCCTATATCTGATTGTGATAGCTGGCTTGTTGTCAGTAGAAAATCTAGAGATAAACTTTGCAGTAGTCTGCAAAGGGAGTAGTGAGTTGCACCGGCTGAATCTTGATGATGTCTATGGTTTCCTCCACTCTCTTCTGCCAGAAATCTCTCAGCAATTCTTTTGTGAGGAATTTCATCGAGATGCAAACAGACATCAATGTCCTCAGAATGAGTGAGACGCTCAGCAAATTCTGTAAGTAAGCTTTTCATAGTGTTATTTCTGTGAGACACAAGCTCTCCTTCAGTATTTCCAAGGAAAATATTGTCAATATAAGGAAAGTGAGACATGTGTCAAGTGGTACATGACACATAACACATGTATCAGACAAATCCCATCCTAATTAACCCGTTCAACAACTGAGAAATCCACATACTGAACAAGAAAACTGTACTATTAAACCTGAATTTGATTACTGTTTCTTTTCTAACAAAAAAGGATTCTGTTAACCGGTACATTTTGGTCACTAGTCATACTGTCATGTTGTGTTTCTTTTCACAGCTAATGTCACGGTGATGCTGGAGAAGAACAAGCACATTCTTAACCAGATCACCACTCTGTCCACCCTTATGATGAGACTTTCCTCCTGCATAAAGTTTGACCGTTACTCTGGCTACGACTCAGCCCAGGAGCTCAACTCTGTGGCTCAGGAGCTTGCCAAAAACCGGGATCTCTATGCAAGTGAGTATATTTGCAGCACCTTCATCTAGCATTCAGTCCTACAGAGCCAGTGGATGGTGTCACATCTATTCAGGGCCGGCTTTGGTTTCTAATTTGCTTTAGTGGATGTTGATTTAGCATTCCTTGACAGCCGTATTAAGTGCAGGTCATCCTAATTCTCCAAAACGACTATTTCCAGAGGCATGACTCTTTAAAAATTGATCAAGGGCAGCAAACTTAAGAGTTACTATGGTGATGAATCTAAATTTTGTTCTCGTATATAAGCTGTGTGTGCTGTCTGTCCTTAAGGTGTCATCTTCAAGCTTCCCAATGATTCATCCAGAAAGCGGGAGGCCCGGTCCTCCCCTGCTGCGTCCACTCTACCTCCCAAAGTCAGCTACACCATCCGCATGCATATGGACAACGTCATGCGTACTGACAGAGTGCGAAACCCCTACTTTGTGAAGGACAGGCACATCTCACCCAGTCAAACCATGCGCTACAACCGGGGGTTCATCTACCTGCAGGAGAACATTGATCGAGCTATCATTGAAATCCAGGCTGGCCAGAAAGTCACGGACCCGGCCGTACAACTGCAGCCCTTCCCGTATCCATGCCACCTACGAGACGAGTGAGTTCTTTAAATTCATGGACGCACCCCGATGCAAATGTTTACACTTGGTAAATGTATGACTGCATACAGAGAAAAATGAAGGCCAACAATGTCTCTGAGGGGGACGTGGCATTAATGTGGAATAATGCATGCTCTCTCATTATTCATTTGCCTCTTGGGAATGACCGTAAGTAGCCATTCACAGGAACTTTTCACATTGTAATTAGCCCTGCACCAAGTGCATGTATTTATTTTTTTTATTTTATTCCATCCAGATACTACATACATATCCCACCGGCCTGGATAAACCTCTTTAAAGAGTGCCACTGCTCTCTGTAAAATATAGATGAGTCAAACTTGCGTTTGACATTAACTTGTTCATCGATACGCGACATAGGTTTCAATAAATCATCCATGAATTTAATCCTTATGCGTGTGCCCTCGAGTGTGACTTAAGACTGTGATATCTCATCCAGCCACTGTCTGAATCCCTGACTTGTGACCGGTTATAAGATATGATGATCCTTGCCTCTCCCGGCTTCTGATTTATTAGTCACCACCACAAATGCTGACACGATAGCTATGTGAATATAGCATGTAAAACAGCCAGCACTGAAATCCTATTTATTAAGCTTGTGTGTTGACCAGTCAGACAATACAGATGAAGAGGAATTTATTTTGTAAATAATGGAAGGATGAGAGGGAGACTGTCAAACATGTCTAAAGCCCCCCCACTCACTGTCAAGCCTTGGCCCCTTTATCTGCTTGGATGTCAGATTCTAAAGGAATTTGATTGACACTCGCCCCCTCTGTATTCCTCAGATACCTGGAGGCCATCTCTTTTGTCTTTCCTCTCATGCTGATGTTGGCCTGGGTGTTGTTTGTGGCGGATTTTGTGAAAAAACTGGTCAATGAGAGAGAGTTGAGGCTACATGAGGTAATATCTTTTTTTGATTAAAAAACGTAATCGCTCTTTTTTCCTGCTATTCTTGTTGTGTTTCTTTTTGTTTTTCACTCCAAAAGTATAAAGCAGACATCCGATGTAACAGATCCGCCGTGGCTGCTAAATATGATTTATTTCTGATGGGACGTTGACAGGAAAATGTGTCACATTGTTCCCTCAGGGTTTTGAACAGCCACAAATGTTTAATTGAATTTTTCTTTGCTAGGTACTTTCCATATTATCCCTGATGCTGTACAAATTCACTGGCCCCGCTGGCATTATAAATGAAGTGCTTTCTCTTCAATTTCTTCCCTCACAGTACATGAAAATGATGGGAGTCAACCCACTGAGTCATTTCTTTGCATGGTTCCTGGAGTGTGCCTGCTACCTGGTGGTGACCATCTCCATCCTCACCCTGGTGTTGAAGTATGGCAACATTCTGCCCATAAGCAATGGCTTCATCATTTTCCTCTACCTCTGCGACTACGGCTTGAGCATCATCGCCTTCAGCTACCTGGTCAGCTGCTGCTTCGACAAGACCTACATCGCTGGCCTGAGCGGGAGCATCCTCTACATCCTCTGCTTCTTCCCCTACATCGTGGTCATGGCCCTGGAAACAAATCTAAGCTTCTCCCAGAAGAGTGCCCTGGTGAGCACACTCTGACCCTGCCTAACTGAAACAAGGCTCAACTCATCTGTTGAACACAGTTATACTCATTTACATAAACCATGCCTATTTTTCAGAAAATTCTTTTTTCTTTTTTACTTGACGGGGGTCATTGCTATTATATCATCATTAATATTGGGGTCAAACGTCACAGATCTTATAAAAAAAGGGTCACTGCTCCAGTTTGTCATTAGGAAGAGAACAATAAAAGACTAACATTTTTAGGCATTTTTGTCTTTTCCTTTACTCATTTGATGTTTTTTCTTATCTCCGATTTTCTTTTAGAGTTTGTTCTCTCCCACCTGCTTCAGCTATGCCAGTCAATATGCTTCTCGCTATGAGTCCCAAGGAGAAGGTACAAACATGTTGATGTCATCTGAATGCCACAACATCTCGCAGACACGTAGGCCAACTAAATAAGATGTTGGTTTGTCGTTAATTCTTTAGGAATTCAATGGAGCAACTTTTACACTTCACCCCTTGCTGGAGATACCGCGTCGTTCGGTTGGCTGTGCTGGCTAATGCTTATTGACTCCATCTTGTATTTCATCATTGGGGCGTACATCCGCATGGTTTTCCCTGGTATGCTCATTTGTTAAACAATTCTCTCTTTGCATTGTCCATAAATGTATGTATTGCTTTTTTAAATAAATACCCTTTGCTCTTACCTGCCTTAACAGATTTCTCCAAATGTACTCTAATTAATTGTGTTCGTGAGATGTCTTTACTTTTTGTTTAACCCATCAGGACAATATGGAATCTCTGCCCCCTGGTACTTTCCCTTCACTCTCTCCTTCTGGACTGACTTGTGCTGCGGCTTTCACTCAAAGAGCAATGCGGGCAAAGGACTGCTCTTTGCCAACATCATGCAGAAAAAGCAGCCTGTCTTCTCTGAGGGAAAAGAAAAAGGTACAGGCAGAAAATTTAACCTTCTAAGCTGTAGGGTCTGTTCTTTTCCCCCCCATTTTCCCTATTTTATATTTCCTTTCACTGTTTTTATGAGTACTTGCTTCGTCTTAATATGATTTACAGTTTCCCTATATATGTTTCTCTCAGGCAAGAACACCCTCTCCCATCAGGCTGCTGAGGAGTTCTCAGAGCTCCCAGTAGGCGTTTCACTCCATGGCCTCACCAAGATGTACGGCGACCAAGCAGCCATTCAAAACCTAAACGTGTCCTTTTATGAGGGCCACGTCACCTCCCTGCTCGGTCACAATGGGGCTGGCAAAACCACCACCATGTATGTTTGTCACAGTTATTATTCTGTTTTCTGTCCCTCCTTCCCCAACAATATCATCAAGTCCTAACAGCAACAAAAATCCTTTGGAACCAGTTAAACTGTACATCTGCACTCTTAGGATTAGATTTGTGCATGCATTTAATCGTTTCAATGGTTTGATGCTGACCAGGAGATTGTATTGTTCAAATCTGGCATAACAAATGGTAAAGATTAGCTCCATGGGTCTTCATCTATCGGAACAAATACACTCACAGATGTAAGTGCAAGTCATTGTGCTGATGCTCTTATCCACGGCGAAACATTCAACGACTAAAGAAGCATGATGAATTTCAGATAAACTGAGAAGAAGACTTCAAAACCAGATTATGGTTTTAGGATTTTGTGTCTTGTGTGGAACTGGCAAATCATTATTTAAGGGTAAATTGCGAGGGATAAAGAACAATGGTCCACACTGTGTTGTGACCTAAAGAACTGGCTCTGTGTGCAGGTCCCTCCTGACTGGCCTTTATGCCCCGTCGTCGGGCACCATAGAGGTATACGGCAAAGACATGCAGACGAGCGTCGACAAAGTCCGTCAAGAACTGGGGGTCTGCATGCAGTATGACGTCCTCTTTGACCACTTGACCACCAAAGAGCATCTGCTGCTGTATGGTCAAATCAAGGCCCCACACTGGTCTCCCAGAGAACTGCGCGAGCAAGTCCGCACGTGAGTGACCAATCAAAGATTGAAGCGCTTTATCTATGATAATTCATAAGTCATTTTGGAAAACTTTTTTTCTCAGTCTTTGGTGTGGTCCTCCATTAAAACTGAAATGTGTTGAGGCTGTGAGAGTTTTATGTACAAAAGTTTCCAGTGCTCAGTGAAAATGTTAGGTTACACAGGGGAAAAATTGAAGAATCAAAGAGGTCTTCACAGAGTTAAACTCAGACAGATGTAATGGTGATTTGTAAGAGAGTCAATTCTTACGCCTAATATTCTTGAAAGATACTCTTACAATGATGTTTCATGAACTGTCAAAAATGACTGGTACTGACACACATTGAAATGCAAGCTCTTGGAAAAAGTCAGGATTTTTTTCTCTTTACTATTTTCCACATTTTCCATTAGTATTAGAAGCTATATAGCCCCAGTGGCCATTTTACGTATTAGATACGTTTAAGAAAATATTTTTTTCCATTCTGCTGCATTTTATGCTGCGTTGCATCACAAGAGTTTCCATATGTCAAGGAGGGCAGGGATATGCTCATACCTAAAGGCAATGAACAGTAGCTCCCCTGTGGTTTAATGAATTTAGAAACTCCTGTTGAGTTACTAATGGAACTGATCGAACTGCAAATCAGAAGCTGGACTGTAATGGACTAAAAAGGTATTCTCACATCAGCCCCCTGCTAAATGCTTTTCATTGGCTCCCCTGCCAGGATCCTGGAGGAGACCGACATGTACGCTCACCGACACAAGCGGGTTGGTACCTTGTCAGGGGGCATGAAACGCAAGTTGTCAATCTCGATCGCCTTTATCGGCGGCTCTCGGTTGGTGGTTCTGGATGAACCCACAACGGGGATCGACCCCTGCTCCCGACGCAACATCTGGGACATAGTTCTTCAGCATAAGAAAGGTGAGCCTTACAGTTACCGTCAAAAAGTGAATGTTTTTGTTGTTTAAACAAAAAAACTCGCCTGAACTCAAAGTTAATATTAACATGATTATGTTGTTTATCTGGAATCCCTGATTCAAATCTCAAGCTTTTGAGGGTATGATATTGGTATGAAATTTGATCAATAACCCTGTGTTGCACATTGTAATTCTGAATGTCCCTGACCAAGCATTGACACTGATGATTAGAAATAAAGCTGTGTCATTTTTCCCTGAAGCTGGAGCACATGCTGCTTGGATTTCCGAGCAGTTTAGCCCAGTCTTCTGAATGATTATACAATATAATTAGTGTGAAATAAATGCTAAAGTATCTTGTTTTAAGGTAACTGTAAAGTAGGAATCATAATGTTTAGATGGAGGTCTGGTCTTTCTGTGAGAGTTTCAGCTTTCTGTGAAAGAACTGCACAATAGTGCACTAGTAAATGATTTCAAATTTGCATGTGTTCTCTCAGACCGCACCATCATCATGTCCACCCATCATCTGGATGAGGCTGAAGTGCTGAGTGACCGCATTGCATTCCTGGAAGGAGGTGGATTAAAATGCTGTGGATCACCCTTTTACTTGAAAGACAAGCTGGGTCAAGGCTACAAGCTCACCCTCACCAAAAAGGTAACTACCTTCACAGGCGTTCAGTCACTGTCCGTGAGAGGCAGCAAAACTATCATTATTTACTATTGTTTATTCTAAAATATATTTTCCTGGGATTTTTTTTCTCCGTATAATATATTTCATGATATCCCAGTGGTGCCACTGATCCACACTGAAAGATTAGCATAACTGCAAGTTGAGAGATTGTAGGCCACAACCTTTATCTTGACGGCAGAGGCAAAGTAGGCAGATCTCTCATGCATTTTAACAGGGACACAACTTGGCCGGCATAAATTGTAACATTTCCCAATTCATTATTATGGATGAGCCAGACCGCTCATGTGGAAATAAATCCCTGGTTTTATCTCTGCTGCGTTTGACACATTGCAATAGTGTGATGTGTATCAGATATATTGAAAACATGGCAGTTGGCCTAAATCCCAACTCAAATGATGCTCTGCGGTAGCAGGTAGTTTCCTCTTCATCTTCTTTGATGTCGAAGATGAACGACTTTAGCCTTGTAAACTAGCCGTCATTTTGTTCAGGCCTACTGTTTCTTTTTAGTTTTTTGTATCTTTTCTCCTCAGTTTTTGGAACAACCTTACGCCAGAACCCCCCTAGGCAGTGTCAAACAATATGTTGGCAGTCTCACTTTTCCAACTTTTGTTCATATTTGATACACTTTTTTGAACAATGCATTTACAAAATTAGAAAATCGGACACAGTTTGATGAGTTTGGATGATACGTCTAAAAGTTGATAATGCACGCTGTGTATAAGCAATGTCCTATGAGAGAAATGTGCTGTATTAACACATGCAGATATAAAAAAGAAAATCACTTTTGATGATTTCGTCATTGCAGATTCAAAACACAGTTTCTGAGCGGCTTGACAGTGCTGATCTTAAGGGCTTTATTCAAGCTCATGTACCTGAAGCACGGCTGAAGGAGGCCCACGGGGGTGACATGGTCTACTCACTGCCCCCCTTCAACTCATCAAATGCTTCCTCGTATCGATCCCTCTTGATGGCGTTGGATTCAAACCTGGACGACCTACAGCTGGGAGGTTATGGTATCTCTGACACCACACTGGAGGAGGTAAACCCTTAAAAAACACAGGTTGAAACACAGGTTGAAACTACATTGAGAATGAAAAGGAGAAATGCGACCTGCCTTCTAAATTAATAAGTGCATTTTGTTGCTTGTTTGTCTGCAGGTATTCCTCCAGCTGACTCATGACAACCCATCTGAAGCAACAAAAGGCCCGTTTTCCATCTCAGAGACTGTTTCGGAAACTGCATCCATCGACAGCTTCTCTTCAGATTTTGGTGAAGGCATCTCCAACCTCGTCGATAAGATCAGTGAGTCAATGCCCTTTTTGCTACCTGTTTTGTACCTTGTGATAACTCACATCACCTAACACAACGTACCCAATCTCCACCAATGAAGTGCACTTCAATCTTTTGCAATACAATCTGTTTGTTTACTTGTGTGTTTTAGAGCTGACCAGTTCATCCACGGTGGGTGGCATATTCTTGGCCTGGCAGCAGATGAAAGCCATTCTGATCAAGAGGTTCCACCACAGCCGCAGAGACTGGAAGGGCCTGATATCCCAGATCCTGCTCCCTGTCCTGTTCGTGGTGTTTGCAATGGCCCTGGGCTCTATCAGAAGTGACTTGCAGCACTATCCTGAGCTGGAGCTTAGCCCCGCGCTCTACAAGATCGGGAAAGCGTACTCCTTCTTCAGGTCAGACTCTATAGGGGAGTTCTAGTGGTAAATTAGTCTTGTCAGGGCTTCGGAATATCTCTAGCATGAGCAGATCACCTGTAAACAACATTTCCAATTAGGTGCACCAGCTCATGATTTCATGCTCTTGCAGCTTCAAGACAGATGAAGTTTACTTAAAACTAGTGTGTCATTTATGGATGAATAGCAGTGATTTGCTATATAAGCCACACACTTGTTTTGCTTATGAAAAGTTACATGTTAAATATCTGGTGAGTGACGGTTGAGTTGTTATAGCAGCTTAAAAAAGACAGTCATGGCATAATGAATATGATCTAAAGTTGATGATCTATTTACTTTAATTTGACAAGCTTTGTTGTGAATTTGGAGGAATTTGAAATTTGAATTTGGAGTATTAGATCTTTTTTTTTAAATAGAGAAACCCTGTTTTTCAGGGCCGCCATCATAAATGGCCAATTAACGACAAAGGTTTTCCATGGACAGCTGTGGAATATTCCTTCATTATGTCTTGGATAATTCTAACAATTATACAGATGAAAGGCCTGGAATTGTTCCAACTGGGATATTTGCATTTGAAAGCTGTTGGAGTGAACCCACAACATGTGGTCAAAGAGGACTGTGAATGGAAAAAAATATCATTGAGATGATAGGAATATTATCACAGACCGTATCAACAATTAGTTATATTTAAGGAAATTTAAAAAGTTATTATACCAGAACACAACATTGGTGGAAAAAGCAATTCTGCAGTTCTGACAAAATGTTCAGATGACACAACAAAGAGCAACTTGTAATAGCGCTATGTTCAGAAAAAGAATGGAGAAGGTTTCATGAAAGGCCAGAGAACCCTAGTGTTCTAATGTTTCGTATAAAGCTGAAAGAAGTCTAATGCACTCTGAAGCAGCAAACCTGATTGGCCAACAGTTCACAGCACCGCTAGACAATGACCCAAAACATTCTGCTAAGGCCAGCAAGGAGCCTTTGAAGATAAGGCAGTGGAACATTCAGCTGTGGTACATTTGGTTCATTTGCTTCCTGTATCATTTGCACGGGACCACGGTTTGCACTTGTTACAAAATGGATTTGAAGCTGCAGTTTGTTGAAGGGCAGATGGACTTTTAGGGGGAGTGCCCAAGTGAGAAGGCGAGGGTAGGAGATGATTGAGATAAAGACAGCTGTGATGTGAGATCAAAAGGAGAAAGATGAAGAGAGTGGAGAGATTGAAAGATGTCTTCATTCTCAACATGCACTGTTGATTGATCAAGAGGACGTGTAGCTGGGGAGAAAAATGCTAAGGTGCCTATCCATATCAAAGGTGGTGTGAGCGCTCCTCCCAGTCCTCTTTGTATTTATGTACAAGAGATGAATATCTCATTAGCGTGGGTGGGTTGTGTCAAACGGGGAGGAGTTGAGGGTAAACTGAAACATTTAGAATTCAACTAGGTTTACTGATAAGATCAAATCTCTCAGACTGATCTATTTTTCTGGGTTACTTTTTAAACTATGTAGATGTGACAATGCCATGGTTTATTTATGAGTGCATTCTTGAGCTGAGAAGCAGCGGTGCCTCAAAACGAAAACAAAGAAAAAGCAATTCCACTTAAATTTAGAGTGGATTTGTCTAGCGTTCTCCGACGTACTTTACTTTCCTACTCTACTTGCTTGTATTCTCAAGCTCTTTTAAGAAACCCCAGACTGGCTATTCATGATTTGCGTCAATATCTTTGATTCTCCGTAATGTTGTTGAAACAACTTTTTGTTTGTATTACATCATGCAAAAGTTCTGTTTGACTTTTTATTCAAGACTGACTGATTTTCTGGCTCCACAGTAACCAAAATCCGAAATCCAGCCATCTGGTGGACACCATGATGTCATTCCCCGGGATCGATAATGCCTGCCTCGACACCTCTGATAACCTGTATGTAATTACACTTCCAGCTGTTCTGGCTTTTAGAAAAATGCACAAATTTTCCCTGCAGCCTTTTCACATTTCGCTCATTGTCATTCTCTCCATGGCTTCTCTTTCCCCACATTTCATTTTACTACACAACCTCTCTCCAATCCCTGTCGCCCTCTCTGGTCTCTCTTGCGTCCCTCCTCTTCATTTTGCTGCCGCTCATAACGGTGCATGTGGCTGAAAGCCGGTAGCAGGTCTCAGAGATGTGACATTATCTGTATTCTCCTTACTTCTTCTGTTTTTAGGTCTTATTTTTCCCTTGCAGGCCTTCAAATTAGTGTGGAAAATTTAAAAGCAGACCTTTGAAAATGCTGGCTCAAATGAAGAAAAGTAATCTTAGTGCATCTACAAATATTGACAGTGATTCATTAAGAACATTGGGTTGATGGAGTGTAGTTTTATACGAGCATATGTCCATTGTTACTGACTGATTTATCCCCCGGTAACAGGTGTGCTAGCATTGCAGCATTTTATTTTGATCTACTCATAGTGGGCCTCAAAGCATTTGGTGGAAGGCAAACTGTGAGGGAGTTGAGCATCAGCCCACACAAGCACAAGTTTCACACAATATGACATTTCGTCACGCATTTAACAGTTCAGAAAGCTGTGATCAGAGAAAAAATATTTAGCTCCCCATTTGACAAAAATCACACAAGCTCACAGCGACTCCATCAATCATTGCTGACTTTAACACGGCGGCTGACTTTTCAAGCATTGTGCTGCCTTCCGCACGGCATCAACTCAGTTTCAGGATTTGAATGCAGTGTGTTGAAAGACAAGCTCTCGGCATCATCACACTGAACACATTCACTGAGCCACTATTTCATTTTGTGAATGTTTTTTTTTCTCTTAAGCATCTGCACAAGGAGCACAGACAGCTGGAGATCCAGAGGGAACAGCTCCAAAGCGTTTAGTGTCTGTAAATGCACCCAACAGGAACAGGTGAGACAGGGTCACTAATAACAATATGGGTGGGGGTGAGTGAGTTTCCGTGTTCTCACTTGTCTCCTCCTGTGCTCACATTTTCGATCATTTAAAAAAAGGGAAAGTTTGAGGCTTTTTTTACGTCGTCTGTTCACTGCAGATTTGTCCAAAGGACCCATACGAGCCCCTCCACAAGACAATCCCTTCGTCTCAGACTGTTTACAATCTGAGTGGCATCAATGTCGAAAACTATCTGGTGTCCACGGCCAACGATTTCATCAGGAACAGGTGAATTAGGCTTTGGCTAACAATTGCTACTCTAATCCACAGTTAAGATATTTATTGTGGAATTTTTTCTATTTGAATTTATTCTATATTATGTTTATTTATCAGCACATTTAATTTCATAATGAGTGCCTTTCATCTGAGAAAGTTTGCAAGTAATGTATAGGCTTTTTAAAAAGTGATTATCTAAGGTTCATTCAGAGTCTTTTAGTCTATGGGGAGCTTCTAGGTTTGTTTTGCAGGAATCTACTTAATTTTCAAAAATGTGTCTCATACTTTAGTGCTGAATATTGTTTATGTTTTTTTATTGTTGGGCATAAACTAACCATCTGTAACCCTCGGCAAACATGGCACTTTTCATCCTCACATTATTGGGAGTTAACTCTTTTTGTGTTGGATTTTTACTGTGATGAAAAGAAACCTCATAAAAATAGTGTAAAATGCTGCCTGTGTCATTTTTGGTTCCTCCGTAGCAACCAAAGCTCCTTCTTTTTGATCAATATGCTGGCTTTGACTTTTCAGGTATGGTGGTTTCGCTTTTGGCATGCCGCTCCCACCTGACTTGCAAATGGATCTTAAGGAGGTGCCCCAAAACCGCACACTATCCAAGGTAACTGTCCCCTCTGCTTCCCCGCTGCCTTCTTCATTATCATTTTAATTACTGTCATGAGTTGTAAAAGGTAATATATGATGTCCCAATTAAAGTCTTTTGGCTTTAAGATCAGTGCTTGCAGATGGAGCTGAATTGTTACTCCATCACTGTCATCATAAATATATTTGACTGTGGAAAATGGGACACATTAATGTATGGAAATCTTCTCAGATGATCATACTCCGAGTTCACCATATCTTTAAAGTGTTTTATTTATAGATTAATTAGTTTCTGAGTTGAAGCAGTGTTTAGTGATGTTTCTGGCATGTGCCTGTGTTCATGCTTGTCTTCGTGGCCGTAGGTCTGGTTCAATCCCGAAGGCCACCACACAATGCCAGCATACCTGAACAGCCTCAACAACCTGATCCTGCGCTCCAGTATTCCAGCTGACAAAGAGCCAGAAAAATATGGTGAGCTTAGAGAAAGGAGTTTTGTGGGAAACTTATAGGCGAGGATGCCAATTTAATTTTCAGGGAAGTAATTCCATTAAAAGGTAATGACGGTAAAGATTTATTTTATGCAGTTTACTGAACACTAAATATGCATTTCATACACACAGACATCAATGTAAATGTGTTTGATCATGGATTTGAAAGACTTTTCTCAAACGCCATATCTTTAATGTTGCAAAAAAGATATATAAGATAAAAATGTACTGAAAGAAGCATGAATGAATGTGATCAGAGTTTAAAATGGAGAACCCAGTACATTGTGCCTGCTAAAAGAAAAAAAAAACATTGTGTTTACCCATGGTTCTTTTGCTAGATTAAAGCCAGGGGGTGCTGAGTCCTCACACTGACATCACAATGTATGTTGAATACTGATCAGAGGCACTCACAAGGGACCTATGCTAAAGAGAAACCAGGCTTGCCCACGTGTTCTTACTGTTTCAGTTATGAGTAGCACCCTAACCATCTGCCCGTGGGCTATAGTTGACAAAAACACACACATACAAACATACACGTACCCATGCATATTAAATATTGCTCATATACATATTCAATACATGCACAAAAGAACAGACACATGCATTTCAATCCTCCAGGAGATGATAGAAAAGCTCAAGGGTAAAGCATAAGCATTTAACTACTCACAGTGGTGGCAGAGGTTAGCAGGGGTGGAGATCCACGGAGATTACTTTTCAAGGTGACCAGTGTATCTGTCAAACCTGATGCTCTAACCCTTACATTTTGTATTACAGCATCAGCAGTTGGTTGGAGCCCCTTAGATGTCTGCATCAAATAGTTTTCATCCCTCTGTTGCAGAATTTCTCAGCATAAGTGCTTACTGCTGCAGATGTGCCATCACACTCCAGTCCATCAATCTTAAATGTCATACTTTAGATTTGAACCCTCCATCCTGAAACTGTATTTTGTTGTGGAAGATTTTCTGGCACATCCCCCAGATTTTCTATTTTAAGATGTTCATCGTTCCACCAATAGAGGATGTAGACTGAAAAGTAACCCAGTTTAATTAGGTTTTCTGCCAAAAAAAAAGCTCAAATCAGAAAAAGTCCAAATGTTTTTAACATAAGTCACTGACTGACAAACATAGCAAAAGTATACTTATTCCGCCTTCTGAGACCGAAATAATTTTTGGCTGGTGATGAGACAAAAGGGACACATCACTTTGGTTGAGATTTTTAGATTAATCAATAAACTGTCAATAGAATGTTTGTGGTGATGTTGTGCCAGTAACCTTAACCATCACACTGGTTCTCAGCTCTGGAACTGCTGTGCTTGAGGTGGACTCTTGCTCTCCAATCTCAAAAAATTTAAACAGACACGTGAAGCGGAGGAGTTTATATCCGTGAGCTTCTCTGAGAAATGATTTAAAAAAAATTCAATTCCTTTCGTGTGCACTGGCAAATGAAATCATTTTGCCCTATATTTAGCAAGATGTGTCTAAGACTTAGAGACTATCATTGCTCATTTGGTTCCTGTGCTGAAAGATAGCCTGCATGCTGTTGTTTTTCCATTGCAAAAATAATACTGTTTCTTTCTATTACAGCCATTTCAGTGTCCAGCCACCCTTACTTTGGTCGGCCAGATGATGAAGATGCAATGTAAGGACTGTGCTCAACATTCTATTGTTGAATTGACTGCCAGTACATCATCATTCAAAAAATACATGTTAACATTTTAATTGGCATGAATGTTTAAAATTACTCAGGCTGGTATGAACAATAATGTTTGCCATGCCTGTAAAAAACATAACAAATTCTTTTAATGTTAGTTCTGGACTTTAAGGTCAGGCTGGTTTTAAGGCAGAGAGGTACACGACAGCAGTATTTACCCATATTAGATTTTCTAAATGGATTTCCCTGAGCTTACACTATTGATCAGAGTCCCGATGTAATGAGGGTTTATCCTGAAGGTGGCTCTGAGATACATTGATTCTCCCCCTTTTCTTTTTTCGAAAAGAAGTTTATTAAAAATGCTCCACGGTTCGCTTTGAAGGCCCAGACTAGGAGATTGTGTGTGTTTGTGGAATCATGCATGTTTGCCAGAGGATAGAATCAAATTAATCATTTTGGAAATGGACTTGTTTAACCTTGTAGGTTCACAAAGTTTCCTCCTCTCTGGTGCCTTATTAGCTCTAACTTTCTCACTGGCCGATTCAGTCTTACTGGTCATCACTATGTAGATCACTGAGGTGCATCAGATTCACCCGTTTTGCCAAGTTGATGATTCCTAATTAATATATTGACTTGACCTGGGTTGTGTTAAAGATACGGCAGTTGTATTTTTCCATATGTTGATTCTTGCCATGCAGCAGCAATGCCCAGAGGAAAAATTCTTGCTGTACTGTTAACAATCTACTCGGTGGATGCAGCCGTTGGCTACGTTGCACTGTAATGATCTTTATATATTCCGTCTCTGCTATTCTCACTGTGTCCGTCCCGCTCACCGCCAGCTTCAGCCTCCTCTCAGCCCCCTGCAGCATATTTGGTCTGCGGTGTGCTCCAGCCAGAGGGGAGTGGTAATATGAAAGTAGCTCAGCAGCATGCAGCCAAGACAAGAGAGCATGGAAGATGAATAGGTTCTGACATGGCATGAAGAAAGTTTGAGTGAGCACCCTGTGTTGAAGATTAGCCAGAGGATCAAAGCTTCAGCTGGATTCCTGGGGTATAATTTGGACCCTAGACTCTGTAGAATCATAACAATACCTCTGGCTTACAAATGATACGCACAGCACAGTAAGATTGGCTTGAAGATGATCTCAACATGAGGCCATTCTTTTTTTTTGTTGCTGTTATTGTTTTGTCACAGATGAGGCAAAACCTCTCTCATCTATACAGAGCTGTTACTTATTAATGGAATTCTATTTATTTCATCCGACTTCCATAGTTCTAATGAGTCAGATCCCAGCAGGGATTGTTAATGATCATTTGGAGCAGAACTCTGAAGTGGGCCACTCTCTCAATAGAAGACTTCCACTCACTTTCCTTTTTCTTTTTTTGGGGGGTAATCCAGTGCGTCAGAATAGAAGGATTCATTTGTGAACAGTGTTGTCTCTCCCTTTGCCCGATTAGAGGTAAAGAGGCCCTCAACAATAAATTGCCCCTGAAAAGAGTTTTATGATGGTGCGCGACAATTGAAGAACTATAAACACAAATGACACTTATGATCTTCTCCTCACAGCGTTCAGGGAATGCTCCAGATCCTGGTGGCCATGTGTGTGCTGACAGGTTATTCAATCATGACAGCCAGCTTTGCCATCTATGAGGTCAATGAGCACCACAGCGGGATGAAGAGGCTCCAGCACATTGCAGGAATTAGCGAGCCCTTCTACTGGACTGTGAACTTCTTTTATGACATGGTAACGTCCTCAAATCCTTCACTGAAGCAAACATTACATTAAATGTTTTAGGTTGAACAATCCATGCTATGAATTTAGTTTCAGTGAAAGTAACTTGAAAATGTTATGGCATAAATGTGGATAATTGATCAATTCTATTTGTTTTTACAATTAAATTAAATGCCTGATGTATCTTCTTGTCCCACAGGTTGTTTACATGATCCCTGTGACTCTGACCATTGGGGTGATTGCTGCCTTCCAGATTCCAGCATTTACAGATCGACAAAATCTGGCCGCCATTACCCTCCTCCTCGTTCTCTTTGGGTCAGTTATTTGGATAAAAGCTAAGAAATAATCATCAGCATGTGTTGTTTTTATCTCTTCTGCTGAGCACAGTTATTTAGATGAAGATGAATGAAAAAAGGAGCCAAAAGTGTATCAAAAATAATTGTAAGATTATCGCTGAAGATATGCCAGGTTTGCAACCGCATGCAAGAAGATAAGATAAGTTAAGTTAAGATAAGATAAGTTTGCGATTTAAATGCAGCCGTTAAAAGGTTTGAACATTTACAACAGCCCTTTCTCACATATGTGCTGAGATTTCTAAACTCGGATGGGTGTAACTTTAACGCTAGGTTGATTTGAAAACACTGAGCATAAGGAGGCGGCTGTTGTTCAAATGTAAACACAGCTCATTTTGTTATGAGAGTTCTTGCAAAGACAGATGGCATTAGGACTGAAAACATGATAGGAGACTCACTGCCAACATGTTTATCCCATTTAAGCCAAAGACAACAGAAATAAGAAGAAATGATGACCAGCAGGCATCAGAGCTTATGGAAAAAACAATATGGAGGTTGAAATTAGAAGTTAGCAGTCATCTAAGAATACAGAAGTCTGAAAATCGGTCTCAAAAAAAGATTCAAGTTTTGGAACAGCATCCAAACCAGTGATGTGTCAGGCTTCCCCGGTCTGTATTACACGGCTCCTCTTAAATCATTTAGCCGCTGAAGCTGAAGTTTAGGCTCCTGTGTTTGCCATTGTTGTTTTCAGACCTCATACTGAGCCTTATATCACTGAAGGCCAAGTCAGCACTCTGCCTCTCATTTATCAGACAGATGTCTCCCTCCCAAGCAATGAGTAATCGCAGTGCTCCATCTGTCAGGCTGCACTCACCTGGCCTGGTCTGCAGCCTTCTCTCCTCTGTTGCTTGTCATGGCTTGGCATCCACAGTCTGCCTACCAAGCACGTTTTTTTTGGGCATAGCCCACAGATGCTTTGTCTCTGTCTATCTCTATCTGTTTTTTTTTTTGGCTCTTTCATTTCTCACTATGCTTCTGTATTTTTCATCTCTTTGTCCTTTCCCTGTTTCCTCCTACTTTTTCCTCACTGACCCAAACACCCCAATCAACAGAACCAGCAGTTTATGTGAGAGAAAAAGGGAAAGGATCTTTTGCCTCCCTCTGGGAAATAAAGAGGGGAGTAATTTATCTTCGTCTATTTTGGCATCATGACTGAATGTTTAGCCTCCTCGTGGTGTGGTATTTTCCTCTTTTCCTTGTCAGTAATCTTTGGTGCCTATTTTCATCAGGCTCACAGTTACTGTTTGCTCAGTTAAAGATCTTACTCTCCTCAGTTAAAGATTCAGTTTAAGAGGTGCAGTTATGAGGGCAATCATAGAAATGCATCATGCTTGTTGTTTGTTTTATTTTAAATCGATTATTTGTAATGCTCCGTCTTTTCCTTACCTAGGTTTGCCACCTTCCCCTGGATGTATCTCCTGTCAGGTGTCTTCAAAGACATGGAGATGGCCTTCATCATCTATGTGTGCATCAACCTCTTCATCACTGTGAACACCATCATATCGACCTCCATCCTCTACTTTCTGGGTCAAATATCACATCACAACTCTGAGGTGAGAATTAACCACCTTAACCTGACTGTCAATGTTGGAAATGTGGCAGATCCACTCAGTATTTTCTGTTCGGTCCCACCCCCTGCAGGTCATCCAGGACATCTTCCAGAGGCTGTGCTACGCCTTCCACATCTTCCCTCAGTTCAACTTTGGAAATGGGTTGATGCAGTTGGCCAGAACGAACATAGAGGTTCAGATCCTCAGCGGCTACGGAATCGATGCCTACAAGAACCCATTTTCCGCAGATAGCTTGGGCTGGATGTTTTTATCATCCTTCATCCAAGGCCTGGTCTTCTTCACCCTGCGTCTCCTGCTCAACAAATCTCTCATGCACAAAATAAGGTGAGGAAAACGCTGCGGAAGTTGGAATCTGATGTGAGGTTGATGAACGTCAAGCTCTTAATCCAGTTAAGATGGTTCTTAATGCACAGAGTGTTGTTCCAAGATCAGTGTCAGATGCTGCATTTGGTAATTTTATGGTTCTACATTTCGAAAGGTTCAGCTTTTTTCTAGAACTGCAGAGAAGATTAGCTGCTGTCTTGCAATTCAGAAAAGGAATGTGGGATGAAATAAAGGCATATGATATGCAAATGTTAGTTGGTTATGTAACAGAGCCCCTTGAAGTAGCAAGAACCCAAATGTCAGTAATATAATGATATAATGAACTTCCCACCTAATCTGGATGTAGGGATGCGGTCCGGGGCAGGAAGACTGTGCACCAGGTTTCTCTGGAGAATGAGGATGAGGATGTAGCAGCAGAGCATCTGCGGGTTTCCAGCGGCGCTGCCAGCTCCGACTTACTGCAGGTCAACAGTCTAACTAAGGTCTATCAACATCTGAAAAAGAAGGTCCCTGCTGTGAAGAGGTTGTCTGTGGGCATCCCTGCTGGAGAGGTAAGGTTGATTGAAATTACTTGGAAGTATATTTTACAATTTGGAGGCTACTGTGAAAACATCAGAAATTTGAACTGAGAAAGAATATCCAATCCAGCACATTGCGTTCCTCGGTGAATGGTTTAAAATGTTTCATTTTGACATGTTTTCTTTTGTTATTGTATTATAACAAGTATCATACTAGACTGCAAAGCTCCTCCGTTGAGACGAAATTAAAAATTCTGATTCTAATTATTCCCAATTATACTAGCCGGCTGTAGGAACATCATTCAGTTAATTATGTGCTCATTCTTGTTTTGGTTGTAAATAAGTAGCTCTAGTAACTGCTTATGGTTCAAATGCTTTAAATGTTTAAATGTTTAAATGTTTGGCTTTCAGTGCTTTGGCCTGCTTGGAGTGAATGGGGCAGGAAAAACTACCACCTTCAAGATGCTGACCGGGGATATTAGCCCCACTGATGGCTCCGCAGAGATCAGGGACTGGGACGGGTAAGCTGTGGAGAGGTTCATTTATTCATGTAACCCAAACAGATCTGATGCCTTCTCATGAGTTATTTATGTCTTTATTGCGTTCCAGTTAAAGCCCATTATCTTTTTTTGCATCTAAGTTTGATGTGTAGTGATTCTGGTATTTGTCTCCAGAGTACTGTTTGTGCAACTTTTTATTAACCTATAAATCGTATTTGGAATGTTCACTGGTTATGTAATGGCGTCAGCTAAAATTTACACACTCTGAGTAATTGCCTCTTACATTCCTGGAATTTCAAATAGTAATTTTGTGCTTGTTTTATTCTGTTTGTATTTTCCCAGGCGGTTGGTGGACATCATGGAGTGCAGAAACAAGGGAATCAACATTGGCTACTGTCCTCAGGTTGATGCACTCGATGATCTGCTCACTGGAGAGGAGCATTTGTACTTCTATGCTCGCATCCGTGGCATCTCAAAGCGAGAGATAGATGGGGTAAGGAAGACTTGCAGACTCTGCACTGGCTTTGAGCTTTGAGAGGTGACACAAAAAGATGCCAGATCTCATATGAATTTCAGGGTGGACTTTTACACCAAGAGGCTGTTGCTTCCATGCATACTGAATCAGAGTGTGTGAAGTATTGAGTGATGTGTGTTGAAAGCTTTACAGTCAGGGGCGAAGTGGGAAAGCTTTTGTTGTCAACTCAGCTTGTAGTCCAAACTTCAGAATTACGCTGATGCTGTTTGCATCAGTTCAGACAAATTTGTATTTAAATTACACTTTTATAGGGAATGGATCTTATTTCATGTGTCACTTTAGTTCCATTCTTCTCATTTATCTTTGTGAGAACTAATCGATCTTACTTCTGTTGTGATTACTTAGTGTGCCTGTCTGTCACTGCTGCTGAGATGAGCGGAATCAGGGGAGTAACAAAAGGAAAACAGGCAGCCATTAGGAGTTTAGGAAACATTTAACAAATAAATGAAGGAACATTAGTCTCCCTGTCAGCTTATAAGTTATTTGTTTTTTGCTCAAAGGTTTTCCCGGGCTACTTTTAACTTGCTGGATTTTAGAGAAATTTCTGTTTATAACAAGCATTAAGTCATGCCACAGATTAGAAGTTGGGCTGAGGTCTGGACTGACTCGTCTGTTCCAACAGGCTTCAATGCCTGACCACTCAAATATTTTTTAGGGTTATGTTAAAGTGGATTGTCTTACTGGAAGTCGAACCTTAATCATTGTCCCAGTTTTCCTTATCCTGTTGCTGAAAAATATTCTCGAAGCAGGGTGCCTTAAGTCACGTGTGACCAGAGAATCCACTCTAAAATAGCCATGAGACCTTTTGACTAATTCTTTGGTCACTGATGGCCTTTTGTGTGAAATGTGGCCTTTCAGAACAGGTGTGCATATATGTATGCCCTTGTTACACTTAAATTTGACATGTTCTTTACAAGAACATGCCCACTATGGCAGGAACTGCACTAATCCTGATGAATCAGAGCTGTATGCAAAAAGACAACTCTATTTACAGCATTTTCCACCGTAGCTCAAAAGCATTTAATGTCTGTGACAATCAGTAATTTATGTTCAAACTGAAGACAAACCTTACCAAGTGTGCTCATAGACACAGATAAAGGAAACAGCCGAGGAGTGGATCTGTCTGGAGCTAATAGGCGTCGCTGCTGCTGTTGTTGCAGCTCTTGTTCTCTGCTCAGGCGAGTGACAATAGTGGTTGTAATGGCCACAGCAATGGTGTCAGGCTAATTCACAAAGATGAGGTTATATATAGAATTTCTCCTATGATGTCTTCTACTGACAGTCCCCAAGCTTTGGATAATGAGACAAGTCTTAATGGGGTCATTTTGCATTGACACGGCTTTGTCGGCTTAATGAGCCGCTACATCAAAGGTGATGGAAAATGGCTTTTATGAGAGAACATAAAGAACAACATATTTTGATCTCAACCTAGTAGGAATATGACATGTTGCTGGTAGTAGTCCAACCTATTATTCTCAGTGCTTAGTTGACTGAGAACAGAGAACCACACAGAAAAACACGAAAAAGCTAAATTTGAAGCAAATGACAAAAGAAAATAAAACCTAGCTTTGTTTATTGATTGATTTATTATTTAAGCTTGCTTTTGTATTTCCATTGAAACAAGCTACATCATTAGATTGAATCTGAGCATGAATAAGTCTCCTTAAAGGAATGCTGGGATTGTAATACCAGTCAGCATCCTTAACTGGGAGTTTAACCAGGAAGTAATAACCCAAATTCTATTTGGTTGGGGGTGTTTTTGTTCATGCCTCAGAACCCCTGTAAAACAACTGGCTGTAAACATTTTCATTGCTGTCTTTTATAGCTTTAAATAATGAATATTTCATGAGTCATGGGTGTTTTTATTTGTTGTGAGGAAAGTTTGAGAGTGCAGTGGAAATAAGAGACATGAAGTAGTCATCCAACGAGAGATATGTAGCGCTGCAAGCCCAATGCTTTACGTTCTGGGTAAAATCAAAAGAGCTACCTCTTAAAAACCCTTGAAGACCAGAGGTATTGGAAAAGGTTCTTGCTTTCAAAATGCCACTTAAATTCAAGGTCCCAAGGCCGGCTGATATAATCTGAGCCCAAATTGGATGGGTTTTGTCCAAGATAGAGAGATTTATGAGCTGTTTGAAAGGCTGCACCCAACGTTCAGCTTCTGTCTTGGCTGTTTGCTTGGGCTGATGTGCTGCTGCTTACGATTGTTACCTAAGGTAATATATTACCCCTTTAAAGATTTCTGTTTTTAGCTCTCACAGGATAAACTGACATGCACCAAATGGATTATACTGCATCACTTCCTGCAGCCCCAGGACTGCATAGAGTTCAAACAGAAAAAAGTAGCCAAGTGAAGCCATCATTTTGCAAACAAAATTAAAAATGCATAGCGAGAGGGCCAATAGACTCGTCGTGAAATTTACTGTGTTCATAAGAACATGAATATTAACTAAGTAATAAGGAGTATCCAATGCTCTTCGCACCTGTAAATCCACATTTTCCTGTTGTGAACAGGCACTGAAATATGTGTGTAGTGACACTAGACCTCTACAGAAACTTTCTGTGCACAGATTTTATACCTGCAAAGCCTGTCTCCATTTTCGTCTTTCAGAATATCAAGTCCCTGCCTTTTTCCTTTTTAGGTAGTGAACTACCTGCTGAAGAAGCTGGAGCTGAATCACCACAGAAACATCATTACTGACAGTTACAGCTGCGGCACCCGCAGGAAGCTCTCCACCGCAATGGCTCTCGTTGGACATCCACAAATCTTGCTCTTGGTGAGAAGGAGGCACCTGCTCACAGAGCTGTAGCTGCCCATTGAATTGCATGACCACTTGGCAGAAAACAAATGTTAAGATAACCATACACTGTTCTTCTTACAATGATCCTTGTAGTAGATTACATGTGGTGACCTTTTGACGGATTATCAAGCAGTTCATTTGTCTGCTTCTTAAAGCTTATCCCAGATGATCTTCCCTGTCGTTTTACACATTGTTTCTTCTCAATGTCTCTGTTTGATCCAGTTGTCTCTTACACTGGCTCCTTCTTTCATTCCTGAACACTCCACCCCTTTCCTTACTTTACTTAATCCCGCTTTCTCTTGAATGAACTTCATTAGATTTCCTCGCATCTCTATCCTTATTTTCAATTAGTGTTTACTCCTTCTATATCATCCTTCAATTTCCCGTTTTTGACTTATGAACGCCATTTGCCTCATGCTGATTTTATTAATAGTCTCTCTGTCTTTCGCTTTATCCTGATTTCACTGTCCCATATCCGTATAATCTTATAATTCCTTCTTTAATCATAGGATGAGCCCAGCTCGGGCATGGACCCACGCACCAAGCGTCACCTGTGGAAAATTATCTCTGAGGAAGTGAGAGGAAAATGTGCCGTGGTGCTTACGTCTCATAGGTGAGGAATGTGCCACAAGCAAGGGTGGGGGGGGTGGGGAGGGGATCAACAACGTTTTGCCTAAAACATCTCAGAATTTGATTCATGTCAATTCTCAAATAAAGAATTAAATATGCAGTGACAGTCATTGACACTTTGTACATTGCAAATTAGCATTCTAGCACATTCTAATTGGACTTTATTCTTCCCTATGTCCTGACTTACAATAACAGTGAATGCACAGGAACTCTTGCTAATTACTCATAGTTCGACGGCACCTTGTTTGACCTTTTTATCTTTCTCCCTACGTCTTTGTATCTCAGCATGGAGGAGTGTGAGGCGCTGTGCAGTCGTCTTGCCATTATGGTGAAAGGTCAGTTCCAATGCCTGGGCTCCCTGCAGCACATTAAGAACAGGTTAGTGACCTCCACTCATCCTTCAGCCCACCCTTTATTTCCCCTCTCACCCACACTACGGAATAACAGTACTTTGCTTGTAAAATACGCTTTGCGCAGGTTTGGCAGCGGGTTCACTGTGAAGATGTACTTGGCAGAGGCCTCTTGTGACGCAGAGGCAATCACTCGGTTCATGCAGCGCAGATTCCCCAGCACTTATCTCAAGGTGAGCTTTGGCAACTATTTTAAGGCATCAAGAGTGGATAAGAGATAAAAGTCAAATATTGTGGTAGACGGTTGTTTTAGGTCTCTTGTAAATGTTTTAAAGGGTCAAGAGTACCACAAAGCTTAGATTATATTATAATTACATATATTGAAAAACATCATTAATTTTTTTTCTTCTATGATAATTATTCTTCTCATAATGATAGGTCAAACAGATGTACTGATACTGTCATTTACGAAAATCAGAAAATGTTATACAATTGTACTTTTCTTTGGTATAGCAGGTGGAAAATGTGCCCTTATGCTTGGAAAAATTGATGCAGCCATAATTCCCTTGAATATTTGTGCTGCTTAAAATTCTGAGGCTTTATTAATTTTTCTTTAATTAACTTTCTTTAAACATGACCCCTTTTTATCAGTCTGAGGCTTTTGCCTGGAGGAACAGTCAGTCAAAGTTGTAATATTCTGTTTCTAGTGAAATTTAATAAAATAATAAAATGTCCAACATCTCTTAGATATAATCAAAAAACAGAAACATGTATTATCTGTATCACAGTTAACAAAGGGAACCTTGGAGAACAAGCATCTGACAAATCAAGAATCAAAACTCCTGCCGCATCTGTAAAAGGCACAGAGGAGGGGATGGGTAGTAATTGTAAAATGATCTATGAGATCAGGTTTCCCCTGCGGCGAGATGTTAAGTTAATTATGGTGAAATTGAGTGAAAACAGGAAGTAATTTTGTGTATTTCCCACTTGGAATAAGCCCTCTCCCATTACATATAGTCATTTAAGGACCTTGGAATTTGATAATCTTTGATTAGTGAAGCTGTAAAGAACCTGTTAATTGGGTATTGATGGGGTGTTATTGATATTTATTGCTGATAATTCAAGTGCAAGAACAGAAGAAAAAACAACAAATTTCTGAGCTACTTAGCAAAAAATTAGACACTGATTGCGTTACGATACGGGGAACTCTACACTGATTTAGTTGTGTACATCTATATCTTTCAGGTAGCATAAAGAGTTGATTTAACCTTCCTGCAGAAAAATCTTATTACAAAGAGTCAGGGAATCTTTTTCTTTTTTTATTAACTGATGTTACAGGGGCTCTCAGTGCCATATCTGGTCTTTTACTCTGTAGTGATTTCAACAAGGATTATACTGATTTTATTCAAACATTAAACCTGCATTCTCTCTTGATGCACAGGACCAGCACTCTGCCATGGTGGAATACCACGTACCAATTGCTCCTGGAGGAGTCGCAGACATCTTTGACCAGCTGGAGTCCAACAAGAATGCCCTGCTGATCAAACACTTCTCTGTGAGCCAGACCACACTGGATGAGGTGAGAAAAAGCTACATAAACTGAGAGAGGGGGAAGAAACAGCTTTCGGCTTTGTATGGGTATATAGGTGGTAGCTGAGGGCAGAGTTAAGGGACATGAGATGAGAGCAGGACTGAGAGTGCAGGAGGGGAAGCAGGGACAGAAGAAACCTGAGTGGGAGTGAAAGACAGAGCAGAGGAAGTTAAAAAGAGGGACAGGAAAACTGACGGAGGGTATGCCTAAGGGAAAATAAATGGAATATGAGTTAGGGAGAGAAACCATGAGATATACATGCAGCCACTGCTGATATTCTTCAACCACTTTAAACCCTCTGGGGCTCTGGGATTGGAAGACACCATATCCAGGAGAAAGAGAGGGGGGTTAGGGTGGGAATCTAAGCAGCCTACATCACTGTTCACCCAGAGGAAAATGATTTAGAACATTGTTATGACCTACATTATTATTTATCATCCACAGGTCTTCATCAATTTCGCTCTGGGAAAGATTGGTATGGAAAACATACTTATTCATGAGGACGACAACGGCCATGACCTGGACTCTGTTGAGGAAGTGCATACATAGAGCTGATTGCAATGTCTTGTGGGCTTTTTCTCTCAGTGTGAAATGAAACACAAGTGCTCACTTAACCCTAGCCCATATTTCTTACATCCTTATTATTTCTTATGTCTATTATCGGATCACATGAAGAAAAATTATATTTCTATCTTCTGCCCCATGAAATGGTGAATGAGAAGCAGAAGAGCACCTGCACTTTTCCATACATGTATATATGAAGTTGAACATTTAATCATACGTTTATTTACAAGTCGCATGACTCCACTAGTACGTTTACTTCTGATTCAAATGATTAAGTTATTTAAGATGATTATTATTATTACGAAGATTTGATTTTCTCTCTGTTGTTGGGGTAATGTTCATTTGTTGAACTTATGTTTAGTCCTGATGTACCATGATTGCAAATGATCTTAAATCAGTCCCTCAATGAATACTTGATAGCTTAAAGGATAAAAAAACCCCCAAAAGAAAACGCTGGAGTACATTTAATCATATCCATTAGATGAAACTTGACAAAAGAAAATATCCCCATTCATATTCGATGTACACATTTCTTCTTCTCATTAATTTTCCTCTAAGGGCACATCTCTATCTACATGACTACATTGAATACTTAATGCGCTCTCTTGCATATGTGGTATATAATGTATCTAGACTATTTTTGAAATTTTAATAAAGATTTTTCAAGCACAGTTGCTATCTGTCTTAATGAGGCTCAAGTATTCATTCTATTTTTATTCTTGCACTCTTGGGTGCATCTAAGATGTTTTATTTTCATATGCATTGATTAAATTGTCTGGTAAAAAAACATTATTTCACTTATTCATGTCCTGATGAAGTTGTTCTGCAGAATCATTGAAAGTCGATTGAAATAAATAATTCAGCTTTCATCGTAAGTCAACCAAAGCAACACATTTAGATGCTGATCAAATGTTGGCAGTTAAATCACGAAATGTAATGGCATTATAAGGTGGACTCAGTAATGCTTTCAATATTTAAATATTTGATCTCCTATGAATTCTAAACTAATTTAAAATAATTCATGACCAAGTTTTAAATGAATAACTGAAGATGTAAAATCTCAGCTGAAGGAATGAAACTGTCTGTATATAATCATTCATTTCAGGCTCATTATCTTTGGGTTAATATTTTCATTGCTTTATTCAAAATTGTTCTATGAATTAGGTTTCATTTTCCCTGTGTAAGTCATTTTGAATGAAAGCATCTATTAATTTCATAAATGTAAATATATATGTAATGTGGAGTTGTTTTATGTTTACAATTGTTAATATTTGTGCTGAATGTTGTATTTGAGAAAAACCCCTGACAAGCACTCAAAGTGCTTAGATTTTAAATGTTTGTACAAGGACAGAAACATATTCAACAATAAAAGCATTCCTAAAGCGATAATGTCCCCCTAAATTTTACTTTATATTTTTAAAACAGTCATATCCATTCTATATTATAAGTACAGTTATAAGCTACTTGTACTTTTTTCCTTGTTTAAAGTTTAAAATGAAGATTTGAAAGACTAAATGTCATTTTGCAACTTTTACTTGTTTTCCCATCTGGAGTTTCCCTAAATGTTTTGAAAACCCCTGATTTTTTTTTTTTTACAAATTCCAGAGTGATTTAAATTTGCTCAAATGGCAAGATGGCGGACTCTCACTGCAACGGACGAACAAGGTAAGGAGCCGAAGAGGGGGCTACCGGGCTACTGCGCTACCGGGCAACCGGGCTACCGGGGGCCAGAGGGGGGGCTACCGGGGCTACTGCGTCCCCGGGCTCCCGCGATACCGGGGTTCGGTGCGGTGCTACTCCGACAGTGATATCGAACCGGGGTCGGGGGTCCGGGTCTCCCCTTCGGGGAGCCCCGGCCCCCCTCCCCCGGTGGCCATTTTCCCCAATATTCCCCGGTTTTCCCGGTATTCCCGGTTTTCCGTTTTTCGTATTTTACCGCGGTAGCGCGGTAGCCCGGTAGCCCGCCCACTTCCTTGTTTTTTGTCACATGACTAAAAACAAGTCACATGACTAAAAACAAACCAATGAGAATCTAAACTAAAGCAGATTCAACCAAATATCTTAAAGATTTAGGGGGGGGGGGGGGGGG